ACCTCTTATATAACTATTATAAATATCTATGCACCCAACACAGGATCACCTACATACGTGAAACAAATACTAACAGAATTAAAGGGGGAAATAGAATGCAATGCATTCATTTTAGGAGACTTCAACACACCACTCACTCCAAAGAACAGATCAACCAGACAGAAAATAAGTAAGGACACAGAGGCACTGAACAATGTATTAGAACAGATGAACCTAATGGACATCTACAGAACACTCCATCCAAAAGCAACAGGATACACATTCTTCTCAAGTGCACATGGAACATTTTCAATAATAGATCATAAACTAGGCCACAAAAAGAACCTCAGTAAATTCAAAAAGTTGAAATTGTACCAACCAGCTTCTCAGATCACAAAGGTATGAAACTAGAAATAAATTACACAAAGAAAATGAAAAATCCTACAAACACATGGAGGCTTAATAACATGCTCCTAAATAATCAATGGATCAATGACCAAATAAAAACAGAGATCAAGCAATATATGGAGACAAATGACAACAATAATTCAACACCACAAAATATGTGGGATGCAGCAAAGGCGGTGCTAAGAGGGAAGTATACTGCAATACAGGCCTACCTCAGGAAAGAAGAACAATCCCACATGAACATCTAAACTCACAATTAACGAAACTAGAAAAAGAAGAACAAATGAGGCCCAAAGTCAGTAGGAGAGACATAATAAAGATTAGAGCAGAAATAAATAAAATTGAGAAGAATAAAACAATAGAATAAATGAAAGCAGGAGCTGGTTCTTCGAGAAAATAAACAAAATAGACGACCCCCTAGCCAGACTTATCCAGAAAAAGAGTCTATGCACATAAACAGAATCAGAAATGAGAAAGGAAAAATCACTACAGACAACATGGAAATACAAAGAATTATTAGAGAATACTATGTAAAATTATATGCTAACAAACTGGATAACCTAGAAGAGATGGACAACTTTCTAGAAGAATACAACCTTCCAAGGCTGACCCAGAAAGAAACAGAAAATCTGAACAGACCAATTACCAGGATAAAGGATACTCCTGGGACCCAGGGAATTCCAAGGTTACTTAGGAACTCTTTGTCAGGATCAGGGGTCAAAGACCAAATACCAGGACAAAAGGACCTCCCAGCACCCCTATCACTCAGGAAATTAGAGGGGATTTAGGAGCAGTGTCAGGAACCTTAGGCAGAGACCAAATTCTAACTTTTTACTAGGCTGCAGGGCCTCCTACCTCTGGGCCCCCTCAGCCTGGAAATCAGGAAATCGGCCAGCAGCCTGCACTAGGTAGATTCCCTAAGGTTGCCCCTTCCTGCTCCCCCTGACCTGACGGAGACAGTGGGACCCCCAGCATGGAGACAGTGGGACCCCCAGCAAGGTGACATGGACGAGACCACTATCACCTTGACCTGGTGACCTCTTTTCCAGCCTTCACTCCCTCCATTATTTCCAGTTCATAAGACTGGCCAATGACCCTCCCTCCACCCCTACTGGATTCAGGCTAAAACCCGGACCCTCTAGAAGTGGACACAGCTAATCCAGGGGCAACCTCCAGCCCCAGGTAGGCAGAGGCCTCTGCTGTCCTGTCCCCTCTGCCCAGATGGACTATGACAGAGGGTCAGTCACATCACCTGTGTGTCTGATAGAGACGCCGAGGGGGGCAGAGGGTAGGAAAGCTTTGTGGTGGACAAACTGGTTGGAGGCTACGGCCAGGGAAGCTGGGGTGGTGACTAGAAGCAGATTTCCTATGTGATTGCTTTGGAGAGCACATCAGGATTTCTCTGTCAGTGCTGAGTTGGAAGTGGGGGCCAAAAATAGAGAAGCTGGGGTCACTGGCTAGGTCCTGACCATCTGGGCCACTTGGCACAGCGGCCGTGGTTCAGCTTCCTGGGGTGGAGGGGCAGGGATTGGGGTCAGAGTTCTCTTGTCATGTTGTCTGTCACCTTTCCCTTCGCATAGCCTGCATCTCCTAAGCAAGGTGCACCCCGGCCTCCTTCCTCCCTACCCCGGTCATAGCAGCAGGCACTGAACCAAGCCTCCAGATGCCTGGGGTACCTTCCCTGACCGCCACTCTCCTCCCAGTGTCCAGGACAGGCCCAGGCGCATGGCAGGGGCACACAGAGACTCGGGTAACAAGGGGATGACAGGATGGATGAGGCTGACAGGACGGGGTTGGCGAGCCACCATCTGGGTCACATGGTTTTCTAGAATACTCTCCCAGTAGCAATCCCCTGCAAGCCTGAAGAAGAGCAGAACTGCACTCAGAGTCCAAGTTTGTACAAAATATAAAAACTGCTCCAGGTTGGGCCAGTATCAGCCAGGAAAGGGACTGGAGGTGCCACAGGTCCCTGCCAAGGGGGTGAGGGTGGGGACGGGAGATGAAGGCAGGGGCCAGGCCGAGGGCAGGAGAAGCTGCCTCTGTGGGTGTGTCTCCTAGAACCTACCTGCCTGGCAATAATGTTGTTTTATGACATTGCTACTTCACACCTGAGTCCTTCTGGATTGGCTGAGGGGCCCGTGCTGAAACAGCATAGACAGATCAGGGCCTGGGGAGCACTGCCTTGGCCTGCCCAGGCCACTCCTCTCTGCGCCCACCCCGCCCATCACAGGTGCCCTGCCAGCTCCACGCAGGGGTTAATCCACAGTAAGGAATCACAGCCACTGCGGGGCTTCTGGGCACCCTGATGGCCGGCCGCAGGGATGTCTGTCCAAACCCAGGGACCAAGGGGTGTGCTTAGGCCTTCACGGAGTTCCCATCCCAGTTCTGCAACTTACTGCAAGACCTTGGTGAAGTTACTTAACCTCCCTAGACCTGTCTTTACAATAGAAATCAACCCCTCATGGGCTGTTGGGCAGAGGAAATGAGATCTGCCTTAACACAGAGTTAGGGCTCAGCAGAGAGCAGGCACTGCCTGGCCCCTTCCCTCTCTCCCCTCCCAACTCAGCCCCCCATCCCATCGCCATTGCACTACAGAGGCACAGTCTCCCTCCTTCCCAGAATGTACCTCCAGAAAGTCAGGGCCTTGCGCCTGTTGCGTCCCCTCCTCTTTCCTCAGTGCCAGGCCCAGGTAGGTGCTCTGTTAAGTATTAGCAATGAATGACTGCATGAGTGAGATTAGATTATTTAGATAATGCTGATGCAGGACAAACTTAGGGACTTAGGACAACGGAAATTCATTGTCTTGCTGTTCTGTGGTGGGGGGCGAGGGAAGGGGTAACAACTGCTTCCTGGATACAGAGTTTCTGTTTGGGGTGATGGAATTTTGGAAATGGACAGCGGTGATGGTTGCATGACATTGTGAACGTGATTCATGCCGCTGAATCATACACTTAAATATGATTGAAATGGGAAAAGAGCGCCTTTCTAATTTTGCACGCATAGGTCTTAGTAGTTCAACAAATAGATGAAATCATCGTTTTGCCAGAAAAGTAGATCCTGTAAACATTTCACATAGAAGGGAATTTTTACAAAGTAAAGTAAATTTACGGTCTGGTCACACCCACCACATTCTTCACTCTCGCGACTGGACCCGGCCCCTCCAGGTATCTAGTGCAGAGACAATCCGGAGCAAGCTTATTGGTCCCCTGGGGCTGCTCTAGCAAATCACCACAAACTGTGTGGCTTAAACAACAACACTGTTCTCAGTTCTGGAGTTCAGATGTCCGAAGTCCAGGTGTCATTCCCCCTAGAGGCTCCAGGAGCGGATCTTTCCCAGCCTCTTCCAGCTTCTGGCGGCCCCAGGCTGTTCCTGGGCTTACAGACCCATAGCTCAAGCCTCTGCCTTCCCTGTGTCTCTGTGTGCCTGTGTCACCATCGCCTTATCTTTTTTCTCTTACAGAGACACTGTCATTTAGGGCCCATCCTAAATCCACGGAAATTTTATCTTGAGATCCTTAACTAATCATAGCTGCAAAGACCCTGTTTCCAAATAAGGTCACATTCACAGCTACTGGGGGTTAGGACTTGAACCTACCTTTTCGAGGGACACAACTATACATTTTTTTACACACAAAGGATCTCATTATATAAATGTGAACATTTATATGATAAAGTGTGGAAAAGAAATATCTCCCTAACCACAACCTAGAATTTTTTAAACTTTTTATTTTGAAATAATTTCAGATTTACAGAAAAGTTGCAAAAAAAAAGTAGAAATTTCCCAAATATCCCTCACCCAGCTTTCTTGAAATGTCACCATCTTACATAACCATAGTAATTAACCATAGAAATGAACACTGACACAATCCCATTAATTAAACTTCCAAACTCCCAAATTTATTCAAATTTCACCAGATTTTCCACTAATGTCCTGCTCTGGTCCAGGATCCCAAGTGCATTTATTTGTCATGTCTCCTTAGCCTCCTCCAATCAATGATAACCAACTAGAATATTTTTACAGCCATTAGTAAATTAAAACATTAGCTAAATTTAGACAAATTTTCATTAGTTCCACTTTATTTAAAAAATATGAACCAGGCAACTGAATAATGTGTGGCCTCATCTCTCACCTTGCACTTGCACATCAACAGTAGGTTGGCTTAAATTTCAAGCTATTAAAAACAATATTCAAGCTATATTTATCACAGGATTGAAACTGGATACTTTAAAAATGAGAACCCTCTTCTGTGGATATGTATGCCTAAGCTTAAGGCACATGTGTAATTTGATTCTGACAGTGCACCCAGTGAAATACACACCCCCTCTTCAGCTGTATAAAGGCCACAACTTTTTCAACACTTTAACATCTGATTGAAAAAATGTACCTACAGTAGAGCTAGTATTCACAGACTCCAAGAAAGTCAAGATCGGTACAAAATATATCAGTATTCTTTGAAAGGATTGTTTAAACAGTGATTTTAGTGTGAAAGAGGTTATGAAAATATGCAGAAAATGCATGTGTAGAATAACAAAGCAAAATATATTTTAGTTTCACATCTTGGCATTTAAAATAAAATTATGTATGTCCAAACTGTTTTTGCGGGACACATTTTAATATAGCTGTCACGTTCATGATTGTTCATTACTTATCTTAAAAGTTTTAAAACACATGCCATAAAACTCACCATTTTAGAGTGTACAGTTATGCGGCTTTTAGTTTAATTACAAGGTTGTGTAATCAGCACCACTATTTGATTCCAGAACATCGTCATCACCCCACAAAGAAACCCTGCAACCATTAATTGTTGATCCACATTCCACTCCAAACCTCCCAGCCCTGGCTACCATTAATCTTTCTGTCCCTATGGATTTGCCCGTTCTGGACATTGAACAAAAAATGTCCTTTTGTGTGTCTGGCTACTTTAACTCAGCATCCTGCTTCCCAGATTCATCCACCTTGCGGTATCAATCAGTACCTCATACCTTTTTTATGGCTGATTAGACTGCACCATAGGGATAGACCACGTTTGTTTATCCACTCACCGTTTCATGAACATTTGAGTCACTTCATGTTTTACTGTTATAATTCAAAAACCCTGTGGTTAGCTAAATACATGTGATCTCGGGAAAGGCCAAGGAGTGAATTTGCAATGCAAGTCAGGTGGATGAACAAGGAGGTCTTCCAATTATTCAGAGACGGAGTATGGGGGAAGGGCCGCACAAACAAAATACCCCTCACTCCTAGCACAGCTCTCGGCGTTTTTCCCGGGTCAATGCGGAGCGCAGGTCTCCCGCTTCCTCGGACCCGCAGCTGACCAGACTCGGAGGCCGATGCTCCCGACGGCCGGGAGGGGGCGCGCGCGGGCTCAAGGGCGGGCCGGGCGCCTCCCGGATCCCCAGCCCGCGAGGGCCGCGGTACCCCAGGCCCCCAGCATCCCTGCCGGGCCCTTGAAGACCAAGGACCGAGCACCGACTCGAACGGCCTTCTGCGGGCCGGGGACTGGATCGGACGGGGAGGATCCCTCGGTGACCGCCCGGCAGCTGGCGGCGACGGGGAGACGCGAGCGGGACTTCCCTGCACGGCCCCCACCCGCACAGGTGCGGCCCTGCCCCCTGCGTTCTATTCCCCGCCGCGCCCACCGCTCCCAGGGGGCCGCCTACCTCACTGTTCCCACGGCTCCTCGCCCGCCCCCCAGCCCAGCTGTGGGCCCCCCACTCTCACCCCAGAGCCGGGTCTTCGCGCAGTTGTGCCCCTAAGGGCCGAGTGCGACGATGGGCGGAGAGGTGCAGGGGAGCAGGACCCCGAGGGCAGGGGCAGCGCGGAGCCGCGCGTGGGACGCGAGTGGAAGGGTCCCGAGATGGAGGAAGAGCCGGAGGCCCAGGGCCGGCGGGCCCCGGTGATGCCGGGGTTCTTGTTCGCGGAGTGAAGAGCTCCGCAAACACTCAACGTAGGAGAGCAGGGCAGAGGCCTTTAGAGATAAAGTGAGAGGACAGAGATGGAAGGGACAAGAGAGCCCGGGGTGGTGCGTTGTCTAGGGGATTTATAAGCTGTTGAGACACAAAGGGCTAGGGATGCAGACCTGCTAAATGGTCCCAAAATGTCATTTTTGAAGAAACATTAAGTTCCTTATTAGTCTTCCGGGTTATTTACAAGAAATTTACTGCTTTGATTTCCTCCCAGGATAGCAGCTTCCTGGTCTGGGAGCATATCACTCAAGATTGCCTGCTTTGCTCCCAAGGTGAGCTGAGTTATCTGTTTGTTAAAGAGTATGTTAAGAAACTTACTTTTTAACTACTTGGGTTTTTAAATGCAATTTTATCTTTAAGATGGAATCCTTCCTTTACTAGGTTGTTTTGGGCTTGCTTGCTAAATTGTCCAGATTGCAAATCACTTGATTAGGGCTGGAGGAGGAAAAGCAGCACCTGGGTAAAGTAAAAAAAATAAGTTGCCCCCCACCTCCCCCCGCCAGGAGGCCAAAGCAAATCCCACGATGGATTATCTTGCTTTGTTTTTTGCCAGAGGCCCTCACCCTACTCTAAGCCCATGGTCCCTGTCTCACCGGGGTACCTGCACCTGCCCAGAGTCCGGGGGGACTTCCAGCCCCAGCTTCAGAGCTGCAGGAGGGAGGCGGAGGCAAGGGTGTCCGGGGAGCCCGCGGCTTTCTAAGGGTTTTCCGAGGACACGCAGCCAGAAGACTGGGGGTTGCGGCCTGGAGAAGAGACGTGCACGGAGGGAGGGGTCCCCGCGGGGTCGGGGAGGTCGCGGCGAGCGGAGGGCCCGGGACCCCGTGCAGGAGTAGAGACCGGGCGGGGCCGGTGGGGGGCCCGGCGGGCTTCAGCTTGGATGATGCCGGGGCCGCTGAGCCGCCACTCGCCAAGAGTCGAGGAGAGCAGCGCCCCGGCCCCGCGGCTCCCCGCGCCGGAGCATTCGGGTCTCCACTGCGCAGGCTGGTCAGGGAATGACAAGGGTCTGGTGGCTGTGCGCTGTGCGTGGGGCTGGGCCGATGGCCGAGGGCTGGACCAATGGGCGAGGGCTGGATAGATGGGCGCGGAAGAACCGATGGCGAGTATGCTGCGCCGTCAAGAATGCTGGGTTGAGCGATGCCAGTGGTTTCAATGAGCGACGGGGGCGAACGAGGCCTTTAAACAAACTCTTCAGCTTTCTTCGCAGGGAGCTGGAGTGAAACCCTAGGGGATGTCAGGAGTCTCAGTTAAATCCACCCCTTCGTGCTGGGAGAATCCCACCCCCGGACTTGATGCCAAGTCTCAAGCTTGCCGACGCTCCGCCCCCGGACGCCGTCGTCCAATCCCGGACTTTCCCCGCCCCTTCTCTAGGCCTGGACGCGCCCCCGCGCGCCGATTGGTCGGATCCCTGGTTCGGCTCCCCTGGAGGAAGCGGAGTTCGCCCGGCAGCGGGCCCCCGCGGCCCTATTGCGCATGCTCGCGCCTTGACCCCAGCTTGAGGTGACTGACCGAGCCGAGGCGGGGACCCCAAGCTCGGAGGCTGAAGGACCCGCCGCGGCTCATTTGCGGGAAAAGGAGGGCCCTGCTGCTGTCGCCGCCCGGCCGGTGACCGGTGAGCACGGGTCCCAGCGGGCGGGAGGGGTCCGAATTCCACAGCGTGGCCGCGCGCCCGCCGGGCTCTGCTCCGACTCCGAGGGCTGCTGCTGCGATGCTGTGGGGGGAGGTGGTCCCCGTCCCTGAGTCCCGGCGCCTCCTTCAGCCGCGGCGCGCCTCCCTTCTCGCTTCTCCCTCCCCCCGACCTGGGGGGGACTGAGCCCCGACACCCTCACATCGGTCCGCCTTTCCTTGATCCCACCCAGGGGGATGTCCCCCCAGTACTGCTCCGGCCCCAGCCCCGTCTGGCCCTTACGGCTCTGGAGGTCCCCACAGGGATGGCAGTTGGAGGTGTGAGGTATTGGACGGCGGAGACATTCCGGAGGCCTGGTCAGGAGGTGGTGGTAATGACGGGAGAGGGAAAGCTGGGGCCATCTGGGCGCAGCATGGACAGGTCTGGTGACAAGAGACACAGGGTAAGGAGAAGGAAAAATAACCAAGCTTCCGAGCCATGATGAAGAGGGGAAAAGGAGGTGCCATTATATGGAATTCCCACTTTGGGGAAGCTCTTCCCTGCATGGTACAGAGTAGCAGTTCTGGATCTTTTCTGGGTTACTGCGGCTTTGAAAATCTCACGCAAGGATGTGTGCTTGCACACCCGAGCGGACTTATCAGCCCACCTGCAGCCCAATCACAGCTCCCTCTGAACCGAATGAGACAGTGATTGTGGAGGGGGCAGCCGTCAGGATCACCTGTAGCTTTTGAAAGCAACTTCACTCCTGCATACCTGGTATAAGAACCGCTGCTACATTCGCCACCATTCCCATTACACAGGTGCAGCCAGCCCAGAGATGGTTAAGGGGTCTGGCCTCCTGGCTGAGGACCCAGCAGTTGGTGCACATTGATGGTATTTCTGTCCCATATATATGAAGGTAATTCTCTGGATCTGTCATCAGCCTCCAGGCAAAATTCCTGGCTTTCAGAACCTCACCAACAAGGGATTGGACTTCATATTAGTTACCTATTGCAGCTGTAACAAATTACTGCAAATTTAGTGGCTTCAAACAGGAAAGCTTTGTAACAGTCTTACAGTTCTGGAGGTCAGAAGTCTGACATGGGTCTCACTGGATTAAAATTAAGGTGTGAGCAAGGCTGTGTTCCTTTCTTGGTGCTTTAGAAGAGACAACGAGCTTCTTTGTCTTTTCCAGCTTCTAGAGGCCTCCAGCATTCCCTGGCTCATGGCCCCCTCCCTCCATCTTCAAAGCCGGGAACATCACATCCCTATGACCCTGCTTCATTACATCATTTTCTCTGACTTCTGCTTCCCTCTTCTGCTTTGTAAAACCCTTGGGATTGGCCCCATTTGATAATCCAAGATACCCTCCCAGTAACTCCTAGTAGCTTTCATGCCATGGCCCTGTAAAATGACATATTTATAGGTTCCAGGGATTAGGACCCAGAAGCCTATGGGGGACCATGATTTTGCCTCCCAATATGTGCGAGAGGCTCCTGCTGTTCTTAACAATGAGTGACTTGGGATTTCCACCAAACGACCTTTACACTTCTGGATCTCCTTTATACACAGCAGTGTCCTAGCGGCCTGTTAGGGGGAGAGGGGCCTGGAGACCAGTGGCGATATCAAACCATCAGATTGTAGTACTGGGGGGGAGGATGTAAAGTAAATGATGTCAGGTAGACTGAGGCCTTTTGATCTTTTAATTCCTTTCTGCTTCACTTTTTAAAATTCTGTTTATTCCATGAACTATTATTATTAAGCGAAAATCTAATTTTCAAAAAATTTGTTAAACTTAAAATAGCTGCCTCTCAACTGTTCACTTCACACCTAGAAAATAAATTGCCAGGTTAAGTAAGGATGAATGCAGGGAAGAGACTATCCAGCCGGAAGGACATGTGCCCCCTGTAGTGTAGAAGAAGCTGAAGAACGGTTCAACCTATGAACTAGAAATTACAGACTTCTCCAGTAGAGGGCTCATAGCATCCTCCATGTTTCTCAACGTATCACGATCAAATGGGGTACTGGTTAAAAAAAAAGAGTAGATTCTCAGGTCCCTCTCCAGAACCTCTCTGAGAAATCGGGGTTGGAGTAGTCCGAGCCTGTGCATTTTTAACAAGAGTGTTAGGTCTAGTGAAATTCAGGAAGCACTGGTTGTAGATTTGATTTCCCTTTTCCTTAATGTGTAACAGTTTCATTGAGATTCGCATAGCACTCACTCACACTGTACAGTTTAGTGGCTTTAGTATAGTCGCAAAGCTGTGCAGACACCCCCATGATCAGTTGTAAAACATTTTTATCTCTCTGGAAACCTGAAGCCCACCCACTGTCACTCATTCTCTCATTCTCCATCCCTCCCACACCTAGCCAGAGACCACCACAAATCTGCTTTCTGTCACTATGGATTTCTCTACTCTGTAGATTTTCTAGACTCTGCTGCATTTAATATAAATGAACTCATACAACAGTGGTCTTTGAGGACCAGCTTCTTTTACTTTGCATGATCTTTTTAAGGTTCAGCCACGGAGCATGGGTTTTTTTAAATTGCCAAATCATACCCCATTGGATAGCCATGCCACACTCTGTCCACTCATCCTTTGATGGATATTTGGGCTGTTTCCACCTTTTGGTGACAATAATACCGCTGTGTACAAGTCCTTATGTAGATGTATGTTTCCATTTCTCTTGGGTACATATTAAAGTGGAATTGCTGGGTCCTGTGGTAATTCTATGCATAACCTTTTGAGGAACCACCAGACTGTTTTCCAAAGTGGCTGCACTACATACATCCCCACAAGCAGTATATGAGTATATCCAGTTTCTCCTCATCTGCACTGACACTTGTTATTGTCTATTTTGAGTGTTTCGTTATGCCCATCCTAGTGGTGTGAAGTAGCATCTCACTGTGGTTTTGTTCCGAACTTCCTTCATGACCAGTCATGTTAAACATCTCATGTGTGGACTGGCCATTCATACATCTTGGAGAAAGGCCTACTGGGAGTCTTTGCCCATTTTTAAATTGGCATGTCTTTTTATTACTGAGTTGTTAAAGCCTGTTACAAATTCCAGATCCAAGTCCCTTATCAGATGCGTGATTGACAAAATTTTTCTCCCATTCTATGGGTCGTCTTTGAACTTTCTTAATGGTGTCCTTTGACTCACCGAAGTTTTAAATTTTTATGAAGTCCAATTTATCCGTTTCTTCTTTGGTTGCATGTAGTTTTAATGAAAAGCTTTTTGAAGAAGAAAAAAGAAAACTTTGCTTAATCCAAGGTTGCAAAGATTTACTCCTGTCTTTTTTCTTTTTTTAAGAGTTCTATCTACTTCTTACAGTTAAGTCTGTGATCCTTTTAGAGTTAATTACATGTGGTGTGAAGGGGTCTGACTACAGGAGGTTTCATCCCCTACCAGCCAGGGGGCCCGGGTGTCAGGGAGATAGGGCACCTGGGCCAATCAGCGTGTGGGGGCAGGATGGCCTGTGGGCGGGGCTCCCCATTGTAACCCCATCCTGCCCAAAGGGGCCCTGCCAGGGGGGGCACTAGTTGTGTTTTTTCTGTGGCAGTCCCCATGTTCCCCCAGTTCCCAGTACTGACCCGTCACCCTGTGGGACAGCATGGGCAGGACTGGGAAGGACCACATGGGAGGAGCAGAGGTTGGGTTGTCCCAGGGCTGAGCTGGGCGCAGGAGGCATAGTGAGACCCCAGTCCCGGTGCCTGTGGTGAGGTAACTCCTTGCCAGGCAGCAGTTCCTTGAGGATTGACCCCGTGTCTGCCTGTCCCAGTCCAAGAGATCTCTGCTTTTGTGTCTAGTGGCCAAGGCACTAGGGAGGGGGGCTTGCAGGGCACAGGGCACCCCAATCCCCCACCAGCCTAGCACACCAGGCTCCTTTCATAGATGATGGGATCTTGGAAAATGCTGGGGTGCTGGGAATGGCCCCTTCAAGCCATATGCCTTGAGAAATGTCCAAAACCCAGTGAGGACTGCAAAGCCAGTTAGAGAAACAGGTCGAGGAGCAAGAGGGCAACTATGGGCCTTGCTGCTGCCTGGGTCCTGGGCAGAGGCGCGAGGCAGCTGCCAGGCTGCAATCCTGTTTGGGGCTGAAAATGGAGAAAAACCCACCACCCAGTCACCCCCAACAGACAAAGGCCACCCCAGGGTCCTGGGCACCAGGCCAGCCCTGCCCCTGTAATCCGTCCTTTCTGCTTCCCCAGGCCAGATGCCCAGGAGCCCTCGGTGACGGGAATTCTCCAGCCACTCCACAGCCCTGTCTCTGCCCAGTGGAGACAGCCGCGGCTCAGGCACAAGGTCTCTGTCCTCCTGGGGCCCTGGCATCTCCTGAGCACTGGGGCCTGGGCCTCGGCCTGGGATGGGGCAGGGTCTACCTGAGTCCATATCCTGCCTCCCATACCAGGCTTCCCTCTGTGGTCTGCAGGGGGCCGGGAGGTCTAGCCCGGGCTCCCTGTGACACAGGGCAAAAGGCACCGGGCACTCTGGGAGGATCAGTGACCTGAGCTCATGTCCCCAAAGTGCTCGTCACCAACCCCTGGTGCTCACGAGCACCAGTTCCCGTTATCCCGGCCCAGGTGCCCAGGTGCTGCGTGGGGATGGCGTCTGGACCTGCCTTGTGGCCACGCTGGCCGCCCAGTGCCTCTCGGGTCCCTACCTGTAATCTGGGTCAATGAGAATGACCAACTTCCCTAGCACGGGGCCTAAAGTTAAACGGCAAACCCGTGCAAACGCTTCGCCCCAGGCTCAGCATCTCCCGCCTGGATTGGCAGTACCTCACAGTGGTCAGTCCTTTGGCTGCCCCAGCAGCTCCTGGAGAACCTGTGTTTGGTCTGTTTCAGAGACGGAGAGTGGGGTTTGAATCGGGGAGGTGCCAGACCCAGGGCTGCCAAGGGAGGGTGTGGCCGAGCAGAAGCACGGGCCTGGGTTCTGTAGCCCCATTCAGGTCCTTCCCCAGCCTCCAGCCTCTCAGCCCCGGGGGTATGGGGGCAGCCCCGTCTGCCCCAACTTCCACCCCAGATCCGCCTTCCTGAGTCCCAGGCCCAGGGGAGCCTCTGCTGATGGGATTTTGCCTCTTCCCTTAGGACGGAGACCCAGGACTGCGAGGTGCCTTGCTGGGGAAGAGGAGGAGAAACCCATCGGCTGGGGCCTGCGTGTGGCCTGGGGGACGGGCCGTTGGTCTCGGAATGCCCCTGCCCGAGCCCAGGGAGCAGGAGGGGAAGAGCGTGAGAGCCGCCCAGGAGCCGTCCCCCGAGTCCCCTGAGCCAGGCACAGATGTGGTCCCTGCTGCCCCCACGAAGCCCAGAAAGTTCTCCAAACTGGTCCTGTTGACAGCTTCCAAAGACAGTGCCAAAGTGGCTGGGGCCAAGCGCAAGGGTGTGCACTGCATTATGTCCCTGGGGGTGCCCGGGCCTGCCACTCTCGCCAAAGCCTTGCTCAAGATCCATCCTGAGGCTGAGCGGGCCATTGAGGCAGCCCCCCAGGGGCCTGAGCAGAAACGCAGCAAGGTGGACACAGGTGAGGCCCCAGGCCCAGGGTGTGAGCGACACCTGCTGGTCTCAATACAGTTGGCAGCCAGGAGGCGGATAGGCTAGGCTGGCCCTGGAGGGAGTGTGTGTGCGTGTGTTTTCTCTGTCCATGTCACATCTCATGAATCTCCGTGGGTGCATGTGTGGCCAAGGTTCTGTCTGGCCATGTATTCGCCTAGGAGGGTAGTTTGTGTGTCCCTTTAGGTGCATTTGTCTGATTCCTTGTGTGTCTGGGTTCTGGGCCTATTTCTGTGCATGTCTGCCCTTATGTGTCTGGGGTCTGGTGTTCTGCGGAGGTGTGTCTCTGTGCCAGAGTCTGTGTGAGGCCCCAAACAGACCCTCCATGCAGCTGGTGCTGGTGACATTGGAACATGAATGCATCTTTGGGCGTGGAGCCCTGAGGGTGCTCAGGGAAGGGGAAGCCCAGCAGTTGGGGAGGAGATGAGCTGGCATTTCTTCCTGGAAGTGGGGTCTGCTGAGAAGATGGGGACAATAAAAGTCAGTGTTGGCCTCCATTTGCTGCCTGCGAACAGGCAGCCACCTTGGAGTAGGCCCAGGCACCTGGCCCGGCAGCCAGTCCTGAGAAAGGGAGCAGGCTCCTCCTGGCTTCTGTCGTTGAGCCATGCAGGGGACCCCATCTCACTGATGGAAACTTAGGGGTTTGTGACGTGAAGTCATTTGGGTAGGAACCCCACTGCTTCTCCTGGAGCTGAAAGCCCCTCAAAGCAGCTGAAATGGGGGTGTCCCCAACCACAGGCCTGGAGTTCTCAGGGAACCTGAGGGCCTCCTGGGCCTCCTTCACCTGTTGGACATGAGCAGTACTCAAAGGGTCTGGGGGACTTTCGTCTCCCGGGAGCTAGGGGCCCCTCTGCAGTGTGCCCAGCTCCCCCATGAGTGCTTGCACCAGCCAGACCTGCTCCAGGTGCCTCCTCTGCCCACCTTCTGCTCCTGCCCTCCCAGGGGTGGAGGTGCTGGCCCCCTGACATGTGGCGAGGCAGGGCTCGGGAGGACCACGACCTGGCCCCTGCGGAGGCTGGGGTAGGAAGCATCTGGTTTAGGGCCCATTCTTCGCACTGAGCTCTGTGGGATGGGCCGTCTCCAGGGTCCCTTCCACTGGGTCTGAGACCTCTGCTCACTCCTCAGATCTGTCTGGGCTCTGGGGCCACACCCCACATGGTAACTGTGGAGAATTGGAACAAAGCTGCCCTTCCTCAGATGGAGAGAGAGCAAGGGTCATGTCTCAGACCGTGCGGCTCCCCGAGGCAGGTGCCTCTGGCCAGTCAACAACCCTGTCAGCCTCCCTCCCTGTCTAGCTCTGTGCCTGGGGCACAGCCTTGCCTGCCTCCTGCCCCAGCCCAGGCCAAGAGAAGAAGATAGCAGCAGGCTCCCCAGGTTTGGTCCGGAGTTTCCCAGCAGTGGTCCTGTGCCCCTGGGCTGGCTGCCTGTGGGAGCGTGTGCTTGGAGTTGGTCATTACTTCTCTAGGTCAGCAGCGCCACAGAGGCCCAGCACAGCCCCTAGTGGGCTGAGAACTCCAGGCCCGTCACCCACCCCTCCTTTTCCCTTTGACACCAGCCTGACCCACCCCCTTCTCTTCCAGATGGAAAGGAAGATGGAAGGTTGGCAGGGTGGCCTGCCCCCAGTCCCACGGTGGGTAGGGAGGAGCCCACCAAGGACCCCATGGTGCCCACCGAGGCCCCGTAACCCCAACAACTGCAGCGTGTCCTCACTGGGTTAGTGGACTTGGCTGTGTCCCAGTCGCCAACTGACTTTCACTCTCAACATGTAAATATTTTCAGATTAAGCATAAGTTACTTTTGTAAGCAGAAAAAAAAATTAAAAAAAGAATAAAAGTCTGTGTGATGGACAGGTTTTTAAAATTCCAGGATTCTGGGTCCTTTGAGACCGCAGTGGGATGCGGGGGGCACAGCCGAGGAAGCCCCATGGCAGGAGCTAACGGGTGAGGAGGGTGGGCCTGGGGCACGGGAGCAGGGCAGGAAGGCCAGCAAGGGGGGAGTGGTGGGCAGAAGCTGGTGGCTCAGGGCCTGGAGGCCTGAAGGCCACATGAGGGTTCCAGGTTCATCATGGGTAGCAGGAGGCAGGAGAGGATTCTTGCGGAGAGAAACCCCGGGGCCCTAAGCATGGACTGGCGGGTCGCGGGTCGGGGGGGCAGGGTGCGCTGGAGGGGACTGAGGCCTGGCCTGCCCAGCTGACAGTGACCCCCCGGGGAGAATCCGGGAGAAGGGGTCCATGGGAAATGACCGTTCAGTGTCATACTGTGGCTTCCTCCTGGACGATGTGTCCCCGTGAGGAGAGGGCTCCCACCAAGGACCGAGCGGAAAACCCTCCGAGGTCGGATGCCAGCTCCTGGCTTCCTGACTCTCTGGTGGGTGGGTGGGCATTAATTATGATGGGGATAAAAAGTAAAATACCACACATTTCCTCTCAAAAAATAAATTGTATTGGTCTTTCGTTAAAGCTTAAAAAAAGTAATTCATGGTTATTAAAATCAATAGAAAATACTGTTTATGAAAAATATTACAAATCTCTCCAGTAGTTCCACCATCTAGAAATAAGTCTGCTACATTTTTTAGATTCAGAAAACGGGGATGATGCAGCTCACATGTTTTTCTTCACATATTACAGATGTCTTTACAGCATTGTTCTCTGGCAGCACAACATACTGCTGCAGGACAGGTGACCATCTGTCCCAGCGATTCCGATCGCCGGGTCATCCCGGCTTCTCCAGATCGTTAACTATACTTTAAATAGTCCTGGGCTTTCCTAGGACGAATCCAGAAGCGAGATGGCTGCTCCCCGGTAGGACGCGACAACTACCGTCCCGTCCAGGCCTGTGAACAACCCCCTCAGGCATCCCTGTCAACAACCAGCGCTATTATGAAAAATTAATAGTGATGACGGCACCCGACGCCTCACTCTGTGAGCACACCGCTGGGACCCGCCCGGTGCCTGTCCTTGTATTCTTTCCGGGAGGTTGCGTTTTTCCCGGGTCAATGCGGAGCGCAGGTCTCCCGCTTCCTCGGACCCGCAGCTGACCAGACTCGGAGGCCGGTGCTCCCGACGGCCGGGAGGGGGCGCGCGCGGGCTCAAGGGCGGGCCGGGCGCCTCCCGGATCCCCAGCCCGCGAGGGCCGCGGTACCCCAGGCCCCCAGCATCCCTGCCGGGCTCTTGAAGACCAAGGAACGAGCACCGACTCGAACGGCCTTCTGCGGGCCGGGGACTGGATCGGACGGGGAGGATCCCTCGGTGACCGCCCGGCAGCTGGCGGCGACGGGGAGACGCGAGCGGGACTTCCCTGCACGGCCCCCACCCGCACAGGAGCGGCCCTGCCCCCTGCGTTCTATTCCCCGCCGCGCCCACCCCTCCCAGGGGGCCGCCTACCTCACTGTTCCCACGGCTCCTCGCCCGCCCCCCAGCCCAGCTGTGGGCCCCCCACTCTCACCCCAGAGCCGGGTCTTCGCGCAGTTGTGCCCCTAAGGGCCGAGTGCGACGATGGGCGGAGAGGTGCAGGGGAGCAGGACCCCGAGGGCAGGGGCAGCGCGGAGCCGCGCGTGAGACGCGAGTGGAAGGGCCCCGAGATGGAGGAAGAGCTGGAGGCCCAGGGCCGGCGGGCCCCGGGGGACCTGCACCTGCACCTGCCCGGAGCCTGGGGGAACTTCCAGCCCCAGCGGAGGGGAGGGTGTCCGGGGAGCCCGCGGCTTTCTAGGGGTTTTCCGAGGACACGCAGCCGGAAGACTCGGGGCTCCGGCCAGGCGAAGGGGAGTGCACGGAGGGAGGGGTCCCCGCGGGGTCGGAGAGGTCGTGGCGAGCGGAGGGCCCGGGACCCCGTGCAGCAGTGGAGCCCGGCGGGCGTCAGCTTGGATGACGCCGGGGGCCGCTGCGGTCGCCACTGGTCAGGAATCCAGGAGAGCAGTGCCCCGGCCCCGCGGCTCCCCGCGCTGGAGCATTCGGGTCCCCACTGCGCAGGCTGGTCAGGGAATGACAAGGGTCCGGTGGCTGTGCGCTGTGTGTGGGGCTGGGCTGATGGCCCAGTGCTGGACCAGTGGGCTAGAGTGGTATGGTAGAGAAGATGCTCTCCCCTCCGGGACTCCCAAAGGGTAGGTATTTTTGTTTATCTGACGTTTTATTTTGACGTAATTTCACACTTACAGGAAAGCTGTGAGAAATGTACAAAGTATTACCACGTATTTGTTACCCAGATTCCCCAAATGTTAGGAATAAAGCCAGCCACAGCAGCAATATTTATAATAGTGAAATTTAGAAATGAAATGTCTAATAGGAAAATAAATTATGAAGTCAATTACATGTAAAATAAACTTTTAGTGCAGGGGGATGTTTACAATGTAGAGAAGTGGAAAACGCAGGAATATATGAAAACAATTGCTGTGAAATGTTTTTTTTCTCCATGTAATACTTGAAATAATTCATTTTCAAAAAGATTGACAGGGAAGACAACTGGAAACTCATGGGATTCAGGACAGCCAAAACCATCCTGAAAAAGTTGGAGGACTCACACTCTCTGATTTTAAACGTCCTGCAAAACAACAGTAATCAAAGCCATGTGGTACTGACATAGAGATTGCCAAGATCAGTGGAATATAATTGAGAGTCCAGAAGTAAATCCACACATTTATGGGCAATTGATTTTCAACAAGGGTGCCAAAATAATTAAATGGAGGAAAGAATAGTCTTTTCAACAAATGGCACTGGGACAACGAGGATATCCACCTGCAAAAGAATGAAGTTGGAGCCCTACCTCACACCATGTGCAAAATAACTCAAAACAGGTCTAAGACTTAGATGTAAGAGGTAAACTATAGAACTCTTAAAGTGCATAGAGGTAAATATTTATGAACTTGGATTAGGCAGTGATTTCTTGGTGTGACATTTAAAGAAGAAGCAACAAAATAAATAAAACTCATGAATTGGACATCATCAAAATTAAGAACTTTTGTGCTTCAAAGGACACCATTTCAACCGGAGGTACTGAAATGAAAAGACAACCCACAGAATCAGGAAAAGTTTTTGCAAATCATTTGTCTGATAAGGGACTTACATCTACTATATAGAAAGAACTCTTATCCTCAATAATAAAATAACAATCTAATTTTATCACAGGCAAAGGTCTGAATAGATATTTCTCCAAAGGAGATACACCAGTAGTAAATAAGCATATGAGAAGAGGCTTAACATCATTAGCCTCAAGGAAATGGAAATCAAAACCACAATGAGATACCACTTCATATCCACTAGCATGTATAATCAGAAAGACAGATAATAGCAAGTGTTGACAAGGACATGGAGAAATCTGAGCCATCACACACCACTAGTAGGAATGTAAAACGCCGCAGACCCTATGGAAGAACTGTCTGGCAGCCCCTCAAATGGTTAAACATAGAGTTGTTACCACAGGACCCAGTGTTATCAAGTCCAAGCTTGTGCCATTCACCACATGATGTGCCAATAAATTGAGAGATAAGATATTGGGGCATTGAAAGTGACTTTATTCCGGAAGCCAGCAGACCAAGAAGATAGTGTTCTCATGTCCTAAAGAACCGTCTTATCTTAGGATTGATTTCAAGCTTCTATATTAGGGAAGTGGGGAACAGAAGGGGCTTGTGGAAAGGAGATGATGATAGACTTAAGACATCTGGACATCAGCAAGCCTCTGGGGAGGGGGGTGACACTCCTGGTCCTTAGTCGTCTCCAGTCATTTTGGTGACATGGGACTGGCCATGATGTTCCTACAAGTCCTTGACAATTCAGTTGTCACTTCTGTACATACTTTATCTCCTCAGGTAAGGAACTGATTGCCCCAATCTTAAGCATGAGGAAGATTCCTTCTGACGATTAACAAGCATATGTGCAGGGCTGAGCAGAAGTTCTTAGACCCAAAGATTAAGGTAGCAAAAGTGATGGATACAATAATGAAGGCAAAGATGCCAAGGTTTTCACTTGGTTATACCAGCTATTCTACTCCTAGGTGTATACCCAAAAGAAATGAAAATACATGTTCACACAGAAATTTGTACATCAATGTTCATAGAAGTAGTATTCATAGTAGCTAAAAAGTGTAAAGAAGACCACTGTCTACCAACAGATGAATGGATAAACAACTTGTAGTATATCCATATAAGGCAGTGCTCTTTGGCCATAGAAAGGAGTAAAGTACAGCTGTATGCCACAACATAGATTAACTTTGAAAACAGTATGAAAGAAGCCAGACACACACAAAAACACATATTGTATGATTCCATTTATGTGAAATGTCCAGGACAGGCAAATCTATAGAGAGGAAAAGTAGGTTAATATTTGCTTAGGGTGGGAGGGTGGGGACTTGGAAGTGATGACTGAAAGTTTACTTTTAGAATGATGAAAATGTTCTAAAACGGATTGTGGTGATGTCCTTACATCTCTGTAAATACACTAAAATCCATTGAATTGTACACTTTAAAAGGGTGATTGTATGGTATGTGAACTACATCTCAAAGTTGTTACCAAAAAAGAATAATAACCTTTTATGTGTTAATGTGTTTTTATGAAAAATTACTTTATTTTCCACAATAAAAAAAATTTAAAAGAAGAATGGCATTGTTTTACATTTTTGCAAAATTTTTAATGTAGGCCTAGGGAAAGACTACAGGTTCTTGTATGTGCTTTATCATTCAACCTGCACGACATCACAAGTCCTTTGGAGTATTCCAGAAGTCCTCCAGGACCCTCCAAACCACACTTAGAGAACCATTTCTGTACTGTAATGTTCATATTTTATCCTTTGTAATTAATAAGCATCTTGTGGGGAGACACTTTAGAATTTAGAATTATGTTAATTCTAGTTTCTTGTTAAGTTTCACCCTCCAAAGGCCACCAGTGATTTTTGCCGAAGTCACTTACTTTTTTAGGATGGTCGCCAAATGGTGATTTTCTTAATCATTCCTTCTGCAGTTTTTAGTTGGCTTTGTACTTTAAGAAAGGGCTTTCCCTTCTCCCCGTTACTTATCTACATCAGTATCCATTCACGGATTCTTATTGTATTCAAAGTTATAATTCGTTATTATTGACTTTGAATCTCAAATTGGCTCAGCATTTGGGTGGGGCCATTTGAAGGTTTCAATGAGGTGCAGAAGAAATTTCCTTCTTCTGGCTAAGGTAACTAAGGTACATGGCCGGCCTAAGGATGCATTTAAATAAATGCCACCGACTACTGAGCTCGGAGTCAAATTCTGGGAAAGGTCTGGGGGCTCAACGAAGCCCCCACTCTCTTGTCTGAGAGCGCCCTGCCCAGGATCCAGTCCAACCCACAAGTCCGACCGACCGACGCTCCGCCCCCGTGGCCGCCGCCCAATCCTGGTCTTGCCCCGCCTCTTTCGCGAGCTCTGGCCCCTCCCCCCAGCGCGGATTGGTCAGGCCCCCAGCTGCGCGCCGCAGACAGAAGACCCGGAGAAGCGGAGTTTGACCAAGGAACGTCTCCACCCCCGCCACCGCAGCCGTGCTGCGCATGCTCGCTGGGAGCCCACTGAGCGTTCCGAGGCCGGCTCTCCCGAGGGGGTGGGGGGAATGGCGCGCGCTCCCGACGGCCAGCGGGCGGCGCGCGCGGGCACGGGCTCGCTCCCGGAGGGCAGGTGGGGGCGGGGAGCGGCCCCCGGGTTGCGCTGGCCAGTGCGGCCTGGGCCGTGAGGTCGACGCCTGTGCTTGCAGCGGCCGAGGCCAAAGGACCCGCTGCGGCTGGGTCGCCGGAGAGGGAGGGCCCCGCTGCCGTCGCCGGCCGGCCGGTGCCCGGTGAGGACGGGGCCCAGCGGGAGGGAGGGGCCGAGTCCCACGGCGTGGCCGCGCGCCGGCCGGACCCTCCCGGGGGCGCCGAGGGCTGCTGCTGCGATGCTGGGGGCGTCTCCGGCCCTGCGTCACGGCGCCTCCACATCCCGGCGCATCCCTGCACCCGAGACGCGCCTCCTTTCTCCGCCAGCCCCCCGACCTGGGACGGAACCCCGACACCCACGTCGGGGGCCGCTTCTCCGCCGGCCCCCCGGCCCCGCCAGCCGCGTGCCACCCGCGGGGCTCTGCAGGTCCCGGTGACCTTGCAGTTTGTGCTGTTACACCCTCCTTCCGTTTCTGATTCTGTAGATTGCTCGTTGTGACTTTCCAAAGTTTTTTGAGTCAACCTACGCTGAGAAATGTTTTGAGCCCTTGTGCATAAGCTTAGAGGGAGATACCGCCCTGACGTCGCGCCATGCAGCCGGTCTCCGCAGCTGTTCTGTCCTATTGTGCTCTAATCTGTCCGGTCCCCTCCTTCCATTCCAAAAGATGACTGCTGACCCATTACACTGATTTCAGGGCGCAGTGGGTCTGCCCATAGTTTGAAGCCCTTGCTTTGGCCGACAGGCATTCTCTGGGTTTACTCTTTGCCTTTGAGGATGCTGTGCTCCAATCACATAATCACGCGGAACCGTCAGTTCCAAAGAAAGGGTGTATGTTTAATATTTTGATATTTCTGCTTTTCAGGGCCAAAATCATTCCCAGGACTTGATTTGAATTTTCTGGTTTGATTTTCTTGTTCCTCTTCCAAAAGCTTCTAGGCGGACTTGGGCAAGAGACAGGTATGAGGTTAAGGCTAGATTGTGTTTATAACCAGATGCAGACGATTTTTACTGGGGAGAGAGATGATGAAAAGTTGAGGTTAGGGAGATTAACCTGCGGGCATGCGTAGGGAGAATTGGAATGGCCTGATGGGAAGAACATGAAGGAGGTGATGGGGATCTGAGCCCTGCGGGATGTGGAGGGAGGTGTGGGAGATGGGGCATGGGGCATGGAGAGGACTCAATCCGAGGATTCAGTGGCCTGGTGGGAGAGGAGCAAAGACAGCTAAGGCTCTGATCACGGGGGTCTGGAGGACTGGGAGCCAGGAGTACCCTTAGCTGGCATCTCCCTGTTTGTGCCCTCTGCGTCTCTAAGTTCCTTTGGAGCAGTGGTTCTCAGGGGGCTTTCAGCAATGTTGGATGTCAGAACATGGTGCTACTGGCATCTAGCAGGCAGAGGTCAGGGATGGTGCTAAACATCCCTCACTCGCAGGCAGACACCCACCACGAAGTATGTGATGCCGAACGCCAGTGGTGCTGCAGGTGAGAAGCCCTGCTTTAGAACAGCACGCCTTAATCTTTGGGGGATCACTGCCACCTGCAGCCTCTCCCGGGCATAATTCCCGTAGGCACCTAGGACACGGGGGTTCATGGGCCAGCCAGTGCCCGCCTCTAGCCCTCATAGATCCCTGGGGTGAAGGGACAGCAGTGAGAATCATCCAGAAGCTTCCAAACATTAGGACTCTGTTCCTCCCGCTCCTGCCCCTCAGGACCCTGTTGGACCTGGATGAAGAACTCCAGGCCCTTATGTGATAATTTTGCGTGTAATACCTCACCTGTCATTTTTCCCGTTTCACAGGTGAAGTCAGCCCAGAGGAGTGAAGCAGTTCGCCCCAAGTCTCCCCCCAGCAAGCCAGCACTGAGGAGCCTCGTGCTGGGAGCTGATGCTGGTGGTTCTCACTCTCATGTGTGAAGGTAATTTCATTGATCTGCCATCAGCTGCTGAGTGAAGCTCTGTCTTTCAGGACCTTATGGATTAGGGCTTGGACCCAGGGTGTCTGAGAGGCACTTAGCAGTTGGTAGTATTGTGTCTCTTGGGTGTTGTGTTTACCCTGAGCCCTTTGGGACCACCGGCAGGACAGCCGTGTCAGAGCAGGCCTTCTGAGTACTGAACTCAACCACTCTGACCTCAGCCCTCAGCTTGGGGAGAGGGGAATGAGGATAATAGCGGGACGAGCCACAGAGTGGGGCTCTTGAACTTCCCATTTACATCTGCCTGACCTAAGAATCCTCCAGTCACTCAACAAATTTACTGAGGAAGAATAAATGTATTGACTATTACACGATGAACACATTAGGGCTCAAGTATTTACCTCAGAACAATGGCCAAAGTAAGAAAATACCTTTAAATCTACCTTGAATATATATATGTGTATAATGAATAAAAGTTTCATAAAATGATACTTTTATTACATGCATTGAAGATTGATATTTCCTATGTAATTTTAAAAATTGCAGACTGGTATCCAAAGATTATAGGACCAATGACCAGGGCAATTTGAAAAGCAGAGCCTTAGACCAAAACAAAGGAAATAGAACTCTTTCCTACAGATATAAAATGACCACATATGAAATCTTTTACTTAACTCATGAATCAAAGAGCCAGTAATGTCTTACCAGCAGATTGCAAGAGAATCCAAAGAAGATTCTATGATACTGTGGATCAGGAATACTGAAATGAATGTGCGCTTGGGGGCAGAACTGGCTTCTACCAGTAGGAAGAATTACTTCCATGTCTCTATTTATTTACAGAGATTTTATTGTCTATAGACTAGAATCATTTTGCATTGTTACCTACAGTGTACAGAACTGTGTAACCTGGAAGGGTGTGTTCTAGACAATGCTTAATTTTCCACTGAAGCGCAAATTTCCCTGCAGTCTCATAATCTCAGTGATTACTTACTGGAGTGTTGAGCAACATCCTTGGGCCCTAACCATTAGATGCCAGTAGCATGCCCTGCCCCCAGTTGTGAGCACCGAACATGTCTCTGGACATTGTCAAGTGGGGGAGCAATTCACCCCGAGAACCACCAGTCTTAACCTACTACGTTGATATCTATCAGTTGGAATCCTCAACTTGAAAAGAACTGTTTTAATGTAAGAGTTTAGGCCTTCAGGGCAGACACAGGGGGTTTGAATGCTGATTCTGTCCTTTCTTGGCCTGGCTCTTGGTCCCTGGAACCTCAGATTACGCCACAGGGCAGGAGACTGTTTCTCACTCTCACTTGCTCTTTCACCCCAGGAGGTCTCTGGGTCCCTTACTTTCTCTGTCAACTTCCATTGTATCTGTAAGTTTGAAACTTGGGTTTTCAAAAACCTTTTATTTTGAGTTAACTTTAGGCTTTCATAAAATTGCAAAAATAGTACAAAGAATTCCCAGGTACCCATCACCCCGTCTTCCTGAATGTCACCATGCCACCACTGCTGTGCAGCAGTCAGATCCGGGAACGGAACACCGGCACGACGCCAGTGACCCAAACTGTTGATCTCACTCAGATTTCTCCAGCTTCCCCGCCCCCAGCAACCTTTTTCTGTTCTGGGAGCCCACACTGCTTTTAGTCGTCAGGTCTTCTTAGTTCTTAGTCGAGGGCATGTCCTCAGGCTTTCCTTGTCCTTGATGACCTTGACAGGTTCAAAGAAGTTGTTTTGTAGACTGTCCCCCCTGTGGCTTGTCAGTTGGAGCAGGAAAATCTCAGCCATCATGTTGTGTCCTCAGCGCATCTTATCAAAGAGGTCATGGGGTTGATGTGTCTCAGTACTAGTGAAGATGACCTTGATCACGGAAAGGGGTGTTTGCGGATTTCTCCACTATCAAGTTACGATCTTTCCCCTTGTAGTTAATATATCTTTGAGGCTATGTAGTCCTACAACAGAAATTTGAATATACTTGATTAATTGATATTCATTTCTTGGTCCTATTGTTTATATTACTCTTTAATTTCTTGTATGACTTGTTGCATAGGACTGGAATCAGTTTCTGAGTGAAACAGAGTTGAAGAACACATTTCCAAGTGAGGACATGCAGCTTATCTTTACAGCATTTCGTATTTTCCCACTGTAAAGAGAGTTCATGCACATTGTAAATAATTTTGAGAAAACAAAAGAAATGTAACTATTCTTACTGCTTTTAACATTCTGAGGTATTTCTTCCTAGTTTTTTTTAAGTCCTGAGTACATAAAATAAAATTAATAAATGACAAATATGACCAGAGTTGAGAAGAGACAGAAGAAAAATGGACTGTGGGCTGCAAGCAGTGTCAGTGTCCAAGTAACACTGTGATCTCTTTTTTTTTTTTGAAAAAGCTTAGAAAAGATAGCCTTTGCTGAATTTGTTAATTGGATTCTGCTTTCTAACTAATAACTTTTGTAAATACTAAATTTTGGGGGCAGTCTTCTTGAATTATTTTTGTGACATGGAAAAACTCCCAATTTCTTGTGGAAACATGGTGTTTTGCTTTTAATTTTTACCAAGGATGCCAGGTGTTTATTTTAAGGAGCAGCATCGCCATCTTGTGGCCTTCTAGAATATTGGTGCTGGGGATTCAGACAGGTTTTCTTAACTGTTACCGGCCAGCTTACTCAATGCTTTGACCCTTCACAAGGACTCCATCTATCTGGTCTGCAGGGGGAGCTTCCTACACTCTAAAAGGGGAAAAGAAAGCGAACATGTGGAACACAATGTTGTGTGCTACAGTGTGTTAAAGGCATGAACATAAAAGAATGGAAATAGCTGTGCAAGGGCAGGATCATGAGCCATCTACTAATATTATGCTCTTAACATTTAAAAAATGTTTTGTATACGGTTTTTACAATATAAATTATCAACTTACCAAGTATGCAGATATATAATCCATGCCACCCCTCTCCTTTAATGAGGAAACCAAGCCCTGAGTGAGAAGCCTGTTTATGGTATAGAAAATTGTTTTTCATCCAATGAGTCATTCCTATAAGGATTTCTTTTTAAAACAGCTTTAATTGAGATATGAGTCACATACCATACAATTCTCCATCTAGTGTATAATTCAATGGTTTTAGCATATTCACAGTCATGCAGCCATCACCACCATCAAATTTACAGTTTTATCACCCCAGAAAGTAACCCCACACCCCTTAGCATTGCNTACCATGTAGTAATGGAACATACTATGTGGACTTTTGCGTCTGACTTCTTAAACTTAGCGTGTTTTCAAGGTTCCTCCACACTCTAGTGGTGTAGCAGAGCCTCATTCCTTTTTATTGCCGACTAATTCCACATAGGAATAGACCACATACAGGCTGGAGCTGGTGTTTCGGTGGGAGAATGTGGCTGGTCCTACACAGTGGCCAAAGGCGAGAGTGGTGTTTGCAGGGTAGGTAGGTGGCTGCCAGGCAGCCAGGGTGAGAAAGAAGGATGAGGGCTGTTGCAAGTCAAACTGTTAAGGAAGAAAGTGTTTCTGTCCGGTTTTGTTTTAGGATACAGGAGACCTAAGAACCTTGATGGTCCAAATGCAGAGAACCAGCCCAGGCAGAGGTTTGGCTGCCAGGGAGCAGGGAGAAGAATGGTGCAGAGGGGCTCTGGGCATGGGGAGAGGGAGCCGTGGGCTGGGACACTTCATTTCCCAAGTCAGGGTTAAGAGTAACAAGAGCTTAGGAACATATCCATCCTCAGTGGCTAAATGGTGAAACAGATGGATACAAATTGTAAAAATCTGAACCGTGAAGGGATAACTCAGAAATCTGTGTTTGTTGGACATGTGCTGATGATGTCAGCTAAATGGGGCCTTACTACCTATAGTTTGTGAACAAATGTTTTTGCATGTGGCAAAATATACACAACACAAATTTATGACTTGAATCATTTTTAAGTGAAAGGTGAGTGGCATTAAGTATATTCACATTATTGTGCAGCTGTCACTACCATCCCTCTCCTGAACCTTTTTCTTCATCCCAAACTAAAATGCTGTCTCATTAAACAACTCCACATTCCCCCTTCCCCAGCCCCTGGCAACTACCCTTTGACTTTCTGGGAGTTTGAGCCCTCCAGACATCATGTAAGTGGAATCATACAGCATTTGTCCTTTTGTGACTGGCTTAGTTCATGTTACTCCTCAAATACATAATTCTCATTTGCTATCCTTTACACTCAGTGTTTTTGTTCCTCTCTTTGGGTTACAAGCCCTTAAATGTGACCATCTAGGGATTTAACATTTGTGTAGCATGGTGCCTGGAGTTCAGAAGCACTTCAATGTAGGATATTTTACAACCACTAATAACTAATTCTGTCCACCCAAAGGCTAAAACCCACTGTGTTCAGTCACTTGCCAAGAATATCAGATACTGGTGTGTAACAAAAGACCCCTGGTCTTACTGGCTTAAAAGAACAGCAGTTCATTATTATCAGGGTTCCACGGGGTGGCTGGGCTGTTGCTCTGCTGGTTTCTCCTGGCTCCTTCACACCGCCAAACAGCTTCCTCCCTGCCTGGCAATGCCTCCATCCCTGCACGTGGCCTTTCAATAGCTTCCTTCCCTGGCAGTCTCAGGGCCATGTACCAAGAATGTGAGTACTTCACACACAGTGGGTCACACAGGAAATGACCACGCTGGGCTGAAGGCCAGTGCAGATTCAAGGCCACACTGGAAGGGTGGTGCATCCTTTATGGGAGGATTTGCGGTCCTTATACAATCTACACTCCAAGGCCCTTGAATGGTTAAGAGTGGGAGCCATCAATCCAGGCCTCTCCACAGAGAGTACTCAGCCATAGTCCAAGGTCTTCTCATTCACTGGGGCTTTTTCCATAACCTCTGAAATATATGGATCTTGAAAACCTGTTAAACAGAAATTCTAGTGGAGAGAATTGCACTGTCGCCTGACTCGGGGTACCCGTGACCCCAGTACGGGAGGGCAGGCCTTTTTTGTCATGGCAACGCCCCTGGTCCGGAGGAAGCGGGGCGCCGCGGCGGAATGTCTGGGACTGCGGGGGTCGGTGTGTCGGGGACCCTGAAGCCTCACCCTGCCCGGCTGCACAACAGGACGACGCGATCCCATAGCAAGGTGCACCAGGGCCGCTCAGGGACCGCGCCCCGTCGGCGGCCTGACTGGTCTGAGGACCCTGGGGTGGGGGGTCCCGGCCTCTGCGCCCCCGCGCTGCCGGGTGGAGGCCGCCAACGAGGCTGCGGCGCCAGCGGCCCTCGGTGGGGCGCACGGTAGGGACTGTCTCCAGCATCACCGCATGCAGAAGGTGGGGGGCTTCCGGCAGAGTGACCTGTGCCGGGACCAATCAGCGCAGGGAGGAGAGGCCTTGGGCGGGGCTTGCCGCCGTAAACCTTTCTTGCCCAGAAGGCGCTGGCAGGGCCCTCCGTGGCCAGTTCCCAAGTCCCCCGGTGGCCGCCCCGCCACGTCACTCTGGAGGGCAGATGGGCAGGACCGGGAGGGGTGCACGGCAAGAGCAAAGACTGGTCGGAGTCTGGGGACGTCGTGGGATGATCTCTGTCCTCTTACCTGGTGGAGTTCCTTGAGTCTCGCCCCTCCAGACTGGGCTTCCCAAAGAACCTGGGCGGGCAGGTAGTGCAGGTGGCATGACTGTCGGGGATGCAGCGCCCTCTGCAACTCCGCGGGGACCCTGCGGCCCTTTGTCTGGGCTGGCCAGGCCTTGGGAGCTGGATTTGGCTCCCAGATCAGTGAATTTATGAGCAGGAGTGGAGTCCAGGGGAATTGGAACTACAAAACTTGAGATGCAGTGGCAGCGCACAAGTGGGGAAGCTGAAATGTGAGGCGACGCTGCAGTCCTGCTTGAGGCTATCACTGAAAACAGAAAGACCCGCCACCCTCCCAGTCACCCCCAACGGACAAAAGGCCGCCCCAGGGTCCTGGGCACCAGGCCAGCCCTGCCCCTGTAATCCGTCCTTTCTGCTTCCCCAGACCGGATGCCCAGGAGCCCTCGGTGACGGGAATTCTCCAGCCACTCCACAGCCCTGTCTCTGCCCAGTGGAGACAGCCGCGGCTCAGGCACAAGGTCTCTGTCCTCCTGGGGCCCTGGCATCTCCTGAGCACTGGGGCCTGGGCCTCTGCCTGGGATGTGGCAGGGTCTACCTGAGTCCATATCCTGCCTCCCATACCAGGCTTCCCTCTGTGGTCTGCAGGGGGCTGGGAGGTCTAGCCCGGGATCCCTGTGACACAGGGCAAAAGGCACCAGGCACTCTGGGAGGATCAGTGACCTGAGCTCATGTCCCCAAAGTGCTCGTCACCAACCTCTGGTGCTCAGGAGCACCAGTTCCCGTTATCCCGGCCCAGGTGCCCAAGTGCTGCATGGGGACAGCGTCTGGACCTGCCTTGTGGCCACGCTGGCCGCCCAGCACCTCTCGGGTCCCCACCTGTAATCTGGGTCAATGAGAATGACCAACTTCCCTAGCACGGGGCCTAAAGTTAAATGGCAAACCCGTGCAAACGCTTCGCCCCAGGCTCAGCGTCTCCAGCCTGGATTGGCAGTACTTCACAGTGGTCAGTCCTTTGGCCGCCCCAGCAGCTCCTGGAGAACCTGTGTTTGGTCTGTTTCAGAGACGGAGAGTGGGGTTTGAATCGGGGAGGTGCCGGACCCAGGGCTGCCAAGGGAGGGTGTGGCCAAGCAGAAGCACGGGCCTGGGTTCTGTAGCCCCATTCAGGTCCTTCCCCAGCCTCCAGCCTCTCAGCCCTGGGGGTACGGGGGCAGCCCCGTCTGCCCCAACTTCCACCCCAGATCCGCCTTCCTGAGTCCCAGGCCCAGGGGAGCCTCTGCTGATGGGATTTTGCCTCTTCCCTTAGGACAGAGACCCAGGACTGCGAGGTGCCTTGCCGGGGAAGAGGAGGAGAAACCCATCGGCTGGGGCCTGCGTGTGGCCTGGGGGACGGGCCGTCGGTCTCGGAATGCCCCTGCCCGAGCCCAGGGAGCAGGAGGGGGAGAGCGTGAGAGCCGCCCAGGAGCCGTCCCCCGAGTCCCCTGAGCCAGGCACAGATGTGGTCCCTGCTGCCCCCACGAAGCCCAGAAAGTTCTCCAAACTGGTCCTGCTGGCAGCCTCCACTGAGAATGGGGCTGGGGTGTACTCCCAGCCCAAAGGAGTAGACTGCATTATGTCCCTGGAGATGTCTGGCCCTGACATGCTGACCAGGCCCTCCCAGACCCTGCCAGTACAGGAGCAGGGAAAGGCAGTCCAGCCAAGCCCTCTGTGCCCCGGACAGAAATGCAGCAAGCCAGACACAGGTGAGTTCCTGTCCTGCTGCCCCTGGCCCAGCCACCTTTGTAGCCTTGCATGCTCGGGCCCTGTGCACCCGCCTCCAGTGGGGTGACCTTGGCCAGCCTGCCCCTGCTCTGAGCCAAGCCACCTTGACTCTTATCATGACCCAGTCCCAGGCTGGTGTGATGATGGCAGAAGCTCATCCCTGTGCACCCCACCACTCCCATCTGTGCCCCCGGCCTCACAGCTTGTTCCGTGTCTGCTAACTGGCCCTCCCCCGCCCTCAGCAGCCCCCAAGCCCCTGGAGTTCCTGAGGACCCCATTTGGGGGCCGCCTCCTGGTGCTCGAGTGCTTCCTGTACAAGCAGGAGAAGGCCGTGGGGGAAAAAGTGTACTGGAAGTGCCGCGAGCACACTGAGCTGGGCTGCCGGGGCCGGGCCATCACCTGCGGCCTGCGGGCCACCGTGATGCGGGGCCACTGCCATCCGCCCGACGAGGACGGCCTGGAGGCCCGGCGCCAGAGACAGAAGCTGTGTAGCGCAGCCCTGCCAGAAGGCTTGGGAGTTCCCACGAGCCCTGGGGTCCAAGTGCAGGAGCCGCTGGAGGGGGTGGGCCCCTGGCTGTGCCCAGAGGAGCCAGGGCCCACCCCAGGGCTGGTGCTGAGCAAGCCGGCCCCGGAAGAGGAGGAGGGCCTGCGAGGCCTGTCACTGCTCAGCTTGCCTCCCAAGAAACGCCCAACACTGGGCATCGGTAAGTGACCCAGGCCAGGGCAGGCAGGAGCCCATGGGCCCTCTCCTGTGCCCAAATAGGAATGCGGGGTCCCACATGGTCAAATCAGCTTTTAAAAATATAAATGGGTCCTACGCTGATGGACAGTGACTGTAATGGGGTATGTGGTGGGGACTTGATAGTGGGGGGAATCTAGTAACCACAGTGTTGCTCATGTGATTGTATATTAATGATAACAACAACAACAATATATATATAATGAGTCCCAGTAATCATTAAGCCCATGCAATAGAACTACTGCTCCTGAACCTGGAAAGTTCCACTGGAACTTTCCAGTGCATCCGGGTCTCGTGTGGAGCCTAGAAACCTGAGTTTAAATGGGCCCAAGTGATCCCGGTAACCCACGACGGCTGAGGAGGTCGGCCTAGTGGGAGAGTCTGAGCTTTGGCCGGGTTCAGGTCACAGGCCCACCTCACATAGCTGGGCCACCTCAGAACATCTGCTGAACTTCCACAGTTTCAGGAGATTTACCCTAAAATGGGTGGTAGCCCAGAGTTACTGCAATTAGGGGTTCCATGTGTGGGGAGCACTCACTGCTCCAATGTGCGGTGGTGCTGACTGGTAGGTAGAGTGTCCTGGGCAGTTTTTATTGCCAGTATTTGGGCGGTGGGCTTGGCCACTCCCCTCAGCCCATGACTGCCGTCCCCTCCTCCAGGAGAGCCCCCACCACTAGAGTTCCTGAGGACGTGCTACGGGGGCAGCTTCCTGGTGCACAAGTCCTTTCTGTACAAGCGGGAGAAGGCCATGGGGGACAAGGTCTACTGGACGTGCCGGGACCACACGCTGCACGGCTGCCGCAGCCGGGCCGTCACTCAGGGCCAGCGGGTGACCGTGATGCGCGGCCACAGCCACCTGCCCGACCTGGAGGGCCTGGAGGCCCGGCGGCAGCAGGAAAAAGCCATGGAGATGTTGCTCGCCAGGCCGGGCGGCCCCGGGAGCCAAGTGGACAAGCTGCGCAGAGGTGTGGACAGCCTGTTCTACCGCCGGGGGCCTGGTGCCCTGACTCTCACCAGGCCCCAGCCCAGAAAGCGAGAGAAGGTCAAAGATCAGGGCCTTCCAGCCCAGCCCGAAGCCCTGCAGGATGAGGACCTAGGTGAGTCCTCTAGGCTCCTCTGGTCCTGCTGCCGGAGGCCTTGGAAAGTGGGAGACCACGGCACTGAGCTCTTGCTGCCCACCCCGATCGCCTCTTGCATTTCCCCCAGGAGGCCCTGAGTTCCTGAGGACCCCTCTGGGGGGCAGCTTCCTGGTGTACGAGTCCTTCCTGTACCGGCGGGAGAAGGCGGCAGGGGAGAAGGTGTACTGGACCTGCCGGGATCAGGCCCGCATGGGCTGCCGCAGCCGGGCCATCACCCAGGGCCAGCGGGTGACCGTGATGCGGAGCCACTGCCACCCGCCCGACATGGGGGGCCTGGAGGCCCTGAGGCAGCGGGAGCGGCGCCCCAGCTCAGCCCAGCGGGGTAGCCCAGGTATGACAGAGAGCGGGTGGCGGTCAGGCAGAGCACCCAGCCAGCCAGCCTTTCCCACCTGGCTTCTCACGTCCCCCCCGAACGTCCTTACTGGGGACGCTGCTCTTGCAGAGTTCGGCCCTGTCCTCTGCTGCTCCCTCGCCCACCTCCCTCCCTCCGTCCTGGTCCCCTGTGGTGACACTAGCCTCCTGCTCAGACCAGCACCTCTCTTCCCACCACCTCCGCCACCTCTTTTTTCCTTCAGAATTTATAGGATTTTAGAGGAAGCTAATTGTACAAGGCCAATTTCTCCTTGTCACAGTGTGAGTGATGGCACAGTGCCCAGGCACAAGCTCACCCTCGGGGCCAACTGGCAGAAACGTCTGTCACCGACGCTAAAGGATCTGCGATGAGGGTCACAGCCTGTGCTTTCCCTGTCTGTCCACCTGGAGGCCCACAGTGCCTGCTGGTTGGACTCTGCTGGTCACAGTGCCCGGCTGAGCAGCTTCAGCCAGCCTTCCCTGCTGCCTGGCTCTTCCCCGGCACCCTGAGATGCCTGCCCTTCCCTCGGGGCTCCCAGGCCTGTATTTGAATCACCTGAGTTGCCTTTGGGCCCTAAGGTTCTTTCAGACTTGAGATCTTCGATTGTATTCCTCTGACCCGTTTGTATCCCTCTCCACATACCTCTGCGCTGGTGGTGTCACACACACAGGGTCCCTCCCCTGGCCTCACCCTGGCTGGGCTCCTTCCGCTGTGTCGTTGCGCATCTGCCGCCCTGTTTCCTAACACGGGCTTCTGCTGGTGATTGGTTTTTCATCTTGCGGCCCTTTGGCCTCTGGTGAGAGGAAGTAAGGAATCAGCCATACCTGCCGCCCTGCCCTCCCAGCGCAGTTACTGCAGGCTCGCGTTTTCCTTTTATCTTATAAATCTGCTCCCGGCTGAGCCCCGGATGCGCTGAGACTGGGCTCCTTCCTCACGCAGCCCCGCTGTCTCCTAGTCCAGCAGCAGCTTATGGCTGGCCTGCTCTTCGGGCCCCTGGCTCTGCCTCCCCACACTGGCAGCTGCAGAGGATGAGGCTGGTCCCGCTCAGGCCCACTCCCGGGGCCCCTTGGCCAGCTCCACCCGCCGGCCCTCTTTACTCCTTGTCTTGCGAAGTCCTTCCTGATCCTTCCCCTGGGCGCCAGGGTGTGGAGCCATTCTCATCTGAGGGGGCTTTGCCCCACACGGAGGGAGGGCGCCCCTGCGAATCCTTTTCCTGTGGTGGTCTGTTCTGCCCTTGCTGGCCCCCAGCCGTAAGAGGGCTGATCCGCAGCGTGTGAAGGAACTTCCCTCGAAGCTTTAGGTTCATGTCCCCATCCTTGGGGGACCTGGCTGTGCCTGGGGCACAAGGGGCCTTTTCAGGCCAGAAACATTGTCTCGGGTCCTGCAGTAACTTTCTGCTCCCTATCTTGGTTCCTTCTACTGCCCCTGTTCCGCAGACATCCGTCTTCCCGGCGTGACTTGTGACATTTCCTCAACTTTGCTCTCCATCCCTAAGGTGTGGAGCCATTCTCATCTGAGGGGGCTTTGCCCCACACGGAGGGAGGGCGCCCCTGCGAATCCTTTTCCTGTGGTGGTCTGTTCTGCCCTTGCTGGCCCCCAGCCGTAAGAGGGCTGATCCGCAGCGTGTGAAGGAACTTCCCTCGAAGCTTTAGGTTCATGTCCCCATCCTTGGGGGACCTGGCTGTGCCTGGGGTACAAGGGGCCTTTTCAGGCCAGAAACATTGTCTCGGGTCCTGCAGTAACTTTCTGCTCCCTATCTTGGTTCCTTCTACTGCCCCTGTTCCGCAGACATCCGTCTTCCCGGCGTGACTTGTGACATTTCCTCAACTTTGCTCTCCATCCCTATGGAATTTTTAGACCTCTGCTCTGTCATTTGAATGTCCCACTGGCGTTCCAGCAGCTCAGGCGCAGCCCTCTGTCCCTCCCACCCCCGCAGTGGCCCCTTCACTCCCAGTGCCCCTTCTCTGTGCGCCAGCTTTGCCCTCTGCTTCTCAGGGTAAAGCTTCTCTCACAGGTCTGATGGCCCTGGGCAGTCAGCTCACGTTTAAGGCAAGGTTGACAAGCTCTGGATGTGGGCGCCACCTTGAGACTCCACCTTGCGTCTGTGGGCTTGCAGGCTGACCAGTGCCCACGGGACCCTCCCCCCAGGCGTCTGCCTGGCCGGGCACTCCGGACTTGGGCAGGGAAGATGCGGGCAGTGTCAGATCCACAGGCAGGCTCCCACTCCCTCCTTGTCTCTCTGCTCTTCATACAAATACTTCACCTGGTCCCCACCTTCATCCCCACCTGCCCAGGGCCCTTGGGCCTCCCTGCTGGACCATGTCCCCCACCAGTCCCTTCTGCCCCGTTGTGCAGCATCTCCTCCCAAATCTCTGCCTTTGTCATTCCTCAGTGGACATTTTCATCAGTTGCAGAAGTAGAAATAGGCCCTGTGGTCACATGCACCACCTCGCCCAGAGCCCACTCGGCTCCCCTCTTCCAGGGCATTATCACCCCTGGGAACCGTAGCTCTGTGCTGAGGCTCCCCAGCCTGTCTCCAGCTCTTCTGTGGTCCCCAGGCCTGGGCACAGGGCAGGGGTCCTTTGGGCAAAAGGGTGCAGCCTCCTCCCTATCTGCTTGTCCCAGACGTGGCCGCCCTCACCCCCACCATCGTGCGTGCCTCCTCCCAGCGCCCTCAGCTCAAATACCCACCCAGCCTGGCATGGGGAATCGTGTCTGCAGCCCCACTGCCCGTTGGGCATGAGGCAAACAGGTCCTGTCTCACTCCTGAGCTGTTGTCCCCCCCAGGGGTTTGTCTCCTTCTTCCTCCAACTCAGCAGGGACCACATGGCCGGTGTGCCACCATTGCCAGCACCCAGGATGAGTGTGACTGGGCATGGCCAAGACACCACCCTGCTGCAGGCCCCTGGTGGGGAGACAGACCTCTGCCTTCAGGGGCCTAAACTCCACTGCTTCCTAGCTTCCTCCAGTCTGAGGCTCGGGGAAGGAGCCCCCCAGAGCAAAGGCCTGGCTGGGCCAGGCTGGGGGTCTATCCTGGGCCCCTCCGCTGTCTCTGTGAGGAGGTGGGTCTCACTCCAGGGGCCCTGCTGTTCCTGCTCTGAGAACAGGGGCCCCCACCCCACCTCACTGCCTCACCCCAAGGCCCCGAGCTGCTGCCGCCCACCCTGATTGCCTCTCCCATTTCCCCTAGGAGGCCCTGAGTTCCTGAGGACCCCTCTGGGGGGCAGCTTCCTGGTGTACGAATCCTTCCTGTACCGGCGGGAGAAGGCGGCGGGGGAGAAGGTGTACTGGACGTGCCGGGACCAGGCCCGCATGGGCTGCCGCAGCCGGGCCATCACCCAGGGCCAGCGGGTCATGGTGATGCGCAGGCACTGCCACCCGCCCGACCTGGGGGGCCTGGAGGCCCTGAGGCAGCGGGAGCAGCTCCCCAGCCCAGCCCAGAAGGAAGGCTCAGGTGCGGGCACAACGGGGGTGGGCAGGCGCTGGGCCCTGGTCTCCCTGCTGGCCCGGCAGCCCTTGGGGCAGCCCAGCACATGGACTGGAGATTGCCTGCTAGGACATCCTGTCCATGGCCAGTGGCCAGTGGCGTCCAGCCACACACATCTGCCTGTCTGCCTGGGCTGTGAGCCTCCTGGGGACAGGGCTGCATGTGGGCCCCATCCTCAGCACTGGTCCCAGCCTGGGACTGGCTGTTGACGAGAGAAGCCCACTCAGACTGCTAGAGAAAAGCGGGTGCGTGCCGCGGTGGCAGTATCAGCAGCTATGAGAGGTGCTTAGCACCCATTTATGGGGCAGTGCGCCTGGACTTTGGGACCCCCTATCTCCTCTCTCCCTCCACACCCAGACTCCCAGTCCATCCCAACCCCAATATTGCATGAACCTTTAATTCAGGGTCTTAAAATTTTCATGAGAGAGTCAATTGATGGGCTGAGAGGAGGGTGGACAGGGAGCCGGGAGGCCCCTGGCACATGGTTCAGACCAGCCACAGGCCTCCCAGAGTGCTCCAGCCCAGCCCCTGCCCTGGAGTGCTGCCCGGCAAGTGTGGGACCCAAGCCAGGTCAGGAGAGAGCTGCAGGAAAGCTCGGCCTTCGAGCAGCCTCAGGGCTGGCCTCCCTGGGTAGCACCGGAGCCTCAGGAGGAGGCAGCCAGTCCGCACTCGAGGCGGTCTGAGCTGTGGGCCCTGGACTGGCAAGGAGCTTCGGTCTCCAGGGCCCTGCAGCCCAGGCAGGGGTGGAGGGCAGGGACTGGGGCGGGTCCCGTTGGGGGTTGCAGCTTCCTGGCTGGGGCAGGCTAGCTCAGGCTCTGTCCCCTACTTCCAGGGCCTGGCCCGGACACCCCACTCACAGCCTCACCTTCCTCTCAGGACCCCTCCAGCCCCTGGAGTTCCTGAGAACTTCCTTGGGGGGCAGGTTCCTGGTGTACGAGTCCTTCCTCTACAGAAAGGAGAAGGCGGCGGGGGAGAAGGTGTACTGGATGTGCCGGGACCAGGCCCGCATGGGCTGCCGCAGCCGGGCCATCTCCCAGGGCCATCAGGTGACCGTGATGCGCAGCCACTGTCACCCGCCCGACCTGGGGGGCCTGGAGGCCCTGAGGCAGCGGGAGCAGCGCCCCAGCCCGGCCCAGCAGGAGGACCCAGGTACAGGCAGGGATGGGGGTCAGAGGTGAGACACAGAAGAGCCGTGGCTATCTTGGTCTCTGCCAGCCCGAGGTGTAGACACCTCAGGACAGGCACCATCTGAGGAGACTTGTGCCCTGGCCTTACTGCCTTTCCAGAGCCTTCTTCCTCTCTACTGGCTGCTTCTCCTGAACCTGAAAACACGTAAATCTGTCCCTTAAAACAATACCCCTTCTAGCTCTCACTGTCTCCCCTTCCTTTTATTCTGACGACTTAACTTTTTTTTAATTAAAGTATCATTGATATACAATTTTTGAAGATTTCACATGAACAGCACTGTGGTTTCAACATTCACCCATAATGTCAAGTTCTCACCCGCACCCATTGCAGGCACTGTCTGTCAGTGCACTAAGGTGCTATAGAGTCATTACCTGAGAGGACTTAACTTTTTATGGCTCATAGTCTCTTCTGAAATCTGATTAAAAAACCTGGACTACCCCAGGGGAATTTACTAATGTTTGTGTGTGCATGGACATGCCACACACACACACAAAGTTTTGCATATAATTTCATTGAACTGAAAATGGGTTCCTTTCACATAAACTCTAAAACCAGCCTTCAGAAAGTGGTCTGTCTCTCACCTTAATTCATGTAAATAATAAAGGCCACATCTTACAAAATACAGAAATGAATTTGAGTTATACACAACAACTCAATTTGTGTATAAAAGAAACTCAATTTCTACTTAAAACAAACCAAAAAAAAAAAAAAGATTTCCATGAGAAAGCCACTGTTTGGCTTAAACAAGACCCAGAAGTTAGAGTGCCTTTGGCGTGGTGGAGAGCAGGTCACCTTTAAGGTCTGGTTGATTCCCAGCCTTTTGGATGACTGGGGCTGAAGTCTGACCCTTAGGGTCGCACACAGCCTGTCTCACCAGGCACAGGGAGGCGGTCTGGGATGTCAGAGAACCAGAATTCCCCAAAACTCCCCAAACCAGAGTCACTGTGCCTGGTTCCTTTTATCCTCAAGGCCTTGAAGTAATTTCAAGGTAGGTATCTTTGGCTCTAGCAGCTTCAACAAGAAAAGAATTGTTAATCCATGTTTCTAATTTTTTTCCTCAGAAAAGAGAAAACCTCTGCCCAAAGTGCAGCTATGCCTCAAGACTTGTCCCCCTGAAAGCCGGCAGGTGGACAGGTCATTATATTCACTGTCTAATGCTGGGTCACCACTTCCGCAAACCTTGGTGGCTTAAAACAACAAAATATTTGCTGTCCCTCACAGTTTCTGTGGGCTCCTGATTTCAGGAGTGTTTGGGTTGGTGGTTCTGACTTGGGGGCTCCCACTAAGGGAGAACAGACGTGGGCCAGGGCTGTGATCACTGAAGGCCGGGGTGGGGCTGGAAGAGCTGCTTCCAAAACACCCATTGGCGCAGACGGCTGTGCCCTGGTGCCTCAGTCCCCCACCGTGTGGACTGCTCCTCAGGGCTGGCTGCTCAAGTGTCCCCCAGAACCGGTGACCCAAGACAGCAGGGCAAGGGACCGCCACATTCCTGCCAAGCACATATGGCATGTTCTCCGGGATACACTGTATCTAGGCCATAAAATGACAGCCCATACGTTTAAATGGTTTAAAGTCATACAAAGTATGTTATCTGGGCACAGTGGAAGGAAACTAGAAACCAGTAACGGGAAGAAGTTTGGGAAACTCACAAATACATGAAAATTGAAAATTGAACAATACACTCATGAATAACTAAGGACACAGAGAAACAATGGTGAGGGAGACCAGAAAATTCTCTGAAACGAACGAAATGGAGATACCAAAACTAATGGGATGTGGCAAAGTAGTTCCTTGAGGGAAATACATAGTTCGAAATACTTATACTAAAAAAAGAAGAAAGATCTCAAATTGTTAACTTAAATTTACATGTGAAGACACTAGAGAAAGAACAAAGTAAACATTAACCGAGCAGAAGGAATGATAAAGAATTTTAATTAATGAAATAGAAGAAAGTTTTCACAAAGCCAAAAGTTAGTTCTTTGAAATGGTCAACAAAACTGATAAACCCTTAGGTAGGTTGAGGCACCCCCCTAAAAAAAACTTTTTTTAAAGGTAGAGGAGATGCAAATTATTAAAATCAAGAATGATAGATGGGACATTGCCACCTACCACACAGGGGGGAAAAGGGTTCTAAGGGAAACTATGAACAGTGGCATGCCGACAAACTAGATAACTTGGAGGAAACGAACAAACTCCTAAAAAGACATGCTACCAAAACTGACTCGAAGAAATAGAAAATCAGACTACAGCTATAACAATTAAAGAAATTAAATTCATAATTTTAAAACTTTCCACAAAAAGAAAGCCCAGGCCCAGATGACTTCATGCATGTGACTTCTCCCAAGAGCTTCCAGGAGCATTCGCGCCAGTCCGCAAGCTCTTCCCGACAACCAAAGAGGAGGGAGATGACTTCAGGGCAGTGGAAATGTGCTAAAAGTGATTGTGGTGATGGGGGCACAGCTCTGCAGATGCACTAAACACCATCCAATTCCACACTTTACCTGGATAAGCTGAGTGGTAGGTGACTCATAGCTCAATAAAGCTGTTGGGGGGCAAAGGAAGGACATCACAGTGACTTCATGGCCATTGTTACCTGTCACTCCTGCTTTACTCTGTTCATTGGAAGCCAGTGACCACGTCCAGCCCACACTGCAGGGTAGAAGAATTAGGCTCCACTTGAAGTGAGGCGTATCAAGGAAAGTGCAAACATTTTCAAAACCCATCGCAGGAGTGAAGAACTTTGCCTTTCTTGACAATTTTGAAAAGGCCACCGTGCAGGTCCCGGCGACTTCCAGAGCAGGAGGTGGGACTTCTCCGGAGTGTTGGTGTTTCCTCCTAGGACATGCTAGTGTAGAAAGCCAGGAATTCCCAAGTTATGTTTTGGAGCAATCTCACATTTTCAAGGAATTGATACGATGTGCGTGCGTGCGTGTGTGTGTGTGTGTGTACATGTACAAAGGCTCTAGTTTATCTCTAACGAAAAAGATTGCAGGAATCCTTAAGTTTCTATATTATCTATTTCTGCCATGTTTGTTTTGTAATGATCTGTGTTTCTTTGTCATCAGGAAAGTGAAAGATACAAACCTTGACAGCAAATCCCGTGAGGCCCACCTCCTCCTGGCTTGAACAGAGGATCAAGGATGCTCTGCATCCACACAGGACCTGCTTAGATTTTGCTTGACCAAAACTTTTCCAAAGCATCGATGGCCTTCACATTTCCTCAAGGGGTCTCCCAGGTAGAATACTTTAATGGTTGGTGTCCTCATTTGGCAAAGAAGAGCTCCGGGGCCAGTACCTTGAAGACCCACTTAAGGAAGAGCTGCAGCTTTTGACCAAGATGCCTCTTCCTCTCCACCGCTCCCAGCCACAGACACCTCTCCAGTTCAGAGCAGGCGACTTTGCCCAGGGCTTTCTGGTTGGGTGTGGCTCTGCTTCTTCAGGCTGAGCTGCCCTGTGCACCTCCATCTGCCCCAGGTGTTTTCTGGACAAATGCCAGGTGGACCTTCATGTTCCCTGCCCACTGGCTGCTGGGGCGTGGCCGTCCCTCATGGTCACAGAGCCAGCCAAACCAGAGGCCCCACTACACTTTCTGTCTGACTTCCCTTCCTTTGCCATTTTCCATGTCCCTATGTCCACAACCCTCACAGCCAGTGTCCTTCCTGTCAGTGGGAACCAGCCCAGAGGTCCACAGGAATCTATCTGGTCCTGGGCAGACACTACCTGGCTGAAAGGCCAGCGGCATCCTGGGTCAGCCATGTTTGTCTGATGGTAGTGGAGGTGCATCCCTTTCTCCTGTCCGTAGCAGAGACCTGGCTTAGCAGGTCTGAGGGGAAGCAGGCTGACGTCCCCCCAGGATCTCCAGTGGCTGCTGCTAGCAAGGCCACATCCCCGACACTGAGGTTCTTTGCCCCCTCCCTGTTATTACAGAGGGAGCACACAGCAGCAGGCCCCCTCTCCTAGCAAACCTGCCACCAAGCTATGAGACAGTGACAGCTCGGGGCCCCCACTGTCCCTCCACCTATACATTTCCCCCAGTAAACCCCATTTTATATCACACCGTGTAGAGCTGATGTGTCCACATCCCCTTTGCAACAACAGTTGGTCACCGTGAAGCCATGGACTTCATGGGTCTCAGTGCCCCATGGCCAGAGTGGTGGTATTTGGCTGAGCACATGCCTGGAGGAGACCCCCACCCACCCAGGGACAGTGCCGGGGCACCTAGCCCAGATGTCAGCTGGGCCAAAAGCTGATGGAGGTCCTCTGGAGGGGCTGCTGAGGAGTCTCCAAGCCTGCAGGGCTCCCGGCCCTCATGTTGCTGTGAGAGGCCTTGATTCTCCACTACTGCCTCTCACGCTGAGATCTCCCTGACTCGTTTTCCTGAGCTGGGGCAAGCTTAGGGTGGAAATGGTGCCAAGCAAAGGGCACCTTAGAGCCAAGACCCTGGCTGTCTTCCCAGGTAGGTGACTGGCTCGTCCACAGACCTGCCAGCTCCACGGAGCCCTCTCCCACCAGCCTTGCCAGCAGTCAAGATGGTCCAGTGATATGATGGCCTACCTCCAGGTAGGAGGCAGCTGTCTGCCAAATGAACGACCCATCATGCTGATGGCCCCTCAGCAGTGGACAGTGGAAAAAGCTCTGTTTCAGGCAATGTTCTCGGGCAGACAGCATGCTGCCCCGTGACAATGAACTCTATGGTCAAAGCCAAAGACACCGGACCCAAGACCCATCTTCATGTCACGGATGCGCGCGCCCCCAGGAGGCAGCCACGTGCAGAGGAAGGCGCCTGGACTCAAAGGGACGGTCAAGCTTGCGCCACCACCGCAGCACGGGCCTGTGTGCCCATCAGGAAGCGCTAAGCCGCAGTAGTGATCGCCACCTGCATGTCTGCGCCCCCGGGGGGCCTCTGCAAGGCCAGCGACTTCTCCAGTCCTGAGTCCCACGCCCGGCCACTTGGATGGGCTCCGGGCACCTGGAAGTATGGGTGCAGCACAAGGAGAATGGTGGAAGGCACAGGCCTCTCCTGGATGGCCCGCTGGCAGGGCCTGCACCTCTCCCTCTCCTCTGCTCCTGCTCTGACCTTACAGGCAGATGATGGCCCAAGTTGCCTGGGATGAAGACTTCCAGAGGGACATGAATTTGGACACTGTTGTCACCTTGGGTGGCCTCACAGCAGCTCAGCCCCTGAACTCCAGAGGCATCCACCTCCTAAGTTGTTCCTCAATGATTCCACAGCCACAGAGCTGTCCCCTGTCCTATCCCCGACCCAGAGCAAAGTGCACAGGGGCAAGTGTCTCTCTTGGAAGCTGGCCCCTCAGCAGATGGTGACAGAGCTGCAGGGCCATGCGCTCCTTCTTCCCTGCTCCAGCTTTGCTGCCAGTCTCCCCCAATAACCTTGTTTATTATGTCTACACCGGATGGTACAGGTGGTGTGTCTCTGTGCCCCTTTGCCTGACAATGAGCAGCAACGTCTCAGTTATGAAATTTAAAATAAAAAGTTTGCAAAGAGAGCAGAAGTACCAACAAGGAACTCCAATTTTTTTTAAATGGGGAGCAGTGGCCCCAGGCCCTGTCCCTAAGGTTGTAAGGTAAACAACAACAAAATGCTTCTCAAGGTTCCACTCCCCCTCTGGCCCCAGCCCAGCTTCCCATTCTCATGTCCTCCATCAAACAGCTTCTGCAGGGTGACATCAAGGCTTCTTGTCATACTGACATAGGTTGGGGCCCTAATCCAGCATATTGGTGGCCTTATTGAAAGGGGAAATTTGAACAGGTATGCACGATTCAAACCAGAAATTTGGAGAATGGCATGTAAAGATGAAGGCAGAGATGGTGTGACACTTCTACAAGCCAAGGGACAGTGAGGATGGCAGCCGACAGGGCCAAAAGCTACTCAAAAGTCACCAGAGGAATTTTCCCTCACAGCTCGCCTAAGGGACTGTTCCTGCTGACATCTGGATCTCAGACTTCTACCCTCCAGGCTGTGAGACAATACATTTCTCCTGTTTAAGCCCCCAGTCTGTGGTGCTTTGTTACAGCGCTATAGGAAACCAGTTGGGGATGTGAGAACTGGCTGGGGAGAGGGTGTATTAGTGGAGGTGAGTTATGCCAGCCGCAGTAACAAGCAACCCACAGTCTCAATGGCTTAACGCAATAGATGTTTATTCCTCATTCCTGCAGGGTCCCACGCTGATACTTCTGGTTGGCAGGAACCTTCCACAAGGTCATTCAGGAATCCAGCTCCTTCCACCTTCTAGGCCATGGCATCCCCTCCATCCACTTGGTGGAAAGAGGAACCTAGGCTATTGTATGCCAGACCAGCTGTTCGCGGGGAGCTGGAGGAGCTCAGGAAACACAGGTGGATGGGGGTGAGCAGGAGGCAGGCAGAAGGGACCCAGCTCACCCACGGCAGCAGTACCACTGCGGCAGGGGCACCCGAGGGAGGCCCTGCACCTGTGGAGCCACTCAGTAGGGGGGCATTCTGTACTCCCAAGAATTGATGGTGAGCGCCCAGGCCTTCCTTACTTCAAGGTTCCATAGCCACCTGGGACTGCAACTTGCAGTGGGGCACTGCCCCTTGTCCCAGAGCCTGAGTCCTGGAACTGAGCATCCCTCCCTCTTATCCTGTCCCCCCTTTCTAGAGACTGGGGGGTATGAAGTGCAGACGATGGGATTGACTATCCTTTTGGGGCCACCCTCCCTCCAGGGAAGGGCCAGTTATTCCTCTACTTCTCTCACTGACCCTCCTTCTGCACATAGGGTCCTGGTTGTCCCTGTCCCCCACCTCACCCTTTAGTGCACTGTGACCATTGGACGTGAGGGTCCCCCACACAACCCCATCACCTGGGCCATGGCTCAGGCCTGCCCGGATGCTCACTGGGGATGACACCACTGGGCCCTGGCAGCAACTCCACGCTGGCGGGGGAGTGGGGACAGTGAGGAAGGGGTGTGGTTGATGGGTGGCTGGCCATCCGCTGCTCGCTCTTTAGGGCAGTCATTAGCAGGGTCGCTGGCACTGGGCTAGCATGTGCACGTGAGATTCCCAGTCCAGTGCTCAGAGGGCCCAGAAACTGGGAGGTGAACACAGGCCAGGTTGGCCGCTGGGAGGGCTCCCTGAGAAGGCGACCCAGGTGCTGGCCTCAAGCCCCTGAGCACAACCCCCTCCCTGTCCCCCCACCCGAGAGCCTCAGCGTGAAGCAGTAACCGCGGGGTCTCCGTGGTGCCTTCACTGGCCACGGGCACCTTGGTCTTTCTAGAATTCTCCCTGCGCATCCCATCTGGGGGGGACAAGGGCGCACTAACAGGGAAGGGACAGGTCATAGCCTAATGGGAGTCTAGTGAGGGGCAGGGAGACTAGACTGGGGGGCAAGGGATCTGCGCATGGCAGGGCGCTCTGGGCTCCCAGCCACCACCCATCTCCTCCCTGGGCCCCCGCCCCCGCCCTCCCACGCACCTGCGCTGGCCTCCCCCCAAGCCCTGGGGGCAGCCGGCGGGCGGCGCTGGGAGATCAGAGGACTCGGAGGAGTCGGGCCCAGGGGACGGGGGGTGGGGAATTTCCCCCCACGCCTGCCTGGGCCTGCTCCCCTCCCTCTCCCCCGCCATGTGGGGGGGCATCGCTGGGGGAATTCCACCGCCCAGGATGGCCCCGGGGAGCCTGGGCTGGGGGTCCTAGGGGGAGAACGGGGAGGGGAGGAGGGGGCAGGCTGAGATCAGAGGCGCAGCTGCCTTCCTCCCCAGACACCAGCTGCCCCTGCCTGTCCCGGACTGAGCATCCACCATTGCCGCCTGCCTCGCGGCTGCGGGGGCAAGGAATGACACGTCCTCTGCCAGGCCAGAGGCGTCGGGACCTAGGGAGGCAGGGGCGCAAGGATCCGAAAGTGGGTGTGCGTGTGAGCGTCTGACAGTGAACGCCTGACAGTGGGAGGGCGTGCGTGCACTTCACTCAGGGGTGCTTGCGAGCGGGAGAGTCCTCGGGAGAGGGTCCTGTGTCTCCCCAGCTGGGGTTCTTCGGTCTCCCAGCTTGGCCTGTCCTCCTCCGCACACTCCCACTAGAAGCTGCACCGACCACGGTGCGGAGGGGAGGCCGGGGCGCGGGGAGACGCGTGCCTGGACTCAGAGGGTCCCCGGGTGGGAGAGGGGGGCCCGGCGTGGGAGGCGTCCGGACCTGCTGCCTCCGTTCCAGTCTCGGGTGGGGCTTCCCGGCCTTGAGGGGTGGGGTGACGGGGAGGGGCGGGGTGGTGGGGTGGTGGGGAAGGACCCGCAGAGGGACGCGAGGGGGCAGGAGCTAGAGCGTTAGAGACCTGGGCAAAGGAGACTCGGAGAGAGAGGCGCAGCAGGAGGGGGCAGGTGCAGAGAACCAGGCACGACGCCAGTGCGGAGGAACAGAGACCGCCCCTAGCCAGAGAACCCCCATTGAGACCCCTAGGTACAGGAGCAGAGAGACACCTCCAGGGGTAGAAGCCGTGGGATGCGAATACTTCCAGGAGATATTTCCCCGTCCCAGACAGAGAGCGCCTCCCAGGGTGTAACGAGGACAGACCGTCTGAGGACAACGCCCCCCAAGTCGCCTGGGAGACCCCGGAGTGATCCCGGGGTCAGCACGGGCCGTGAGCGGACCAGGGCGACCTCCCTTCGTTGGGGGCGATGGGGACACGGGTCCCGCAGGGCCTCCTCCTCCTCCTCTGCCTCCGGTTGCTGCCGCCACGCGGGGCTTCCGCTGGGAGCCTCCATAGCCCAGGTGAGTCTTGGCCCAGCGACTGGACCGTGGTCACCACTCCCTCCTCCGCCTCCGCGCCGAGGACCCGGGTCCTGAGGCTGGGGAAGAGACAGAGCAGGTGGCGGGAGCAGCTGCGCAGCCCGAGGGCGCCTCGGGCACCGTGGGCTCTGGCTGGGGAGGCGGGTGGGACTTGGCGTCGGGGCTTGAGGATGCCGGGCGAGGGTCCCGACTTCCCCAGGCCCTGCCGTGGCCATGCAGGTCTGTCCGAGTGCTTCCAGGTGAATGGCGCTGACTACCGCGGCCATCAGAACCGCACGGGCCCGCGCGGGGCCGGCCGCCCGTGCCTCTTCTGGGACCAGACTCAGCAGCACAGCTACAGCAGCGCCAGCGACCCCCAGGGCCGCTGGGGGCTGGGCGCGCACAACTTCTGTCGGTGAGGGGCGTGGCTACGTGCACTAGTGCCGCGGTTGGGCTGGGGCGAGGCCTCCGTTTGGGCGGGTACCGAGTCTGCCGGGAGGGCCTGGGGCGGGGCCTATCCTGCCAGGGGATTGAACGCGGCACTCTGAACTTTTTCGGACGGTGGTCCAGCCTTATGTGTAGAGCCTCAGGTCAGGCCTGGGCACTTAAGGGGCCTGTGCGGGGGGGGGGGCTTTGGCAGAGGGCGTGCCAGGGAGTGGGGGGGCCTGGTTTTGCTATGAGGGTCGTGTAGTAGCAGTGACTGAGGGATTGGAGTTTCAGGGCTTAAATGACTTCGTCCTCCGTTGGAAACTCGACAGCTAGAAGCACGTGGGATAAACTAGAATTTATGCGAGAATGGAGTGGAGCACACCAATAAGCTCTAGACAACACACTGTGGCGAACAGGCCGTGGGACAGGGGTCTGGGGTTCCGGCTCTTGGGGCTGCAGGATACCGACTACTTCCCCCCACTGGCAGGAACCCGGACGGGGACGTGCAGCCGTGGTGCTACGTGGCCGAGACAGAGGAGGGCATCTACTGGCGCTACTGCGACATCCCCACGTGTCACAGTGAGCGGGCCCGGCTGGACAAGGGTGGGAGCGCTGAGTTGCCGGGGTAGAGTCCACCTTTGGAAGCGCCGGACTGAGCCTGACTCTGCTGCCCCGTCAGTGCCCGGGTACCTGGGCTGCTTCGTGGACTCAGGAGCACCCCCAGCCCTCAGCGGCCCCAGCGGCACCTCCACGAAGCTCACGGTCCAGGTGTGCCTTCGCTTCTGCCGCATGAAGGGCTACCAGGTACTACCCACCAGCCCGGACCAATGACCCCTGACCTTGACCTCAGGACCCAAATCAACTAACTCTGACGCCAAACCTTAATACTGATTTCTGAACCTCCAACCCGATTCCTACTTCCGACCCCGACCCCTGGCTTCCACCACCGCACCTCTACCCCAGCCAGCGCCGGCCTCTGGGGCTCACCCGGTCTGTGCTCCCAGCTAGCAGGCGTAGAGGCCGGCTACGCCTGCTTCTGTGGCTCTGAAAGCGACCTGGCGCGGGGACGCCCGGCCCCAGCCACTGACTGTGACCAGATCTGCTTTGGCCACCCAGGCCAGCTGTGCGGCGGCGACGGGCGCCTGGGTATCTACGAAGGTGAGGAGTGGGCGGGGATGAGCGGCCTGCATGCAGGAGTAGGTCTGGGTGGGACCCTCAGTGCGATGCCCCGATGGGGTGGGGGTCTCTGGGAAAGGGAGGCCGTTGGCTGAGGGCAGGGTTAGAAGAAGGGACTGGGCTGAACCTGGGAGCCACGGGGGTCCGTCTTGGGGGCGGGCGTTGGGAAGGCGCGGGGCCTGTGAGCGGGCTGGAGCAGGCGGCGGGCGGCGGAGGCCGGGCGGGGCGGGGCCCAGCGGGAGGGAGGGCTTGTTTCCCCGCCGGCTCCGGGGTCTGACAGCGGCCCTGCCCGCAGTGTCCGTGGGCTCTTGCCAGGGCAACTGGACCGCGCCTCAGGGCGTCCTCTACTCCCCGGACTTCCCGGACGAGTACGGGCCGGACCGGAACTGCAGCTGGGCACTGGGCCCGCAGGGCGCCGCTCTGGAGCTCACCTTCCGCCTCTTCGAGCTGGCGGACCCCCGCGACCGGCTGGAGCTGCGCGACGCCGCCTCGGGCAGCCTGCTCCGCGCCTTCGACGGCGCCCGCCCGCCGCCACCCGGGCCGCTACGCCTACGCGCCGCCGCGCTGCTCCTCACCTTCCGCAGCGACGCGCGCGGCCACGGACAGGGCTTCGCGCTCACCTACCGCGGTGAGGCCCCGCCTGCCCCCGCCCCGCGCGCGCCCCGCCTCGCCTCACACCCGTCTCCGCAGGGCTGCCGGACGCCGCCGACAGCGCGCCCGCCCCGGGCTCGGCGCAGACCCCCGCGGCGCCCCTCGGCGGGGCCAACGTGAGCGGTAGCCCCGGGCCCGCGGCCCCGGAGGCCGGCGTGGGCGGTGAGGCGGGCGTGCGGGGTGGGCGGGGCGTGGGGAACGGCTGGCGCACCCCCTCACCGCGCCCGTGTGCCCGCAGCCCGCGCGCTCCCGACGCTCGCGGCCGTCCCGGCGCTGCTGCTGCTGCTGCCGCTGCTGTCTCTGCTGCGCCGACGGTGCGCGCTGGGCAGAATGGGACAGCCGGGCGGGGAGGGATGGGACGGGACGAACGGACTGGGAGAATGGGTGGGCGGGACGGGCAGGCCTCCTGCCGACAAGGCCTCGCGCCGCGATGGGGAATCGCTCGTGGGGCCGCAGGCAGGGCAGGGTGCTGGAGGTGAGACTAGCTGGGGCTGCAGCTGACGTGTGCTCCCTCCCCAGGAGCTGTCTGCCGGCTCCGCGAGAAGGCCGCCCTGCGCTGGGGCCTCCCGGGGGCCCAGGGAGAAGCTGGGCTGTGTGGTACCGCCAGCCTCGAGGGGCGGCCATGCCTTGCCCCCCCGGGGATCCCCAGGCTGAGGGTCTAGCCGCTAGTTACCGGCCCCTGAGCGCCTCCAGCCAGAGTTCCCTGCGCTCGCTCATCTCTGCTCTGTGACTCGCGACGTCCAGGGTCCACCGGACCCACTGCCAGCGGGATGGGTACCTGAAACGCTGTGCATCACTCTGCCGTGGCCTTTGCCCCTTTAAGGGCAACTCGGCTTCTGGTCATCTCGCGGAAGAAAGACGTCACAGGAAGCATCTGGTGCTATTATTGGGAACTTGGCCTGACCCTCGCAGTCCAGGTGGTTGAGGCCAAAGGGCAAGAGGAATCTGGCTCCCCTCCTCGTAGACCTTGATACGGGGGTCTATGATTTCAGAGGTCTTTGAGCCCCCTTGGGGCAGTCCTGGACTGCTACCTTAAGTGAAATGTGAGAAGGCAACAAAAGTGGTCAAAACCCCAGCCTTAGACTTTGAATAAAGGACCTATTTTGGTACAAGGCTTTGTAAATTCTTACGTGGTGGCAGAAATTATGTTAATGATGGTATTGAAGCCTAAATTAGGTGTGTTCATGCGAATTAAGAACGCCCCACAGTTTCTCAGAGCCTCTTGGAATGCAGATCTTGGAACGGCGGTGGCTGAAGGGTGGGTGGGTGGGCGGAGTCTTGGGGAAGGGAGGGGAGCGGAGGCTGGCTGTGGGCGGGGTTAAGCAGAATTAGGGATGTTCTTTCTGGGCCTGTCTAGTGATGTACCCCGGAGAGGACCGATCTTTCTTTCCAGTGAGCGAGTTTGGCCGCGCCTGAGCTCCAAGAAGCCTGGCCCGAAGGCGTAGACCGAGGGCGCCGGGCGCACACCCGTAGAGACTTGGGCATCTTAATGCGCCTAACTGCGCTCCGGGGGAGTCGGGCCGGTGGAAGGATCACCCCCAGAGGAGGTGCGTGCCGACTCTAGACCTGACCAGTACGAGCGTCCCGGCCCGGCAGCACCTTGGACAGAGCTCGGGCTGCGGGGTGCTGTTAGGTGGCGGGACAAGGCCCCAGAGTCAGGGATTGCCCAAGGGTGCATCAACCAGGGGGTCACGCGGAAAACCCGGGTGCTCACTGCAGGAGTATGCAAGGAGCCAGGGTCATTCCGGAAGAAACTAGGGGACCCAGAATGTCGGGTCCTAGCCAACAGTCAGCCATGCAAATAAGGCTGGGCCGCATATTTTATGGTAAGAGAGTGAAGGCCTGGGCGGCCGCGGGGCGGAGCTTCCCTCCGGCCGCGCCCATAGGCCCTCGCCGCGTGACTTCCCGAGCCCAGCGCGCGAAATGCTGGCGGGATGGCGGGGGCGAGTAACCGGGGCGGAGCCTGGCGTCCCCACCCGCGTCGGGCCGCACCCGTCCTCCCGGCAGCTGAGGGACTAAGGACCGCTGCAGCCACCGCCGCCGCGAGCCGTCCCTGCGGCGCTCCTGCCCTAGAGAAGCCGAAAGCACTGCCCTCCTTCGCCCTGCGCGTCCCCAGCCTCCGCCCCGGCGCGGGGGCGCAGGGCCCGCGCGTGCGCAGCTCGGGAGGCGCGCCGGCCAGGACCCCCGGGCCGGCGCGTGCGCCGACTGGGCACTGGGCGGCGGGCGGGCGCGGGCATGAGCCTCCGAGAGCCGTGGCCTCACTGAGGCGGAGACCCAGGAGCGAGGAGAACGCGGGCCGCCCGTACCAGGCCGAGCCATGGCATTCCTGGCCGGGCCGCGCCTGCTGGACTGGGCCAGCTCGCCGCCGCACCTGCAGTTCAACAAGTTCGTGCTGACAGGCTACCGGCCGGCCAGCAGCGGCCCTGGCTGCCTGCGCAGCCTCTTCTACCTGCACAACGAGCTGGGCAACATCTACACGCACGGTAAGCAGCGCCCCGCATCCCACACCGCGACAGCCCTGCCCGCTGTGAACCGAGGGCCCGAGGGCCCAGGAGCTCCCCAGCGCCGAGGTCCTGGGCTATCTGGGTCCTGGCATGGCCAGGAGCCGCGATTACAAAGCTGCCATTGTCCCGGACAGGGCTGCCCGCTTCCGCTTCTCCAGCAGGGCCCCTAGAGCAGGCGATTGAAGCCGAGTAGGGGACTAAGCCCGCGTAATTCCTCTGAGTCCCGGGGAGGAGCCTGGTGCCCCGCCCCTTCTTAATCTCGGCGCCTTGGGCATCCTCCCTCTCCAGCGCCCTATCCCTGAGACGTGTAGACTTCAGCAAGGAGGGGCCCAGGAGAAGCCAGGCCCTAGCCCCGCCCAGCGCGGCCAACCGGCCGACCAGCCGCGGAACTCCGCCTGGTGGCGGCTCCTTCCTCCCCCAGCAGGCGCCGGGCCCTCCTCCGCTGCCCCGCTGAGCGGTGCTGACACAGCCTTGCCCGTCCTTGGGCTGCCCCAGCTGGGACAGGCCGAGCCAGCTGGGCCCAGCCTTGGTACTTGCCCCACTGGGGGACTGTGGCCTGGCCAGACCCTGCTGACAGTGAGCAGCCAGCAGCCAGCAACTTCAGCTTGCTCTGCCCTCGGCCTGCCTTTGCCCCTTTGAGGGCAATGCCAGAGTGCCAGTGTATATGGGTAGGAATCGTCCTAGAGGGCCTTGCAGGGAGGAATGGAGCTCCTGGAGATGGTGCCTGGGGAGATGGAACAAGCTCTCTTCAGCCTCTTTCCCGTGCATGGCCTCCTCCTCTCTTCAAGACAAAAGCTCCACCCCCACCCTTCTTCAAGACAAAAGGACCCAAAGCCTCCATTTCTGTGGTCTTACAGAGAGGGGAGGACATAAGGGTTGAGACAGCAAGCTAAGTGGCCCTGGGAACTAGCATTGTTCCCTACCTCTCCTGTTCAGAACTCAGCTTGAGGTCATGTCTCCTTCTGGCTTCTGCTGACAGACTTGAGGCTGGGTTGGGGGTTTGGGGACCCTGGCTTTCAGGGGAGGTGATGTGGCTGCAGGGGTGAGAGCAGCTTCAGGGTTAGACGGCCCAAGCTTTGTCCTTCCACTGCTTAGTTGCTGGGACTTCAGATCACTCCGTTTGCTCACCCACGAAGTGGGGATAATGGTCTCTTACCTCTCAGAACTGTCATGAGCTCTAAGTCACTAAGGTTACTGCAAACTGGGTGCGTGCCTCTGTCTGAGGCCCTGCCAATAGTTGGCTAACAGCATTATCAAGACCTGTCTTGTTGTCATCTCTCTTGTATTGTCTCTAGCCTGTGGACTCCCTGAGGACATCACTTGTCCTCAGTGCTGAAGCTATGTGATGGGTAACTGTCTCCCTCCCCCAGGCCTGGCCCTGCTGGGCTTCCTGGTGCTGCTGCCCATGACCATGCCCTGGGGTCAGCTGGGAAATGATGGCTGGCTGGGGGGCACACACTGTGTGGCCTGCCTGGCACCCCCTGCAGGCTCCGTGCTCTATCACCTCTTCATGTGCCACCAAGGGGGCAGCCCTGTATACACCCGGCTCCTTGCCCTGGATATGTGTGGGGTCTGCCTCGTCAACACCCTCGGTGAGCCAGGGAATGGGGCTGAGGAGGGCCAGGGCCTGAAAGGATGGGAGCTGGGGCGTAACTGGGGAGGAGGCGGCATGGGGCACTCATATGAACCCCAGGTGGAAGGGGCAGGCAGCCACCCAGACTGATGTGCCCTCTACTTCCTCTCTCCTCTGTGCAGGGGCCCTTCCTATCATCCACTGCACCCTGGCCTGCAGGCCCTGGCTGCGCCCAGCTGCCCTGGTGGGCTACACCATGGTGTCAGGGGTAGCTGGCTGGCGGGCCCTCACTGCCCCTTCCACCAGTGCCCGGCTCCGTGCCTTTGGTTGGCAGGCTGGTGCCCGCCTCCTGGTGTTTGGGGCCCGGGGAGTAGGGCTAGGCTCTGGGGCTCCAGGCTCTCTGCCCTGCTACCTGCGCATGGACGCACTGGCACTGCTTGGGGGGCTGGTGAATGTGGCCCGCCTACCAGAGCGTTGGGGACCTGGCCGCTTCGACTATTGGGGTAACTCGCACCAGATCATGCACCTGCTCAGCGTGGGCTCCATTCTCCAACTACACGCCGGGGTTGTGCCTGACCTGCTCTGGGCTGCACATCACGCCTGCCCCCTGGACTGAGCCACCTCCTGCCTGCCGTGTCAGTGTGCCCAGTCTTCTAGGGCCAACACCACCATGCTTCCCTCCTGCTGGTCTGCAAGGTGCTGGCTCCCTGGATGTTACCAGCAAACAGGACATTCCCGCTGGGAGCCCTCGTCCGTCTGTCCAGTCTTCCCCTGTGACTGGCCTCTTCTACCCACACCTGAGAGCTCCAGCTTCCCCTCCCTGCCTTCTTCCACGGTACTTATTGTGGAGGCTGGGAGGAAACCTTCCTCCCCTGGGCCTCAGATTACTCTTTGTGACCTATGAGGGTTGGGCCAGAGGAACTCTGGAGTCATTCTTGCTCTGACAGTTGGAATCCTGCCAACCTAGAGCCACCACCACCCCCTGTCCCTCCTCAGAACCCCCCAGAAGGCACCCCGTGGGTGCCTGGCCCAGCCTCCGGCCCATGCTACCTGACCTCCGTCTTTCTGCTGTGCACACCGGCCCTCCCAGCAGCCTGAGGCTCGCCCACCCCTTCTCCCTTCCACCGACTGCGGAGTGAGGGGTCTGAGCAAGCAGGACTCCCTCTTGTCCCAGGACTGAGTAGCAGGAGGAACACCTGCTGCTGCTGCGTTTTCCAGGCAACACAGAGACGTGAAAAGCTGTGTGGCCCTGACCCAGGCCCCATCGGACTGAGGGCCCCCTACCTTGAGAGCCAGGCTCTGATGGCGGTGCCTGCCTGCTCAGGACACTTCTGCTCCACACAGTGTGTGGCTTCCAGCTCCCAACTGCTGGCCTGCAGCCTGGCAGCAGGGCTTGGCCTCAGCCCGGCTCAGGGCTCTCAGACCCTGGGTGATGTCAACAAAGGGGGCAGGAGGCACCATGTTGTCACGCAAGCAAGCTCAGGTGCTCCCAAAATTCATATACCTTTTATTAGAGATGGCCAGGCAGAAGGAACCACTGGAGTTCTCGAGGGATCCCAGCCTCCAGGAGGATGGGGGACAGTGCTAAAAGGCGAAAAGCGCCAAGGCTGCCTGTGGGCTCAGGTCGTGCCCAGTGAGTCCTCAAACAGGCTGAGGAGGTTCCGAGGCTCAAAGGAGGGGAAGGAGCCCCGAGAGGGCTCAGAGTCAATGTCACTTAAGTCTAGGGTGTCCCTGCATGGGAGAAGAGAAGAGGGAAATGACACAGGACCCAAAACACTCTATCCTGGACCCCAGCCCCCTGGGCCTGCTCACCTCAATGAGTAGCTGCTCTGGGGGACAGGGGAGCCACTGCGGGGGGTGGAGGTGCTCCCGGCAGCCCCAGGCAGGATGGCCCCTGGAGACAGTGAGGGCCTGGGGGTGGGGCAATACAAACAGTGTTGAGGGGTGGGGAGCGCACAGGGAGGAGGCCACAGCTGGGAGGGAGCAGTCAGACCAGCCTGATGTGGGCCAAGGGCCAATGGGACGGCGAGAGTATGTGCACTTTGAAAGTCCACGCACACTCAAAAGCTGCCTCTGTCTCTTGATGGAACACATGGGCTTCAGCTGCACTGGCTTTTGACAGGTACTTGTAAATGAAGCTTATCTGGCACTTGTGTCTAGTATAAAGCACCCCACGGCAATGGGGTGGCCTGCTTGTACAGAAGGGCTAATGGCATGATTCCTCCTGAGGACTGACTGCCCTGAGTGTGTGGTTCCCTTCACTGCAGTGTCTTAATTGCAGCCTCTCACTTGGCCACCAGGCACCTGGCATTAAGATTTCCTCCCTGGGGCTGGCCAGGCTCTGGAGCTCCGTTCCCCAAGAGGAAGGAAAACGCCTCGTCCTTGGGCGCTAGCAGCCTTGATGGTGGGGCCACCACGCTGCCTGCCCCTGGCAGTGTAGCCCCCATGCGGCTCCCCAGGAGGCAGCGCCCTCCCGAGTGAGGTTACCAGGCCTGCTGTTCTGTGGTGGCTGTTCCACACTGAGCTCAGGACAAACAGCTGCATTCAGATCAGGCCAGGCCACACCCCCATCAGCATTGGTTCCCTTCCGAGCCTTGACTGGGGCCACCCCCACCCTGTCCAGCAGCCCTGAGTTCTCACCCACCCTACGCTGCCGTCGTCCCAGTTGCTGGAGAGGCTGCTGTCCAGGAGACTGCAGGGTGGTGAGCCTGGTGGGGTGGCCGGCAGGCCGGGGGGCTGCAGCCAGCTGGCAGGGCGAGCCAGCCCATGCCAGAGCCAGCACATCAGGGCAAGCAAGGCCTGTGGGGACAGGGGCTGAGGGGGGCTGGGCAGACCCAGGGGCCAGGAACGGCAGAGCAGCTCGTCACCACAGCCCTACTTACCTGCCACAGGGCCCACCCTCGACTTAGAGCTTCAGCAGCCATGTACCACAGGATGTTCCAGGGCCGTGGCTGCCTGAGCATGGGCAGGGCCAGCAGGGCCTCAGCTGTGGCTCGCATCTTGGGGTTGGGTTCCAGCATCATGATGAGGACAGAACGTAGCTCAGAGGACAGGCCTGTGCACGGGGCAGGGCCATGTCAGACGTGATGGGGCCGAGACCAGCGGTGCCCCATGGGGGACATTTGCTCCCACACAAGCCTGTCCTCCCAGTGGCAGCCCGTTCCCCCTCTGCCCCTCGCTCACCGGCAGTGAACTCAGGGGGCAGATAGCCCTGGCGCAGCTGCTGCCAGCCCTCCCCGCCATGGGGCAGCTCCATGTTGCATGCCACTTCCAGGATGGTAAGACCCAGACTGGGAAGGATGGGGACAGGGGCAGAACAGCAAGGTTGGCTTTGGGACCGGACCCCAGAGCCCCCTGCTGCCCCTGAGAAGAGACCGGGAAAGAGCTGCTGTTCTCCGCCTTGAACAGGAGGTGGAGAAGGGAGCTGGGGGCCCTGAGAGCCCAGCAGGACCAGTGGTGGACACATGTTGAGCCCAGTGCAGCCCACATGCAATGGAGGTGAGTCCTCCTAGCGCCCCCAACTGGACAGGCACTATGGCTATTGTGCTCATTACCACCCATCTGTTGATGTAGCTGGACACAAGGCAGAGCAGAGTCACCAGCATGAACCATGGACCCAGTGCCTGATCCAGCCCCAACTTCACCACCTGCTAATTAGACTTCAAATAAGCCCCTGACCTCCTCTGTGCCCACTCCTCCATAAAAGGAGTAATAGTCCCTTCTGTGGGGGTGTGGTGAGATGGGTGAATCCACATAAAGTGGCTCCAGATGGTTCCGTTAGACAGCCTGTCTCTGCACATCACCCCCCTTGCTCTCCACCACCTGAAACAGCATCTCCCACGCTGAGGCCAAGTCTTCCTGACTCTGAGCTAGAGCAGCATTTCCCTCCCTCCACTGACCACCCTTCTGCCCCCAGGGAGAGCCTCCCATGTTCCAGCCCTTACCTGAACATGTCTGCGGCTGTCCCATAGGTGCCCTGTAACAACTCGGGGGCCATGTAGCGGGGGTCTCCCTCCTGAGCCTCACCAGCTCCAGAGGCACCCAGCTCCACCAGCAGCCCAAAGTCACCCAGCTTGCAGTGGCCCCGGGGCCCCAGGAAGATGTTGGCTGGCTTGACATCCAGGTGGACCAGGCCTTGGCCATGCAGGTGGGCCAGGGCGAGCAGGGTGTCCCGCAGGTAGCCCCAGACCTGGGCCTCAGGCAGGCTGGCACCCCAGGCCTCACAGTGCTGCTGCAGGCTCGGCCCACACAGTTCTGTCTGCAGGTACAGGGTGCCGCCCTCCTCCCAGGCTCGCTCTAGCCGCACGCAGCACGGGTGCTGCCCCACCTTCTCATGGCCACCAACCTCAGCCAGCTTGCGGGCCCGGTCCTTGGGGCCCCGGAATGGCGACATGGAACGCTTCACTGCATACAGCCGGCCGTCTTCCTTGGAGCGTACCTGGCAGGGGGTGGCACCCACAGGCTGGGTGTGAGGTGACACAGCCACTCGGGAGGACAAATGGCCGATTCTATTAAGATTTCATCTGCAGGTGCAGCATGGCCTCTACCTTAGAAAAACCCCTACACGCACAATAGCAGAACTGGAAAAGCCTTCACCCGAGGAGCCAGGGGCTGGTTCCCTAGTGACTCAGCCAGGCAAGAGGTGGGCTGACCAGAAGGACCTCTAGGATGCACTGTTAAGTGAAAAAAAACTGGCTACCAAACCATACAGGCAGTATGGGCCACTGTGTGGGCTCTGAAATGGGTTTGTCTCTATGTGCTCAACTCTAGAAAAGTATATGGAAAGATCTGGAAGGAAGGACGCCCGCCTGAAGAGCACAGAGGTTTGCTCCAGGAAGGACAGCTGATCTAGGGGCTTATATTGTTTGTACTTTATAACAACAGAACTGTAGTACTTGTGTAAGGAAAACTACCATTTTAGAGGAAACATAAATGACTAGAAAGTATATTTTAAGAAAAAGAAAAAAGATGGCATGGAGGGTGTAGCCTGCGTGCTTTGTGGCTGGGGAGTAGACAGGGCATGCACCCGGGGGTCTGGTTCCAGGGTGTGAGGTGATGGCAGGCGTGCCAGGCTCTGGCTGACAGGAGCGTGTGGGGAGGGGCCTGTCGGGGGTTAGCAGAAAGTAGCCAAATCAAGCACCGGGGAGGAGAATCCATCAACCCAGGTGTGGGCTGGCAGGGGAGGGGAAAGCAGGCAGCCCAGGACACTGTTCCCCCCAGGCAGCCAGGGAGCTGTCACCCCATTCACCTTGAAGACCTCTCCGTATGACCCATGGCCCAGGCGGCTGAGCCTCTGGAAGCTCTGCTTGAAGAAGGACTCTGGCCGGCTTGGGTCGTACCCAGGGCTCTGCAGGGTTTCAGACGCTTCGCCTCGGAACGACACGCTCCGGGGCTGGGGCTGGTGCCAGTGCGCGGTCCGAGGAGGGAAGAGACGGCTGATGGGGACGCTGCCCTTGGCAGGGGGCCGGGGTGGGAGGCTCCGACTGAGACCTCCAGGCCTCTTGAGGGAGAAACCAGGTTCTGCATGGCGGAAGTAGGCTGGGACTGGGATGGGGGTGCCACTCAGGGGTGGTGGGGTGCCCTCTGTGGGCACAGGCATGGCTGGCACAGGAGGATCTGAGGGACAGCACAGGGTGTCCACTCAAAGAGCGCCCAGCCTTGTGGGCCCAGAGAGGCTGCAGAGTAGATCCGTGTTTATTCTGCACACATTTTCTGCTCTAAACATGGAGACCGTGGGAACAACAAGCACCTGCCAAGAAAAGGCAGAGGACAAATATATACATGCTGCACACAGTCATCTACACTCTGGAGATCAGTGAACATCAACTGAAAACCATGAAGCCGAGCCCTGGAGGCTCCCACAGTCCCCCAGAAGTCACACTGACGGAGGTTCTGCAGCCAGATCACCTACAGTCACATCCCTGTGCCATCACAGCTGGCTCTTTGGCCTCAAAATACGCAACCCTCCCAAGCCTGTAGGGTGGAAATATTAACACAGCCACTATCCCTTATCTTTAATTCCAAAGTAAAAAAGCAAGTCTGAATTCCAGAAGTTTCTTGCTGTCTTTTTCATAGTTGTGCTAAAACTCATTTAGTGGAGTTCACTTCCAGCTCCACATTGCAGAGGCTAAATTCCAGCTGAGTGTAGCAGAGGCTGGGAGCCCCCTCCCTCCACCAGTCTCTACTCACAGGATGAAGCTCTACAGTAGGCCCAGCAAGCTGGGAATACTGGAGCCCAATTGCTCAAGCTCCAGCTTATTCCCGGAAAGGAGGCTCCATACTGGGAGAGGCAAGTGAGAAGGCTAGAGGTTACTGTCCCCACCCCACAGCAGCAGTGTCACTCAGAAAGATGGGCACCACTGTCCCTGCCCTCAGCTTCAGAGCTGCAGCTCAGAGACTCTGTCCAGGAGAGAGGCAGGTCATAAAACAGAACTTTGAAGGTTTCTCTGCAAAAAGCTGACTTTACATGAAACAGAGTGTGGGACGTTCAAGCCTAAAACTGCTCTCAAAAATCAATGGAGGTTTCGGTAGTAAGCAAATAGGAGGAGGCTGGCACCTCCCTTAGTGCCACAAACTAAGCCAAAGGCCAGCTAGTTTACCACAGAGAACTGGGGAAAGAGACAGCTAAGAACAGCCTTCCTGGAGTCAGAACAAACCTCAAATACTGAACTCAAAAGGTACCCTGTTAAAGACATCCAAATTTAATTGGATCAATCTATGGAGCATTTGATTCCCCAGGGCATTGTCAAAAGCAACAGAGCAATAGCTGGCACTTGGTGGAGCCCAACAGCTGGCTATGATCAGGGAAAAGATAAAGAGAGCCCCCCTAAAACCACTGGCATCCCAGGGTGACTGTGCACATGTCCAAGCCTGGGCCCTCTTAGGAATGACATCAGAGGCTTCACACTGCAGGGGAAAGAGGTACCACTATGATTGTCAGCCAGTCACTAAACAAATAAAACAGGCAAACAATAATCACAAGCCCCAGAGTTGAGTAAGGAACCAGTATCACAGCTGCTATGATATTATATAAAATACCCAGATTTCAACAAAAATATTACAAGATTTAGAACTCACACGCCTCAACACCCAAAAAGCAAATAACCCTATAAAAATATGGGCAGAGGATATGAACAGACACTTCTCCAAAGAAATTCAGATGGTCAACAGACACATGAAAAGATGCTCCACATCACTAATCATCAGGGAAATGCAAATTAAAACCACAATGAGATATCACCTCACATCAGTTAGGATGGCCAACATAGAAAAGCCAAGGAACAACAAATGTTGGCGAGGTTGTGGAGAAAGGGGAACCTTCCTACACTGCTGGTGGGAATGTAAGCTAGTTCAACCATTGTGAAAAGCAGTATGGAGGTTCCTCAAAAAACTAAAAATAGAAATACCGTTTGATCTAAGAATTCCACTCCTAGGAATTTATCCTAAGAATGCAGGATCCCAGTTTCAAAAAGACATATGCACCCCTATGTTTATCACAGCACTATTTACAATAGCCAAGAAATGGAAGCAACCTAAGTGTCCATCAGTAGATGAATGGATAAAGATAATGTGGTACATATACACAATGGAATATTATTTAGCCATAGGAAGAAAACAAATCCTACCATTTGCAACCGCATGGATGGAGCTGGAGGGTATTATGATCAGTGAAATAAACCAGGCGGAAAAAGACAAGTACGAAATGATTTTACTCATCTGTGGAACATAAGAACAAAGCAAAAACTGAAGGAACAGCAGCAGACTCACAGAACCCAAGAATGGACTAACAGTTGCCAAAGGGAAAGGGACTGGGGAGGGTGGATAGGAAGGTAGGGAGAAGGGGAATAAGGGGCATTACAATTAGTACACATAACGTGGGGGGGCACAGGGAAGGCAGTATAGCACAGAGAAGACAGGTAGTGACTCTATAGCATCTTACTACACTGATGGACAGTGACTGTAATGGGGTATGTGGGGGGGACTTGATAATGGGGTAAATCTAGTAACCACGTGTTGCTCGTGTGATTATATATTAATGATACCAAAATAAAAAATATATACTACAAGATATGCACGGACACAGGAACTTATGACCCACACATGGGAAAAAGCAGGCAGCAGAAACTGTAAGAGAAATCAGATATCAGAGTTAACAGAAAGCCTTAAAAGGAGCCACTATAAACAACTTTAAAGAACTAAAGGAAACCACTCTTTAAAAAGTTAAAGGGAGCATGATGGCAACATCTCATCCAATAGAGAATATTAATAATGAGAAAGAAATCACAAAAAATGAACCAACTGGAAATTGTGGAGTTGAAAAGTACAGTTACTAAAATGAAAAAATGAGGGGGCTCAACGGTAGGTTTGAACTGGCAGAAAAATATCAGTGAACTTAAGATAGATCAATAGACATATGATCTAAAGAACTGAGACAAAAACAAATGAAGAAAAGGGAACAGACTCAGAGAAATGTAGGACACCATTAAGTATACTAACATATGCATAATAGGTACACCAGAAGAAAAGAAGGAGCAGGAAAAATGTGCCAAGAAATGATGGATGAAAACTTCCCAAATGTGATTTTAAAAAAACATTAACATAGACAAGAAACACAATGAACTTCTTCAAGTAGGATAAATGCAGAGATCCACACACAGACACATCATACTGAAAGTGCTGAAAACAAAAAACAGGAAGATATTGTGAACAGCAAGAGAAAAATGACTCATTACTTAGAAGCCCTGCCATGAGATTAACTGCAGACTTCTCATTGGAAACAATGGAAACAATGAAGGCTAGGAGACAGTGAGATGACATATTCAGAGAGAGAGAGAGAGAGAGAGAGAGTGTGTGAGTGTGTGTGTGTGTGTGTGTGTGTGTGTGTGTGTATTTGTCAACCAAGAATTCTATATCCAACAAAACTATCTTCCAAAAACAAAGGTGAAATAAAGACATTCCCACATAAAGGATTCATTGCTGACAGACCTGCTTTACAAGAAAAACTAAAGGAAGTTCTAAAGGCTGAAAGCAACTGATCCCAAACAGTAATTTAAATCTATGTGAAGAAAAACATGGAGCACTGGTAATTTCGTAGTATACAAGACAGTGTAAATGCACATTTCTTCTCTTAACTGATTTAAAAAGCAATTGCATAAAACAATATGTAAGCAATTGATGTTGGGCATTAACATATAGAAATGTAACATACTTGCACATAGCAGCACAATGGAGGTGGATGGGAACAAAGATCTATTGGACTAGAAACTGACACCAGATGGTAACTCAAACCCAAAGAGCAAGTGAAAAGAAACAGAAGTGGTAAATAAGAAGGTCAATATAACAAACACTGAACATATATACACTTACTTTTCTTTCTTCCCTCAGCTTCTTTAAGAAATTAAAGACAATCTAAATAAATGGAAAGACATTACATGTTCATGGGTCCAAAGACAATATAAATAAAACGGCAATGCTCTCCAAACTGCAGACCTACAGATTCACCATGATCCCTATCAGAATCCCAGCTGGCTTCTGTGCAGAAATTGACAAGCTGATCCTAAAATTGATACAGAAATTCAATGGACCGGGAATAGTCAAAACAATCACAGCAAAGTTGGAGGACTCACGTTTCCCAATTGCAAAGCTTACTACAAGGCTACAGTAATCAAACGGATGTGGCACTCACATAAGGACTGACATACGGATCACTGGAACAGGACTGAGAATTCAGAAATAAACTCATATTTACCTCAGTTGATCTTGACACGGGTGCCAGAACAATTCAGTGGGAAAGGAGAGTCTTCTCAACAGTGGTGCTGGGACAACTGGAAATCCACACGCAAAACTCACCTAGCAGAAAAATCTGATGGTCTATTTTCCCCTCTTCCTGTGAATATTCATATATTTCTTGACAGAAACATTAATGTTTGATTATGATATGATATTCACAGACCCACTGGTGGTGTCACCTATAAATACACCCTATTTCCTTTCTAAAATCAGAGCCATTTTGAATTCCAAAACCTACCCAGCCTCCCCATGTGCGGACGTGTAATACCTCACGGAAGGCTTAGCCCAGTGTCTGGCATACAGATCTCCAGGGAATCTCCTATCTAATAACTCTCTGAGTAGTCAGTGAAGGGACACACAAAGTGCAGTGGCCCATGGGAGTAGGTGACTGTGTGTTGGGGCAGAGAGGGCTGTTGTGTTGCTGTAATGTTGTAATTGAAACAAAACCAAGAAAACAAAGGGTGAGGGAGTCTGAAGGCGCACTGTATCAGATGATACAGACACAGATACCTGGCAGGGAGGGGGGCGGTCAGTAACTGAAACAGGAGGGAGCAGCCATCTGCAGTGTGCCCTCCTTCCTCTCCCTGAGGGGAGAGATCCCAGGGGGGCCGGGGGTTGCCTGGAACACTCACCCTACATTCTATGGGCACCCTTCCTCTGACTCTGTTCACCTCGGGAATCCCATCCCAGGATTTCTCAAAGTGAAGAAACCAGGGTGTTAGGATCCCCTAGGGCTCTGGTTAGCAGTACAGCCTCCTGGCTCAGTCCTGGCACATTCCTGGACACCCAGCATCTGCATCTTAAACCAGTTCTCAGACAATTCCAGTGTCACTTTAAGGTCTAGCACCACTGGCCTGGCCATACAGCTCTGGGGATGGGACAGGGGAGGTAAGAGGAGCAGGGGCTCCCTAGTGAATCCAGGGTGGCCCTGAACAGAGGCCAGGCTGCGCTGACCTCTGCAGCTTTCAGGGGCTCCGCCCTCTCACTGGGCCGGGCACATGTTGCGACCTTGGTCCACCGCGCTATACTGTGCGTTCCTGCCGGGCAGGGCCACGGCTGCCTCACCTCCGTGGGCGTGGGGAAACCCTGGCCAACAGAGTTGAGCAGACCGCTGTCGCGAGGCAGGGGCTGGGGATGGGGCTTTCCCTGGGGCGGGGCGAGTGGGGTGGGGATCATTCGCGGGGGAAGGGGTGGGTGGGGCCGTCGAAGCGGCTGAGGGAGCGCGCTGCAGGGGCGTGGGTGAGGCTGGCCAGGGGAGGGGTTGTCAGGGGGCAGGTGCCTGCAGGCAGGGAGGGGAGTAGAGGAGGGCGGTCCCCCCGAGAACCCTCAGGCCCGGGTCTGGGCTCACCTGGAGCGGCTGAGCGGGGCGCAGCTCAGCGAGGTCCTAGATTCCGGGTCGGAGGAGGCCGCGGGAGCCCTCGGGGCGGTGTGGCAGGCCAGGGTCTGAAGTCGATGGCTCCCACGCCCAGGCCGTAGGACTCTGCGGAGGGGGAACGGCCCTGAAACGCGCGCAGAGTCAGCTCGCGCCAAAACTTCCAAACCGGCCTTGAGGTCCCGCCCAGGAACGCCTCTTGACCCGCCCCCGTCTCGGTGCAGCCCGTCAGAGGCGCCCGGCAGATCGGCCCCGCCTTCACGTCCCTGCGTGCGCGTCGCCGCCCCGCCCGCGCCTGCGGCCGTAGGCTCGCCTTGCGCAGGCGCAAAGCGTACACCAGCTTCCGGGCTGGGCGGGGCGCAGTGAGGCCCTGGAGTCCGGGTGCGGCGTGGGATTTCCCATGCGCCTACCCACCCGGTTCTCGCGACGCGATCGACCTCCAGACCCCAGTTCTGCCCCCACGGCCCTCGCTGGACTGGCTTAGTTCTCGCGTCCACGGAAGAGGCGGTCACGTTGGTTCGCCCTGGAGGTGGTCACTCGGGGCCGGATGGAAAGTCCCTGCGGCCCCCGGCGGAGTGGAGTTCCCAGGGTTCACCGGTTCCCTCATGCCTGCCGTGCACCTCACTGGACATGCGATGCGGATGCCAAGCAGACCTTCTCCTGCCCCCAGAACGCGCAGCTTGAGGAACCAGAACATACCGCCCCTCCCAGGAAGCCCTCCGGACTGCCGGGCCTGAGTCTCCCTGCCTCCAGGCCTCAGCCAGCTCAGAGACAGCTCTTCCCATTCTTAGGATTTAAGACTTGGCGCTCAACTCAAATCTCCCTCAGCTCCTTCCTGGCTGAACGACCTTGGGAACACACTGGGATTCGGCCTCACGTTGGTCTCCATGCCTGTAAAATCAGCCGATGAAGCTTCCTCCACGGAGCTAGAGATTCAGATGGAATGATCGATCCCCTTGAAGTTCTTAGCAGGGGTCAGGCTCTGTGCAAGCGCTGATTCCTAACACTAGCACGGCTGGACGTTGCTCCTTCTTTCACTGAGGGGACCTGAGGGGCCTTTTATCCGTTTAACGGGGTGGAGGGGAGTCATGTTTCCAGGCCGCCTACCTACAACGCTCCCCATCTTACTGCATTTCCTTTCCAGCCTTATATTTGTATTGCGCTTATCTCTATCTGAAATTCTATCCTCTTGGTTTATCTGTTGACTGCCTGTCCCCTCAGATCTTTGAAAAGTCATGGAATTCAGGGATCCCAGCCTATTGTGTGCCTGTACCTTCCGTGAATACACTCCAGTATGTGGTCCAGCAGTGGGGAGGAGCCCGCATCCCAGGTTAGGCCCAAGACCCAGTGCTTCTCTGGGGCCTGCAGCCCCACTCCATACATTCTTCCTTTGCATTAGCATCTCTGACAACCACAGCCCCTTGACTCAGACTGGTGCCTTGTTAAGGACCCCAGGCTTGTCCCTGGGAGGCCTGGAAACACAGGCCTCGCTTCAGCTGCCATCCCCTCTGCCAGCCTCATTGCCAGGAGTTCTGAACTCAGGCCCCCTTCCAACTGCTCTTTCTTGACAGTCTAATTCGTATGACTTAAAAATTATTTTTTGAATTCAAAACCAAGCTTCCGGTGGATATTTTGCTCTGTAGAAGGGCTGTAATAAAGTTAAGTACAGATAACAGGTAAAAGCATTTGTTTGAGAAAGGAAAATTAGGGCTCTTAACCCTGCTCTGCAACACAGAGCTGTGTAATAATGGGCAAGTTGCTTTATGTCTCTGGGCCTGTTTTCTCATTTGTAAAGCAGGGATAATAATTAAGAGTTCCTACCTCCTTGGCGGGTATGTACTTAGCACAAGACCGAGTGCACAGTATTTAACGATAACAGTAACAATCCCTCATTTTGTATAGTGTTTTGCAGTCTACAGAGCAGCCACGTGGGCCCAAAGAACCTGGAAGAAAGGGACCAGGACCCCCGCGTCTACCCGGAGCCTACAGGGTTTGAGACCAAAGTTCTTGGGGCTGTGTTGGGGAGGATGCCCCATAACCCCTGCTCACATGCGGGATTCCTCCCAGCTGCACAGCCAGGTTAAGAGCCAGCTTGAGATGCGTGCGTCCCTGCCTGCACCCAGCCTGCACCCTCCTAGGAAGATAGGTTCATCACTCACCAGGTGAATCCCTCCAGGGGTAGGGCCACAAAATAGCAATAAATAATGTGACTTAGGAAAGGCAAAGAAATGATGTCACAAATGCAAACATGGCTACCCCAAACAAGGAAAAGGGGATTGTGATGGGCGCTTCTGTAAAGCTGGCCTTGTTCTATTTCCTGATTCCCTGTCAGATGCATAGGTGTTTGCTTTATGAGCATCTGTCTGCTGTATTGTGCCTTTCTGCCTGATGCATGCTTCTGTGTATACGCCGTATTTCACACTGACTGAGGTTTTAATAGTGACAAATGGGTGGGGAGTGGAAGTTAAGAGTTTAGCTGTGCAAGGTGCAAGTGCCGGGTGGGGGCTGGGTGCTTAGGAAGGTGTCCCAGAGGCGGCCAAAGTGAGGGGCTGAGCTGTCAGATAGAGGGCTGAGGGGGTGACTGAAGGGCCTTTAGCACAGTTGTGGGTTCCAGCATCTGCCCTGCAGGCGCCTGCCTGCCCCTCTGGCTGTCCTCCCTGGATTCCCACCCTGCAGGTGCTGCTATTGTGAGCAGCGGGCTGCAAGTCTGTTGACACAGCCTATGCCATTTTAGGTGACACACTTCCTGGTCCTACATCTTGCTCTTCCATTACCCCAGCTGTCGCCTTGCCCTGGGATCCCAGCTCTGGTCCCTCAAAGTTACTCTTCTATTCAGAGGCTGGGCTGTGTCACCCTCCTTCCTGGGAGCAAAGGGTGGCCCAGGTTCCATCAGGGGCTCTCTCTGCCCCAAATTGGTCCATGTGCTCTCAGGCCAGGCCTGCCTGGGTGGGGCTGGGGTGAACTGAGGGGACCATTGTGCTGGGGGTGGGGAGAAGATTGCAGAGGCTGGCAGTGCCCAGCGGAGCCCGGCCCTGGTCTTGAGTGGTGTCAAGCTGGCCCAGGGCCCCAGGCTGGCTGGCATTTTCAGCAGGCCAGCACAAGCACCTAGGCAGCCTGGTGGGCATCAGCCTTCCCTCTGTTGGCAGCCAAGCAGGCACCCAGACTGTACCTCCTGCGTGGCCCCTTGTGGTCTCCCCTCCTGCCTCCTCCTGGGCCAAGCTTCCCTGGTGCCCTGTGGGGCGGACTGTGGGTCTGGGTCTGTGCAGGGGGCCCTCAGCTGTCCCAGGATGGAAGCAGACACTTTGAGCCTGGACAGCGTGCTGTGAGAAGCGAGCAGGGCAGTGTCTGGGGGAACTGGTGAGGCAGAGAGTGGAGGACCCTGGCTGCAAACCCCAGGCTCACCATGTAGGAGTTGTACAATCTGGGCCAAGTCCCTTCTCCTCTGTGCCTCTGTTTTCCCCATTTGAAAAACAGGGTAGGAAGTAGTTCCCTCAACAGCCCTGACTCTGTGGTACTATTAGTGTCATCGTCTTGGGGGAGACTGAATAGACTCAGGGAGGTCAGAGTCCTGCTCAGCCTCCCCAGCCAGAGAGAGCTGGGGCCCGAGCCCCATCTGAATCAGAATCCAGCACCCTGCCACTAAGCCACCAGGCCACCACTTAGCTGCCCACCATGAGGAGCCCAGGCAGCCGGTGCCTGCTGCCATGGGGTGGAGCAGGTGGCCTGGCATGAAGGCCCCTCTCAGGGAGCCTGAATGGACTGTTGAGCTGTCCCGGGCTCTCATGGGGTGGTTGGGGCCAGGGGCCACCCCCAGGCCCCTCTCAGCCTTCAGTAGAAGTTCCGGCCTCCAGGACTCCTTGTCATAGCTCTCTGCCAGGCAGGGCAGGTGGCCAGTATACAGGGTACAGCGCTGCCGGGACACTGGGCTGAGAGTACCCAGCAGGAGCAGAGGAGCCTTGTGCAAAGGTGGGTCCATGGTGGGGAGATGGGTGCCATGGGTGTGGCCATGTGCGTGTGCTCACGTGACTGTAATCGCTGGGTGCGAGCTAAGGGCAGCAAGGGTGCAGCCCGGGATGTGTAGGGGGAGGCAAAGGGAGGCAAGGCACATCTCAGTGCTGGTGGCTCCGGGGAAGAGGTACCCGGTGAAAGGCCTGCAGGCCACTGGCAGCTGGACCTCACCTCCATGAGCGTGAGGGGCTCAGAGGCCTCCCGCTGAGAAGCCCCCTCCGCTGCTGCCTACTCCCCATGGTGGCCCCTCTGCAGGCCCCCACCCTGAAAGGCTGGGCTCCTTAACCAGAGATGCCAGGAAGGGCTGGCTGGGCAGGGGAGGCCAGCAGATAGACTAGAGTCCAGGGGCCTGAGTCATTGCTGTCCCCAGCCAGCCCAGGGGGGTCCACGGATGCACTGCAGAGGATAAGGGCTGGTGTCCAGATCCCCACCTCTGGGGTTGCCCGGGCCTCCCTCTCCTGTCCTGTACATGGCTCCCCACCAAGCCCCCCGCACCTCTGGCCCTGGCACCAGGCTCCTTTGCCCACCCCCTTGGAATAGTGAGTGCTTACTAGCCCCCCAGGGCACCCTTCTTGCAATCCCGCCCCTTCCTGCCCCTGCATTCCTGCCACCTGAGCAGTGGTGCCTCCAGAGTGTATCCCCTAAAATTAGAGTTGGTGCATTGGAGCCAGCCGAGCAGGAGGTGGATGGGCCTCCTGGCAGCAGGTGGGCCCTGGCCAAGATTTCAAGAAACAGCGAGGACTCTTGGACAGCTGTGCATGGGTGACCTGTCCCCATGTGTCACCATCTCTCAGAAGAGAGGCTTGGGTCCACTCGTACAAGCCCAGCCTCATTTGGGGACCAAGGGCTGTCTCCCAGGGTGGTCCCCGCAGCCTCCCAGGTTAGATGGGAAACAGCCTGGCGTTTCCTGTTTTTTTTTTTAATTTTATAGATAGCTTTATTGAAATGTAACCCACACACCATAAAACTCATCAATGCCGCAGTCTGCACTCACCAGGTGGCCCGCGGTTGGGATGTAATCCTGCCACGTCTCTTTGCACCTCCCACTCAGCACCAGCAGTGCTAGGCTTTCGCTCTTACACCCTCTTCTAGATTTTCTTCTTCCTACCCTGTTCTGTTTGTTTTTTTTTTCTATCAGATCCAGGCTGCTACGCTGTTGCCTATGTGACCCTCTGGCCTCGGCCTCGGCCTCTCAGGGAGCCCAGTAACACAGTAACAAATTCTGCGTCTCCCCCTGCCAGCCAGCCACACACCATGTTCTGGGCCTGGCTCACCTCCTCCCCAGTGTTTGGGCTGGGCCTGGGGTGCCTCCTGCCTACCCCTTGCCAGCTGTTGGGGGGAGATCTGAGCCCTCCAGGTCTGGCACCTAAGCCCCAGTCCCTGTCAGGGTGGAGGAACCTCGGAGGCCAGGCGGGGGCCTGTCCCTGCTGTCAGCGCCTATGATGGATGAGGGGTGAGGCAGGGATGAGGCCCGGGGCTGGCCCCCCAGGGTTTGCGATCAGAGCCTCTGCTACTCAGATGTGGGGGGGCCTAACTTAGGGCCCCCACCCAGCAGGGGTGCTTAAAGGCCCAAAGGGGATGTGCCCTCCCACTCTGCTGACATGATGGGCACCTGGGTCTTCCCCGCTGCCCTTTTCCTGCTCTGGTTGACTTCTGAAAGCCTGCAAGGCGGTGAGAGCGAGGAGCAGGCTGCTGGGGGCTGGGCAGCTGGCCTTGGGGCCAGGAGGCTAGGGAGGGCCACTCGGCCAGACGCCTGGGCTCGGGAGAGGGATGGTCTGCTGTGTGGAGTGTGGGCTGGACAGGGTTTTGAGGGGCCAGGGGACAGATAGCTGGGTCCTGCCCCTCTCTGTCTCTGGGGCCCTTGCCCTGAGTCAGCACCCCCTTGATCCCCAGGGCTACCTCCGTTGTCCCCTGGCCTAGTGAAAGGTAAGCGGCCCCTCCTGGCACTAGGACCAAGTAAGAGAGCATGGTCTCCCCACCACCGCAGGGGTCTGGGAGATGTCCCAGCTGTGGGGCCTAGGAGAGCACAGGGTTCCTCCCTGTCTCCCTGGCAGGCAGCCTCATCCAGGGTCAGCACAGGTGATTGAGTTAATTCTCTTCAACACTTCAATTACACACATAATCTACTTGATCTCTTTTCAGAGTAGGGGGTGCAAACCCAACCAGTAATTTCTTTCTAAGCACTTAAGGGACTCTTGGAAATGAATGAATCAGATATTTAATATCTCCATTACTGAATGCTTTCAGACATGTTAAAAAGCCAGTTACTAATCAGTATCAACATCATTGCTACCGGATCGCTTCATTTTTCTCATCCCATGATTACAAATTTACTCACCCAGAAATGTGGAAGCAAATTGCCTCCTTGGTTGGATCTGGAATGAAGGTCACACAACTGGGGACTGACCCACCATTCTGAACTTTGGCCCAGAGCCAGGCCAGTCACACACAGAACCAGACTCTGAACCTCTGGGCCGTGAGCTGTGCCTTCCCACGCCCACACCTCTGGCAACCCGGTGAAGTTTTAAGTTGAACAGCGTTGATGGGCTTCGCCACCCTAGAGGAACACAGCTCACCTTTTTATAGCCTGATTTACAATAATGGGATTTAGGTGTAGACCGAAACCTCACTGAATTATGCACAAATTTAGGATTGATAACCTTTAGAGATTCTGCAAACGTTACCAGAATTCCAACCAGCTATCTTTTAGCTTACCTCATTTGGTTTGCTCTTCTTGAGAATCAAATTTTTGCTTTTTCATAGAATTACTAATTCTTTAGAAATATCCAAAGAGTAGCATCTTGTCTTTCTCCCAAGGTGTGGAATAAACATCTTTTTGCCGGAGAATAGGATTAGAGCCACCCTCTGGGCACAGGGGCACCAAGCCGACTGTCTCAGTGAGGGCAGCGGGTGATAGGCTTCCTAACCCACCCGGTTAGGAAGTGTTCTGATATTATTCTAGTAAAGGTTCCTATCCCGATTTAAAATATTGACTATTCTCTCCTTTGTTTGGATTCTTACCCATCTGTCATTTACATCCTTTCTTAGCAACATTAACACAAATGCTTAATATTATCAAACTTTGCTTTTGAATTATGACACCATTTAATCTTTTATAATAAAGATAAATAAAGAGGCCCTCAGGGAGCACTGAGGCCCCAGCTGGTTGTCTTCATCCTGTTGTCTCCCACTGAGTGTGTGGCAGAAGCTGAGGAGGCTGACAGGGCAGGGAGAGCTGTGTGGGGCCAGCCTCCTGCAAGCAGCCCTGTCTCTGCTTTCCCCACGAGGAGGGAGACATGTAATACTGAGGGGCTGTCAGAGGCTACCCTGCACCCCAGGCTTCAGGGACAGCCCAGGAGCCCAAGTGTGGGTAAAATTGTAATATTTCCAGAATATCTCTCCTGGCTTTAGTGCATCTGCATATCAACAGGTGTTCCTCAGAGGTGGAGAAAGTAGTTCTCCATATCAAGGGTAATGACCTGGGCGACAGAGGGCTTATCTGAACCTGAGAGGTTAGGGGCAGGTCTTGCTTGCTTCTGCCAGAGCAGGAGAAAGAGACGCAGGGACTGAAGTTTGCAAGCAATAAACGGGTTTTTAACTTTATTTCTCCCTTTGACTGATTTTGGTTTTAGAGGTATTTTGCCCCTTTCTCCCCAGAGTTACACCAAGGCAGGACCCCTGCCAGGGCCACAACACTGAAGGCCCAGAGACTTGCCACAGAGGAGTCTTGATAAGCCCAGCCGGAGCCACGTTTGGAGACTACAGGCCACCAAACATGGTGGTTGCTCACCCTACCCCACTGGGATATCCCACTCCCAGTCCAGCCTGGCACCACGGTCCTGAGTTTGGGGCTCTCCCAGGAGGAATGGAGAGCAGAGCCGGCTCCCTCACAACAATTATTACATCGTTTCGTCTTTTCTTTAAGGTGATTGAATGGAAACTTGCCTGCGATTTGACCCACACCCAGGCGCATCATTCCGCAGTTACTAAGGGCAAAATCCAAAAGAGGTGAGCCCCCCACTTCTCACTGGCCCCCGCAGAGGGACGGAGCGGGGTAGCAGTGCAGCAGCGCAATGAGCCCTCAGGCCAGGTGGGGGCGCCCACTGCGCCGCCCTGTTTTAGGGCTACTAGGAGTGGAGCTTGTACCGCGGGACACCGTGATTGGCTAGAATCGGGGAGGGCGGGAAGAAGACTTTGCGCTGCTGCCTCTGATTGGCCGCCTGGCGTAGCTAGCGCCTGCCTGCTGGAGAGGCGCAAGGCGGCCAGCGCACTGGCCCTCGATTGGCTGGAGCACGGACCGCGGCCACCGCTGCACGGAGAGGGCGGTAGCGCGCGGCGCTCGCTGGGCCCTGGCCCGGCGGCGGCGGCGGCCAAGCTGGCGGTTCTGCTGCCACGCTCCCGCTCGCACCCGCGGCTTGCCCCTGCCCGCTCCCACTCGCGGCTGGGCCGGGCCAGCGCGTCGCTGTACCTGACCCCACCGCCCGCGCCGTCCCTGCCACACCCACCGCTGCCCGGCCTGCCGCCCGGCCTGAGCCCCGGGCCGCCGCCGCCCTCGGCGCTCGCCCTGGCCGAGCTGCCGCCTCTGCCCGCGCTCCCGCTGCGGCCCGAGCCGCTGGCGCCCTGGGGCCGCGGCGTCCACCTGGCGCTGCCCGAGCTGCCGCCCGAGGCCTGCGCGCCCGCGCCGCCCGCCGCCGCGCTCGCCCTGCAGGACCTGCCGCGCCTGCCCGCTCCCACGCCGCCGCCTGCTTACCTGCCGCTGCCGCCGCTGCCCGAGGCCGCCGTCGCCGCCACGCCCGGGCCCGTGGGAGCGCGCGGTCGCCGGTCCCTGGTCGCCGAGCCGCCCCCGCAGCCGCTGCCGCCGCTACCCGCGCGGCCCTCGCAGTCCAGCCTGCTGGCGCCTCCCGCGCCACATGCTCCCTGGCCTCTTCCTATCTTTCCCCCGCCGCCGGCGCCGCACTTCTACCTGTCACCACCCTGCTGACGGCCCGGCCCGCCTCGAGGCCTCCGACCCCGAAGAGGCTGCGGGCGGGTGAGTAGGCAGCCGAGCACGGACACCCAGGCTGTGGCCCTTGCCATCTTCCCACGAGCAGATTCAGAAGGCGTGGATCAGAGCCCAGCTTGGGGGAATAGGGACGGGGGTCAGGTTAGCAGCCCGGGTATGCAGGTGGAAGGAGCAAGTCTAAAAGTAAACTCACTTAAAGATTAGGGTCTTTATTCTATTTTCCCTACTGCCCTACAGTAAGTCTCCTGCCTGGTTATTTGAGAAGGTAACTTACCCCTTGTGCTGATAAACTAGCTGGTGATAGCGTTGGTGGGGCTGTGGTGCCCACAGTGCATGGCTTGAGGAAATGGGAACAGAAGTTGAAAATGCTTTGATCAGGGTATATCCCAGTATATCTAATTTTTCCTTATAAGATAAAGGGTTTGGATGCCATCGCCAAGGTCCTTCTCTGCTTGTGTTTGTATAGCTTCTCAGAAACTCAGATCTGCCTTCCAAGTCTTAAGAAGTCAAACTTTCAGCTGAAGGAGACCCAGGGGTCCGGAGGGCTAGAGGGCTGAGCACACCAGAAAAGCAGCAGTGTGGATGCACAGTTGATACTTGGCCCTGCGGCAGGAGCGTCACATGCAGGCGCTGTGATGTCATCTCTCTCTGACAGGAAAGCTCCCACCCAAGGTGAGTCATGAGAGGAAGCCCCTGCTCTCTCCCCATCTTTTCTTGTCCTCCCCCGGTTTCTCTCCAGCGCATACAACTCAGAATAATGTCCCCTTTGTTACTCAGGTGGCCTGGGCTCAGGTAACCAGGCGGACATCCTGTCTCAATGGACTCTTATACAGCAGCTCAGGAGTGGTATCAGGAAGCCAACTTGACCTTGAGGAACCTCTGAGAGCCTGCGACCCACCGGTAGGAAAGGCAGTGTATGAGTTTACTGTGTCTGGTCGAACAAATCCCCACAAACTGGGGGGCTTCCAATAACAGAAACGTATTCTCTGGTGATTTTGGAGGCCAGGTGTCCAAAACCAAGGCCATGCTCCCTCCCAAGGTTCTAAGGGACGGTCCTGGTGGCCCCTGGTGTTCCTTGGCTTGTGGCTACACCCTTCCAGTCTCTGCCTCTGTTGTTAGATGGTCTCTACTGGGTCTGTCTCAAATCTCCCTGCTCTTTCTTTTGTAACAGCTGTCCTTGGAAGCAGGGCCCACCCTAAAAATCTGATCTTGAGATTTTTAACTTAATTACATCTGTAAAGACCCTTTTTCCAAATAAGGTGACACTCAGAGCTTCCCGGCCTTAGGACCTGGACATAGCTTTGGGGGCCATTTCCCTGTGGGGCTGGCCCAGCTCTCCTTACTGTCTTAGCCCCTCTCCGTCGCTGACCTGGAGCTTTGGGCGCCCTTGGGACCTTCAGGCAGGAGCCAAATGTATTAGAACCTTGATGAAGTTCTCACTGTCATAGGAAGAAAATGGAAGCAGTGTTTTTCTCCTTTTCTGAACTACGGCCACATTCCCATTCCTGCCGGCTTGCTGCTCCCTCCACCTCCTTTACATCCCTAGCTCCCCTCCCCTCTAAGAATCAGACCGCAAAAAAGGAAGGACAAGGCCTAATGTGTCCTCTGAAAGCAGACTGCATAAAGAGGGACAACTCCAGCCCTGACTCTGCATGGGTAACTCCTGATGCTTGAAAGCCAACAATTGCAAGGGATAAAAATAAAGTCAGCTGCCACCCAGTCAGTGGAGTCTGCACAGGTTTACAAGTGAAATTGCCAGTATGCTGTGGTCCCGAGTCGGTACCTATAGTGTTGCTCAAGGTGTGTGAGCACTTGACACCTGGGCAAACGCCTGCAGCAGCCCTGGAGGTAGGCAGGGCCGACGCCCCCCTCCGCTTGGCAGTCAGGAGGCTCCTGAGATCAGGGCAAGGGTGAGAGGTCTGATCCAAAGCACATGAAGCTGCCCACTGCAGGTGGCGAGCAAACAGTGCCTTCTGCACCAGGAACACAACGCTGTGAAAGGGAATGGGAGGGCGGAGGGCGGCTTCCCAAGTAATCAGATCCAGGTGCACTGTGGAGACTTCTCAGCGCGGAGCCCGGAGGAGGGGGTGAGGAGGCAATGGCTGGTTGGGGAGAGGTGGGCGGAATGCAGGTGGGGTGGTGCGGGGGAGACTCAGCTGGGGTGGTAGGGGCTCTGCTGCGCTGCCTTTGAAGAAAGGGGCACCAGGAGGCCCGGCTTAGCCTTCCTGAGTGCTGCTGGCCGGCCTGGGCAACGAGCCGGGCTTTGAAGTCTGTCTGGGGTGTGGCGGGCTTGTCCTGTTCACCGGGTGCACACTCAGCCTACTGGTTCATCAGCGCTCCAGCCTTGTGTCCTTGTCTGTGAAACAGGGGTAGGAAACCAGTGAGAAATGTATGGAATCTGCACCTTTTGGTTTGGGGCTTGGCTTTTGTACCTATAAAGTTGGGGCTTTGGGCACCTTCCCAGAGCAGGAGCAGTACTGCCCCTGAAGGTGTTGAGCCGCCCCGTGCCCACCCCTGTACGCTTCCAGGCACCACCGTGGCTCTCGTGACCGTTAGCTCCACTCTCACTGGGTCACCGTTCCCCTAAAAGGAGTGAGACGGGATGGGTAGTTGGCCACCTCCACCCACCCCCATCTAAGCTGAGGCCCAGTTTCTTCTGCAGTTGAGCTTCCCGCCCCTCCGCTCTCCCAGAGAGAACAAAGGCCAGGTCCAGTTCCGTCCCTCCCTGAAGGTAGTGAGCGGGAGGCCCCACTGCCCTGTGCCTCTGTTTCCCTCCCCCACCTCTCTCCCCAGCAGACCGGATGGGGGTGGGGATTCAAATGGACCTGTTAAAGTGCCATTGAGATGGTAACTGGTAACTGCACCTGGGAGTCCCTACCTCCATATCAATAGCATTCCAGCCCAAGTGGCAGTCCCTGCCTAGACTCAACTTTAACCCTTTAGTCCCCAGGTCCTGAGGGCAGGAGGTGTGGCTGTCTTGGGTGCCCCGGGATGTGTCCTCTGCCTCACACCCACTCCAGCGGGTGGCTCCTCCAGTTTTGCCGGTTCTCCTGACAATTTTTCCACTTTTAGGCTGTGGGGGGAAGCTGAAGCCCCTGGGCCACCCTGGAGGCAGGTCCAGCAGGGATGGTATCTCAGGGTGAAGAGTGAAAGGGGGGGGTGTCTTCGTTCCTGGCGCCGGCCAACCCCTGGCAGTGCCGGGTCTCCCTCTTTGCTTGAATGTAGAGATGTTAGGCCAAAGAGGGATTGGGGTCTTAAAAAGGCAGGGTCCTCTTAGTGTCATCTCTGGCCACAGCATTTACCAGGTGTGTGCAGCCCCCCACAGGCCGCATGACAAGGTGGGGGATTTAAGCTGCCTGGGGTACTGGTGGGTCCTAGAAGTGGGCCTGACTGCAGGGTGACCAACCGTCCTGGACAAATCAGGAGGCAGGAGGCCGGCTTTCTCTGGCCCTGGGGAGAGGAAAGCCCCTGGGCTAGGGCTGCCCAGGGTGAGAGTTCTTGTGGCCGTGTCGGTGGACCCTTTCAGAGACCTGGGCCACTGCTGCCTTACACCTGCTCGAACCTGTGCAACTGGATTCCTTGAGGCCCGGAAGACTGCAGAGGGAACCCACTGAAGGCTTACCTCTATTTTCCCTTCTCAGCCACCTCCTCCCCCAATGAAATCTGAGGCCCAGGGGCTGGTTGAGCCAGACAAATCCCCCAAGATTCCGGCACCCAACAGCCAGCAAGGGGGGAGGGTCTGGCTATCTTCCAGCCCACAGGCATCAGCCCCTCCAGCCTGCGTCCACGTGGCCAGGGTGACCAGGTCAGCGCCTCGTGCTGGAAGTGCAGTCCTGTGGGATGCACTGGGCATGGAGGAAGCCCTAACCTTTTTAGGAGGAGAGGCTCTCAAGATTTTTGGGGTCACCAAAATCCAAAGAATGCTAAACCCACCCCCTGAAGCAATGACCCTCTGGAAATGAGAATCCTTTGTGAATAAAGCCCCACTGAACAGATGAGGAGGCATTTAGCACACACACCCCTTCCCTGCCCTACAGGCGTTCACGGGGGCCTCCCAACCATGCCCGCAGTGGCTGGTTATCCAGCTAACGGTGCTTGGGCCTTCTCAGGGGCAGGGTGCAAGTGAGGCTGTGAAGTGAGGGCCCACCTCTGCCTTTGAGTCTTCCCCGCCACTCTGAAATTGTGTTAATGGCAGAATTTTCATCAGGCCCTGCTTTTCCCTTAGTCCTTAGCACCCAGGGAGGTGCCTGAGGGAGCTCACGACTCCCCCATAAAATTAGGGCTTGTGTCTGGGTTCCACTAGGTTTCTCAAAGGGGTCTTTGACCCAAGGAGGTTAAGTTCCTTAACTTACCCTGATCTGTCCAGCACTGGCAGCAGGGGACAGGGTAGGGGAAACAGGGGGTGAAGGCAGGATTTGAGCTGTAGTTTGTGTGACTTCCAGCCTGCCCCAATGGCAGGGGGTGTCATAGGCTCCTAGGGGGTCTCCATGAGAGGCTCTTTCCTGAGAGCTGTGATACAGGGTTTAGGGATGCCTCAGAGGCACCCCCACCTCCACCCAGTGGTGTCTCGTCCAGAGCGATCCCTCACTGCTGGTGGAAGATAGGCGGGTCCTGGGCCGTCACCCCACCCACACATGGCTCCTGTCCTCTCTACCCAGCCTTTCATCCCAGCCCCCATGTTCCCCTCCTCCACCCCAACAACTGGTTCTTTCTTCTCTGGCCCCTGGAGGCCTCCAGCAGCTTAACTTGGCCCCCAGTTTCAGCAGCGGGGGTGGGGAGGGCACACCTGAGCTGAACTAGAAGTGGAGGATGGTTTTCTAGGCCGTTGCCTGGGTGATGCCACCTGAGCTGGGTGCCAGGCACCTGTTGCCCAGGGAACAGTGCGGCGCCCCTCCCTTGGGTGCACCAGGGCCACTGGGCTGAGACAGGAGACAGATCAGATTCCAGAGAGTCCTGGCCAGGTAGGGGGACAGGCGGGGGTGTGCAATACTGGGGAAGCTGGGGTACATTTGCATCAGAAACAGAATGGGGGACAGGAGGGAAGCTGGAAGATGAGGCGGCTCAGGAAAGCAGCCGAGCCCCCATACCCCATCCTGACCAAGTTACTTCTTTAACATGCCCCCATCCTTACTCTCCGGCTGGTCCTCCATGTCCCCATTCCTTTGTTCCTGCATTTCCACTTGCGCCGATCTTCCTTCTCCTGCGTTCCTTCCTATTCGCGGCACCCCCCACATCACCCCTGAGGACCTCCATCTTGCCCCCACCCTCGCCCCCGCAGCTCTGGCTGTCCCAGTGGGGCACTCGCTCCTCCCCTGCCTCAGCCGTAAAACCCCGCCTGCAGCAGGGAGCCAGCGGAGTCCCGGTTGGCACTCACCGCGGGCGGGCGGCTTCCCGCTCCACTGGTGGGTCAGACAGGTGGAGGCTAGGACCTGACTGCACGGTGGCAGGACCAGAAGTCCTGGGCATCTGATGGGTGACGGGACCCTTGAGAGGACACCAGCTACTCAGCTACCAGCTGAGCAGGACCGTGAGATTCATTTCTGTTCATCGAATATCGGAGACACAGCTGTGAGAGGCCCACAGATGTGAGGACTACCCTGGCGGGAACACCGACACCCTCCCACTGTGCACCGAGCACCCCCCCCCACTCAGCTCTGAGTCAACCAGGCTTCCCAGGGTTGAGAAGATCTAACTGAAGGGCAGATGGCTTCCACTGGCCTAGAACTCCTGGGCATGACCCTGGCCGTGCTGGGCTGGCTGGGGACGCTGGTGTCCTGCGCCCTGCCCCTGTGGAAGGTGACTGCCTTCATCGGCAACAGCATCGTGGTGGCCCAGGTGGTATGGGAGGGGCTGTGGATGTCCTGCGTGGTGCAGAGCACCGGCCAGATGCAGTGCAAGGTGTACGACTCGCTGCTGGCGCTGCCCCAGGACCTGCAGGCTGCCCGGGCCCTCTGCATCGTTGCCCTCCTGCTGGCCCTGTTCGGCCTGCTGGTGGCCATCACAGGAGCGCAGTGCACCACCTGCGTGGAGGATGAGGGCGCCAAAGCACGCATTGTGCTCACCGCGGGAGTCGTCCTCCTCCTCTCGGGCATCCTGGTCCTCATCCCCGTCTGCTGGACGGCCCACGCCATCATCCAGGACTTCTACAACCCCTTGGTGGCCGAGGCCCTCAAGCGGGAGCTGGGGGCCTCTCTCTACCTGGGCTGGGCAGCAGCCGCCCTGCTTATGCTAGGTGGGGCCCTCCTCTGCTGCACATGCCCCCCGCCCCAGATTGACCGGCCCCGAGGACCGAGGCTGGGCTACTCCATCCCCTCTCGATCGGGCACATCAGGTTTGGACAAGAGGGACTACGTGTGAGGTGGAGGGAGGCCCAGAAACCTGTTGCTCAGAGCCTTCATCTTGTACTGGATGCCGCGCCCTAGCCCTTACCTTTCAGTCAGCCCCTCTCCCAAGTGAAGCCACATTCTGTAAGTTCCAGCCAGGCCTGGCTGCAGGGCTCACCTCAGCTGGCCCAGCTGGGTCCAGCCCCTCCTCAGAGGGGTCCCAACTATGTCCTGCCCCCATTTCCACCCAGGCAGGGCCAGAGCTGATGGGGCAGATTGGCGTACCCCTGCCTGTCTCTTCCCAGTTGTTTTCTACGGTCCAGGACTTAGACCAGCCCCCATTCTCTTCCTGAGGCCTCCCTGCTCGGGCATCCTGGGCCTCACAAGGGCAGTAGCTCCAGGGCTGAAAACGGAGTGGACATGCTCTTCCTGCCCTGGAGCTGGTCTCCTCCAGCCTGGCCACCACCTGCATCCAGAGGCCAGGACTGGAGGCCCAGCCCATCATGCTACCCTACCCTTACCTTCAAAGTCAGGAATAAAGAGCATTTGTATCTTGGCTCCTTTGATCTGTGGTTGGCAGGGAAGATCAGGGGGCCTCCCCTGGCACTGTGGAGTCAGACCTGCTCCAGGTCTCTCCTGGTGGGTAACCTCTCAGGCCATGCAAAGCATGAGGGCAACAAAGGCAAGCCATGTATGCCCATCTTTTCCTGCCAGGCTGGCACTCAGCAATACCAAGGCAAGTAACAAAAGATGCTTTATTTAGTAAAAACTGGTGAGTGTGGACAGGGCATGGCAAGTGTGCAAGGGCTGGAGGTGGGAGGGTCAGGGGTCTACAGCACAGCTGGAATGTGACTCCGGACTGAAGAGCCAGAGGTCAGAAGACTTGAAGTAGGTGGTTCTTTGGTAACTTATCACCTGCTAGTCTACAGGCTTGGTGAGGCTCAAGAGTCCCTGAGGGTTCCGAGGCCTGGCCAGCAAGTGGGGGGACTTGTCCTTGGCAAGCCGAGGGATGCCCCATCCCCAGAGCAGCAGGAATTCCTGGGGATGGGCTGAAAGCACCTGGACAGCGAGCAGCCTTCACACCGGGCCCACAGCTCCAGGCTGGCCTTCAAGCTGGGGATGTCCCGGGTGGAGAGAGATCCAGAAACTTGGGTGCATCACCTCTTTGGCTCCATCACTCAAACATGAGAAAAGCCAGCAGGAGAACCCAGGTGGGAGCCCAAGTTTATTCTTGCTGGGTTACCAAAAGGATTAAAAAAACACCCCTCCAAAAAAAAAAAAAAAGAAGAAATAAAAGATAAAAAATCCCAAAGCTGCCACGGATCATCATCTCAGTAGCTCTAGCCCATGGGGTTAGGCTCCCAGTCAAGGGAACCTCTACTTCCCTACCTGAATTAGACGTAATTCTTAGTGGGGTACTCAGAGGGACCCTGAGGGGTGGCATGCGGGGCAGAGGCTGAATAGCGGGCTATGTAATGGCTGGAGCCCCGGGACCCCCCAGAGGGGCAGGTGCAGCACAGCAGCCCCCCACCCAGCAATAAAAGGCCAGAGGCTGCCCAGCCCAAGTAAAGGGAGGCCCCCAGTTCCCGCTTTTGGGCCTCAGCCACCAGGGGATTGTAGAAATCCTGGATGATGGTGTGGGCTGTCCAGCAGATGGGGATCAGAGTCAGGACCCCTGAGATGACAAAGATGATCCCAGAGGTGAGCACCAAACGGGCCTTGGAGTCCTTGTCTTCCACGCAGGTGGTGCACTTGGCCCCGGCAAGGTAGACCAGCAGGCCGAACAGGGCCAGAAGGAGAGTGATGACAGAGAGGGCCCGGGCAGCCTGAAGGTCCTGGGGCAGCGCCAGCAGCGAGTCATACACCTTGCACTGCATCTGGCCGGTGCTCTGCACCACGCAGGACATCCACAGCCCCTCCCACACCACTTGGGCCACCACGATGTTGTTGCCAATGAAGGCAGTCACCTTCCACAGGGGCAGGGTACAGGACACCAGAGCATTCACCCAGCCAAGCATTGTCAGAATGATCCCTAGGATTTGCAGACCAGCAGAGGCCATGGTGAGGTTGAGGCTGAGGTTGAGAGGAGCTGCAAGGGGGGACAGAAGCAGAAGCAGAGTAATATTAAGATGGCTGACCCAGACCCCTTGTTCCCAGTGAGTGCTAACCCCCATGCCCCGTACTGTGGCCACAAGACAAAACACCAAGAGTGTGAACCTGGTCCTATAATGTAGGCAAGGCACACTCCCCAAGCCTCATTTTCTCATGGGCAAAAAACAAGCATTTATTTGTTCCCCTAGTTGTAACAAGCACTGGTTTATTAAGAGGGAATAAGCAACCCAGTTCTGGCTGTTTTGAATGTAAATGAAATACAGATGATAGTCCTTGCTCTCAGCCACTTTGGGTACATTTTATCAAACTGCAAAGTGGAAAAGAGAGGACGAAACAACAGAGTAAAATTTCCAGGTGGATTCCACGGGGCACAGAGATGGTGGGTCAGCTCTTGCCATGTCTTTCAGTCTCAAAACTTGTCAACTTCAACACCAAGATTAGAGATCTAAGCTTCTTCCCACCACCCAACAACAAGAGTGTCCAAAACCTTCACCCCAAATTGGTTCCACACCCCCAGGCAGGTGGTTACTGGTTTGACCATAACATCCTGGGCTCCCTGTGGACGTAAGCCACCACCTGGGCCAGGCCTTCCCCAGCCCAGCCCCAGTCCAAGCTGGGAGGGGCAAGAGACGGAAAGAACAAGGAAACAGCTCTCCCACCCAAAGGCACCGCCTTCCCCCTGGGTCTTGCTCTTCTGTCCTCTGTGAGGGGCCGCAGAGCATACTCCCAAGGTTGGGGACACTTTCTTGTATATTCTTTGCCCAAATACCACTCTCTCAAGAAACAACCCCTTAAAAGGAGCTAAAACCTCTGGGGTCTGAGCAGTAGCCAGCTACTCTGCAGTGGCCCTGGCCCCCGCCCCTACCTGGCTCCCCTCATGTCCCACTTCCCGTTAGGGAGCTCCATGGGGATCAGTTCTGTTCAGGCCCCTGAGGCGGCTTTCCTCTCTATTGTCCAAAGTTCCCCTACAGTGCTTGGACCTAAACTTCACACCGTCTTCAGTAAGTGTGGCAGGGCTGACTCCATTCCTCACTGGCACCCAGCCCCAGACCCCGGCAAGCTCCCGACTTCGGGGGAGATCCAAAGCGGTGGGCCAGCCCCAGCTCATCCCAACCCGGTTGTCAAGCCCCCCAGGCCCCCACGCGGGCCTCCCGGCACCTCTGCCCTCCGATAGTGCCCCTACCCTCAACCCCTTCCACACACTATCGGCTCCAACCGGTCGGAGAGCGCCCACTTCTGCTCTCGATCCCCACTTCCCTTCAGAGTCCGGCCCGAGGTAGGGTATCAAGGCTGCGCCAGCAGCAGGGTCAGCGCCCCAAGTGAGGGGGAGGGGGAAACCCACCCCGGAGAGTAGCGCAGGTGGGGGAGGGGCGCCTGAGTTTCGGTGCCTTTGTCCCGGGGAGGGGGGAGGGGCGTTTAACCCTTCCAAGCCTGCCGAAGGACCCGATCAGCTCCCGCGGCTTTGGTGCTGCCCCCGCCCAGGGGCTCGCCACCCCGAGATCAGTCCAAGTTCCCTACAAGCTGCCCACCCACGCCTCGCGCCCCTGCGCCCCGCTCCTCTAGACGTCTACGTCCTCCCCAGTGCGCACACCTCCCCCAGCCTCACCTGCAAAAGAGACCTCAGACCTTTCCTGGAGCCCGCCGAGTGCGGAAATGGGGGAGGAGGCGGGGGGCTTTAAAAGGCAGTGACGTCACTGGACCACCGCCCAGGGGAGGGGCAGAGACCCCGCGTGAGACCGCGGCGGGAGCGCAAATCCCAACCTCGTCGGTCGGCGGCGCTCGAGCTTGGGCCGATGCGCCCGCATCCAGGACCGGTGCGGGCACTTCTGCGGGCTGAAGTCGGGGCCCGCGGTTGGTCAGGTAGCCGGACGTGTTGCTGACTGTAGCCCGGCTCTTCGCTTCTCCACTTACTAGCGCTGTGACCTCGGGAACTCACTAACCTCGAGCTTCAGTTTCATTCCCTGAAAGATGGAGACAAGCCCACATTTTACAGTGTAACTATGTCCCGTGTCGTAATGTTGAAATTAAAGGGCACATTTTTTAAATTGTTATTATTTTTAATTATGTAGCCCTTTAAAAAAAGCTGCAGTTATCTGTGCGATGGGTTGTTTTTGTTTCGTGTCTGATGTCCCCTTAACACACACTTCCTGAACTTGAGCACCCAAAGGGCAGGTTGAGGTCTGTGCCCCTGCAGGGTCTCAATCATTAGCGCACCGAGACCATGTTTGTTGAGCGAATGACCGAACTGAGCGGACCAGGCGGGGCTGGCGGTCCAGGCACGGATCGCGGGGCGGGCCAAGGCGACAGACCCGCCCCGGAAGGCGGGGGCGGGGGCGGGACGGCCACTGTGGGTAGCGGCCGGCGGGCAGCAGGCCCAGACGGCAGCACCCGCTGAACGCGCACCATGGTTCCCGGCTCGCTGCGCCCGCTGCTGAGACTCCTCGTGCTGGGGCTCGGGCTGGCGCTGCTGCGCGCTGCAGCCGGGGAGCGGATGCCCGGTAGGCCGTGCGCGGGGCCGGAGCTGGGCGGGAGGGCGTGGGGGATGGAGAGTCGGCGTTGGCGGTCCGAACTGTGGGGACTAGGCGGACCTCCAGGTCCTGGGTCAGGTGGTCTCCAGACCTGGCTTTCCCCTGACCGGGGAGCTCCCGTCTCTCTCCAAACTTCATCCGCAGGCCGGGCCTCAGTTTCCCGCCTGTCCACCTGATTGGGGGTGGGGTTCTGTCCTGAAAGTCCGGACTCGGAAGTGGAGAGAGAACGAAGTTTGAGGGCGGGATGTCCTGTCAGGTCAAGGGGCACGCCCCCAGCCTGGTCAGTACCGGGTCTTCCCAGCCCTAGTGACTGAAGATCAGGGGGCTGGGAGACGGTGCCGAGAGGCACGAGGGTCTTTGCCCCCTCTACCATGTGGGGTGCCCCCTTCCATCCGGTGACTTAAGTGCCCAGCTATGCGGGGGGAGGGACCCGGGTCGGGCCCAGTGCCCAGGAGTGAGTCACCCGCCGGTGGCGGTGTGTGTGTGTATGGTGGGGGGGAACCTGACCCCCCAGTGTCCCGCGCTATGCCCCCTCCCCCCGCGCTGGCGTGTCCCGGCCGGGCCTTGCGGTCACCTGTGAGGAATGCGGGGAGAGGGCGCCGGTGACTCACGTTATTCGAGCCGGCCGACCCTGACCTCAACCCCCAGAATAGCCGCGCCCCGCCCCAGCCTCTGACCCCGCGGCCCCCTCCCCAGGCACCACCCCCTGCTCTCGCGGCAGCTCCTGGAGCGCGGACCTTGACAAGTGCATGGACTGCGCGTCGTGCCCAGCGCGACCGCACAGCGACTTCTGCCATGGCTGTGAGTGGCGGGTGGGATCAGAGACGAACGGACACCAAGTTGGGGGAGAGCGTTGCCGGGATGGAGAGAACAGCAGTGGGCTTCACATCTGGGGAATGATGGGGCAGGCGGGAGTGAGGAAGGGACTTAGATCAGGGTCAGGGCCACTACCGGGGAAAGGCTTGAGGCGCAGATCGAGGGGGCGGGGCTCGTCCACAGAGGGGCGAGGTCTGACTTCGAGTCCCGGCACCAGGTGCTGCTGTCCCTCCAGCCTCTTTCCAGTTGCTGTGGCCCATCTTGGGGGGCGCTCTGAGCCTAGCCCTTGTGCTAGGACTGCTTTCCGGCTTCCTGGTCTGGAGAAGGTGCCGCAGGAGAGAGAAGTTTACCAGTACGTACGCCCGGCCCACCCTCCCGTGCCCAGTCACTCCTCAACACTTCCCCAGCTCTTGACCACCCCTCTTCTTACCTTGCAGCCCCCATAGAGGAGACCGGTGGAGAGGGCTGTCCTGGCGTGGCCCTGATCCAGTGACAGTGAGCGCCCCCTGCCAGCAGGAGGCCCCACCCACTCATCATTCATTCATTCATTTTGGAGCCAGCCCCTGCCTACCAAAAACAGCCGGAGTTAGGCTGTTCCAACCACAGGGGTGTGGAGGGATGCGGGATGGGTCAATCACTTCTCTGGGGCCTGGACCCAGACTTCAGAGGAGGCTTCCAAGGTGTCTGACTGCCCTGTCTGTGGCCCCAGCACAGACACAGAGATCCATGCTGGCTCCCTCGATACCTGACACCAAGGAACTGCAACATTTGCACAAGGGGTTCCCAACCCCCAGCCATGGCCTGGGGGCCAGGCTGACTTAAGGGAGACACCAGACCAGGCTCCACCTCTCAGAAGTACTGAAATTCCACCAAGGGAGTCTCAGCCTGGGGGGTTAGGGACCTGTTCCTAACACTAGAGGGCTGGCCCTCTAGGGGGCCGGCCCTCAGACACTGCCCCCCCCCAGCCCCCAAAGGGGAGAAATATTTATTTTGGGGAGAACATTTGGAGGGGAGGGAGAATTTATTAATAAAAGAATCTTTAACTTTAAATGGTTCGGAGAGTGGCATGATCCCCAGCCGACTTCCCAGAGCTGGAGGGAGGAATGAGTCACCGCGGGGGCGGGGGTGAGGCTGTGACTCACACATTCTCAATGCCTGAGCCCAGCCTGCCAGGGCCTGGCCAGGCCCTGACCGTTTTTTCCAGGGAAGATCTTGAGAAACCCCAGAATCCAATGCCCCAGGCTTCCCTCACCCCTCTTCCAAAAGGCCCCAGGTTCCAGACTGAAGCCTTCATTTGCTCAGCAATCTTTATTTAGTTCTGGGGGTGCAGTGCCTCCCTCCCAGGCTCCTGACCCTCCCACCCCAGGGCTCCATGAGGTTCCTCTGTTGAGGTCCTGGTACCCAGAGGTCTGGTCTGAGGATAAACAGGACAGCTGGTCTCTTTGTGAGGGTGCAGTTCTCCTTGTGGGGAAGAAGGAAGGTGGGCAGGGGGCACTGCCTGCCAGCACTCAGAACTCCATTATGTCCCCAGCTGGGGTTGGAGGGTAGTGGGGTGTAGGGTTGTCTCCCAGCCTCAACAGCCGGAGGGCCTCAGGGATCAGGTTCCCAGGATAGCGCCAGAGAAGCAGCTCAGAGCAAGGGCTCCTGGAAGAGGAAATGGCAGGATGGGGCTGAGGTTGGCCTGAGAGCCACCTCCCATCAGGTCCAGGTCCTCAGGGGCTCTTCGGCTGCCAGCACCTTCCAAGGAGCCAAGATGGGAAACAACAGAAGTTGGCTAGAAGCTAAAAATAGCAGGATGAGGCAGGGCCTAGGGGTTGGCTCCCAGGACTAGGTGTGGTTCTCCAGACGGCCCAGACAGTGGACGATGGACAGAGAATGGTGCCTACCTGAGTGGAGGCAGAGCTGGGGGGAAAGCCATGGCGCGACTGCAGTAAGGGTGGTCATTGTGCAGGCTGAGCCGAGAGAAGTGGGTGGCCATGTTCTCTTCTGACAGGAACTGTTTGCGCAGGGGCTCCCTGGGAAGAGATGGGGAGGCAGGCAGGCTGCAGTTTCAGAAAGGAGGCAGTCTGATGGTGACCTGAGGTGACAGAAGTTTTGTTGGGAGTCCCTCCCTGCCCCCAAACTCACTGCTCCTCCTCCAGGCGCCGCTTGGTGCTCATGGGCACAGCTCCTCCGATAGGGGAGCTGAGAAGAAAAGAGAGCCAGGTGCACCCCACCCTCTTGGCCCCATCCCGAGGCTCTGCCCTCCTGAGCCTGCAGCGTCAGCCAGTACCCGCCAGCCCATCTCAGCTGACACCTAAATTACCCCCATCTCGTGAGACATCCATCAACCTGCCTCGGAAATCTCACTTCATGCCCAAGCCTTGCCGACTAGCCCACCTCATGTCATCCTACAAGAGCAGCCTTGAGCCCACAGCCAAAGCTCCTGCGCCCTTGGGCCAGGCCCACCCGGGCCCTCACACACACCTCGAGTCCAGGCCTCGGGACGTCCCCGAAGCGGCCCGCGAGTCGTGCTGGGCCCGACCCGGGGAACCTCGCTTTAGGGGCTGCTGCAGGATCATTGGGTTTCGGGATCCTGCGGGCAGAGGGGTGGGAACTGGGCGGCAGGGGCGTGGCCAAAATAAGCGTGGCCAACCGAAAGGGGCGTGGCTCTGGACTCGCGCGCAGTGGCGAAGTTACGCGCAGGCGCAGAACGCGACCAGCCGTGGCAGGAAGGCGGGTGGGTTTGGCTCGGAGGGGTGGAGGAGGGGATCTGGCGTAGCAGGATTGCAGCGGGCGCCACTTAGTGTCAGGTATCTTCGCAGCGGTCGCCTCGGCTTCTGGGGCTCAGGGTCCCACGCAGCGGCAGCCTTCGAGCCGGACCGTCTAGCGCTCTTGGCGTGGTGGGGCGCCCCGAAGAGGAGCCGCTCGCATGCACATCCGGACTCGCGAGGCTGAGTCGTGCGCGGAGCACTCTGGGACTTGTAGTTCTTCAGATGGAGCGAGCTGTGCCGCAAGCGATGCCTTTGGGTCAGGTGAGGCGGGCATCGTGCGCGGTGACTTCTGGGGTATGTAGTCCATGTCCGGCTCGGAAAGGGGGCGGGCAAGGAGTCGTGCCCTGAGCCCTGTTTTGCGTGGGTTGTTAGTGGGACTCGGACTGTGACCCAGGGGCGGAGAAAAACCCAAAAATACCTGACTAGAGCTCAGTGTGATCTTCTCTATTTGGGTAATAGCCATTTTTTAAGCACTTTCTGTGAGGCACCTATGCCAAGCTCTTTACGTACATTTCTTCAACCAATCGTGACAGAATCTCCCGTGAGTTCCATTTGACAGTTGAGGCAACTTGAAGCACAGGCTGGGTGCTTGCCCAGAGTCCTGCTATGCATCACGCTTCAACTCGCCCCTTACTCAGCCTCTTCTTGGGGCCACCCCCAGGACTTTATGGGCAGGTGCCCGCTCCGTGGGCTGCCTTAAAGGAGGGTTGAGAAGGTAGGGGAAGCAGGAAGGAGCCTGTGGGTCAGAGGTCCCAGACAGCCTTCATTCAGCCTTTCCCCACAGATGGAAGTGTTTCAGGCCCTGGAGCGGCTGCACATGACTATTTTCTCCCAGAGTGTCTCTCCCTGTGGGAAGTTCCTGGCAGCTGGCAACAATTATGGACAGATAGCCATCTTCAGGTACTTTGTCCCTGTTCCCACCACCCATTTGCTTTGTAGTGTGGCCCTGCTGGGACTTATGTCCCCTGCTGATGATTCTCAGCATCCCCTCCCCTCTCTCTTCAGCTTATCTGCTGCTTTAAGCTCTGAGGCCAAGGAGGAAAGTAAGAAGCCCGTGGTGACCTTCCAAGGTGGGTACAGCCATGGAGTCTGGCTTAGGGACCCCCACAGTAGAGAAGGGGAGCAGGAAAGGATCACTCCGGTTCTGTACTTCCATTTAGCCCATGATGGGCCTGTCTACAGCATGGTCTCCACTGATCGGCATCTGCTCAGCGCTGGGGATGGGGAGGTGAAGGCCTGGCTTTGGGCAGAGATCCTCAAGAAGGTAAGCAGTATGGGGTCGGGGGAGGGCTGGGATGCCTAGCCCCAGGGAGAGCCTTTCAGATCACCCAGTGTTTCTCTCCATGAAGGGCTGTAAGGAGTTGTGGCGGTGTCAGCCCCCATATAGGTGAGCCAGGGCCATGTGGGCAGAGGGCACGTGGGGGGTGAAGGTACTGTTTCACCAAAACTGACCCTGCTTTCCCTCCCCCAGGACCAGCCTGGAAGTGCCTGAGATCAACGCTTTGCTTCTCGTCCCCAAGGTCTGAGCCCTTTGTGACTGGGGCTCTACCCTGCCCTTTTCTTGGCCCATACTTTGATCCTTTTCTCCTCTGTTCTGATTTGACTTGACTGCTAACCTCACCCTTTCTCCCTTTTTAGGAGAATTCCCTCATCCTGGCGGGGGGAGACTGTCAGTTGCACACGATGGACCTTGAGACGGGGACCTTTTTGGTGAGCAGGTTGTGGAGCTGGGGCAGTTAAGGTCTGGTGGTGGTGGGAGGCATTCTTTCTGGATCTGGTCCTAACACTGCCCCTGTCCCTGCAGCAGGCCCTCCGGGGCCACACAGACTACATCCACTGCCTGGCACTGCGGGAGCGGAGCCCCGAGGTGCTGTCGGGTGGGGAGGATGGGGCTGTGCGGCTTTGGGGTAAGGGAGCTTCTGCTTGGAGGGAAGATGGTGGTGAGGGAAGCTGGGTGCAGTAGAGTATATCTCATGGTTCTTCTCCCACAGACCTCCGCACGGCCAAGGAGGTCCAGACCATTGAGGTCTACAAGCACGAGGTGAGGGCATGCCTGACTCCCTGTCCTCTCTTCCTCCTCCCTGGGCATCCCACGCATCTTCACTTCCTCCCTCCCAGGAGTGCTCAAGGCCCCACAATGGGCGCTGGATCGGATGTTTGGCAACTGACTCAGACTGGATGGTGAGCTGGGCAGAGTGCAGGATAGGGTGGCAGCTTGAGACCTTACAGGCTGAGGGCCTGTAGCTCATGGTGGCTGGGAACCCCCTGCCTTTCTGCCTAGGTCTGTGGAGGGGGCCCAGCACTCACCCTCTGGCATCTCCGCTCCTCCACGCCCACCACCATCTTTCCCATGCGGGCCCCACAGAAGCATGTCACCTTCTACCAGGACCTGGTGAGGCCCTATACCTTGCTGTGCTACCCATGCCCAACTTCCCTCTCCAGCCCTGGTCCCTGAACCCCTTCCCTGTCCTCTACAGATTCTGTCAGCTGGCCAGGGCCACTGTGTCAACCAGTGGCAGCTTAGTGGGGAGCTCAAGGCCCAGGTGCCTGGCTCCTCCCCAGGGCTGCTCAGCCTCAGCCTCAACCAGCAGCCAGCAGCTCCTGAGTGCAAGGTGCGTCCTGCAAGGGGCTGTGGGGGTCGTGGGAGGCCAGGTACCGGGGCACGTCAGTCACCTCCCTCTTGCCTCCAGGTCCTGACAGCCGCAGGCAACAGCTGCCGGGTGGATGTCTTCACCAATCTGGGCTACCGTGCCTTCTCCCTGTCCTTCTGACCTCTGGTAGCAGCCACACTGTCCCAGGGATCTGAGTGCTTTTTTTTTATACAAATAAAATGTCAGGCTTTTCTGCCATGTGTTTTCTATTCAAGAATGGAGGCAAAGTCGGTATAATGATTTATATATTACTCTGATTTTGATACATAAATACCCCCCCACCCCTGCCCCGGAGCATGCCAGAGTCGGGGGGGTCTAGTGCTTAGAAAAGACAGACCTACATAGACTTGAAAGACAGCCCTGCTCCACCTGCCCCTGACACCCACCTGGGGCCCTTGGCCCCCAAAGCAGGCCCCTGCTCCCGGGGCGGGGAGGGCATTAGCCCCCTTTGGAAGACAATCGGGGCCCTGCGGCTCCAATGGTCAGAAGAGTAAAGTGAGCCAGAGGGGGCATGAGCGGCCCCCTTGGCCCGGCCCTCAGGTCCTTCGAAAGAGGTTGCTGAGAAAGCCGCCGGCGGGCCCAGGGCCCAGGCGCAGCGAGAAGCGCGGCGTGGGGCGGCGCGGGGCGGCTCTGGCCGCGCTCTGCTCTTTCTGGCGTTGCAAGCGCAGCTGCTGCCCGATCACCACCTGCATGTCGTCCTGCGGGCAAGGCAGCAGGGCGGGAGGGGCGGGTCAGCGTGCCGGTCCCGCCCCGCTGGGCTCGCCCGCGTGCGGTCCCGCCCCTCACCTGCCAGGCCTCCAGCTCTTGCGTCAGCGCCACCTTCTGGCGGATGGTGCGAAGAAGTTCCCGGGAGAGGGAGTCCCGCTCCAGGGAGACGCGGCTGAGCTCCAGGGACAGTTCGAGGGCCCTGCAGGCAAGCGGCGCAGAGAGCGGGTCTGAGGGCTCTGGGAACTCAGCGAGCAGGGGGATGGGGGGCTCTTGGACCTGGGCGGGAGTGGGGGTTGCTAACGCCGAAACCAAGGCGGTCAGAGGGGATAATTATAGCGTGGATAAATGAGAGGCCCAGAAGGGCTTGCAGCCGCTCTAGGGCTATGGTGGAAGCTGGCGGAGGCTCACTTGTTCACCGCCTCGTCCCGGTCGGAGAGGGCGCCGCTTAGGGCCTCCTCGGGGTCCTCTTGCACTCTTAGCTCCTTCTGCCTTTGCATTTCCTCCCGCAGGGACTGTAGCTCAGCCCGCTGCAGCGTGACCTGCGGGCAGGAGAGGGCCAGAGAGGCAGGCAGGCCCCTGGGTCTCAGCTCCTGTTCTTACTGGCAGCCAGGCTCGAACTCTTCTGGCCCTCCCCTGCCTGTTCTCCAAACACCCCAGAGAGCTATGGCCCTGTGCTGGAAATGAGAATTCAGGGTGGGCTGGGTGGGTGTGTAAGCCTGCATGTGAGACTAAGGAGGAAGTGTGGTCCAGGAAGTCTTCCTGGAGGAGGTGGCATACAGGCTGGCTCTTGAAGCATGACTGCAAGTTTGTTGGGACGATGCAAGCAGAAGGGGATTATTGGGCAAAGGCTCAGGTATATATGGGAAAGAGGATCTGGTACTGGGAAAGACTCAGCATCTATGTTCCCCCCTCCCCACCTCATCCTGCAAGCGGGCTACTTCCGCCTCCTTCTCCTCCAGTATCTCCCCTGGGCTCAGGGATGCTTGCTTTTGGGGAGGTTCCAAGCTCTCCTGGGATGAAGGCTGTTGGCTGGACGTCTCTTGCAGCTCCGCGGATGCAGTGGTCTGTTCACAGAATGGTCAGTGAGGTGTTTAACTTATAGGGAAGGGAAGAGGGGCAGTTTGCAACCCCCCGGATGGGCCGCCTGGGGGCTGGTGGGCCGCGCGCTCACCGGGGCGTCTCCGCGTCGGTCAGTGTGATGGTCCTGGTCCCCATCGAGGCTATGAGCAAGCTCCGACTGTAGGGAGGCTCCAGACACATCGGCGTCCTGGAGGCGCGACTCCTCCTCCAGCTCGGAGACTCGGCGCTGCAACCTCCGCAGGGCGCTCAGCGCCTCCCCGGCCTCGGAGCGCGCGCGTTCCAGCTGCCAGCAGACAGGAACAGGGAAGCATGGGCGGTCAGCCAGGCGCTTCCGCGTGCTCGTCCCCCGGTCGGCCCGCAGGGGGCGCCGGCGTGCGCGGAGAGCGAGGCAGCCGCGCGCAGTTCCCCGCGGTAGAAACCAACTTCCTCGCCTATAAAGTAGGGCACTGACTTTAAAGTCCCCCGTCACCGTCCTTGCAGCCCCACCCCATCAGGTCACCTCGCAGAGGACCCCTTCCCGGACCGGTCTGCCTTCGAGCTCAGTAGTGCCATCATCCCGCGTTCACTGATGCTTCTAAGCCGACGCAATGCAGAACGCCTGACACCCTCACCGCAGCCCTGTGCCTTACCATCCCGACAGAAGGGGAAACGGACGTATCTGCTAGAGTCAGAGGGCTTCCTGGGATAAGAACCTCAAAGCACGAACTCCTGAGGTCTCACACAGAAGGCCATGCTACCTCTTTTCATTGCCTTTTCTCCATCTGCACTGCCCCAGACCTGGTCCAGGTCCCCATCCACTGTGGCTTGAGCTCTGGCCTCAGCCCTCTTCCTGGCCTCCCAGCTGCTGCACTCTGATGCACTTTAAGAGTGTACCACCCCTGCTCAGTACCCTTCCCTGGCTCCCACCTGCCCTTGGCTAATGCCCATGCTCTTATGGCCCAGCTGCTGGGGTTCCCAGTGGCTGCCAGGAACCCCCGAGGTTATGGCTGAGGCCCAGCCCCACTGGTCACCTCCAGGCTGTGCTCCCGTCTCTCTCGCCGCAGTAGCAGCAGCTGCTCGTGGGTGACCTGAATCCTGCCCTGGCCCTTCTCCACCTCCTCACGTAGGCCTCGGATCTGGGCCTCCAGGTCCTGCCGGCGGCTCTGCAGCATTTGGTTCTAGGAAGAAGCCTCAGAGCTGCAGGGGAGGCTGCTGGGCCAGTTGCAGATAGCCCCCAGCCCAGCCTCCCTGGCTCACTAGGCCCCCACCCAGCCCCAGCCGCACTCACCTCCCCCTGTAGACTCTCCAGCTGTGTCCTCAGCTCTGCCCCAGCCAGGGCCTGAGCCTGGCACTGCCCCCGAAGGCCATCAAGTTCCCTCTGAAGTTCCTGCTCAGTCTGGGAGGCCTAGGGAGAAGGCAGAGGAGCCTCAGCAGGCCCATGCCTCCACTCCAAGGCCAGCAGCACGCCCACCTCCACCGGACCCAGCATCTGGGGTCAGGGCTGTCCCACCTGGGCCAGCTGCTGGCTGAGCCGAAGGTTCTGCTCACTGAGTTCACTGAGGGCCTGCGCTCGCTCGCGCCCACTGTCCTGCTGCTCTGAGAGCTGCTCCCCCAGCTGTGCCCGCAGGGCCTCCACGTCCCCCTCCAGCTCCACAGCCCTGGCCTCCCACTCGGCTCCCTGAGCTGCCAGGCCCTGGCGGAGCTCATGGTTCTCCTGTTGCAGCCGCTGTGGGGGCCAGGACAGAGGGTCAGAGACAGAGGGAGGAGACCGGACACAGTAAGAGACCAGGATGGAGAGACCCACAGAGAGGGAGACTGAGGCGGGTATGAAACAAGAGGGAAGACAGCTGGGAGGAGGCGGGCAGAGGAGGAAACCCAGAGACTGAGAGAGGAAGGAGGGGAACCAGTAGGGAGAAGTTTCCAGGCCAGACGGGGGGACTGACCCCTGACTGGAGTGGAGCGAGGTTCCCTGTTGACCCCACTCACCTCTGGCTGCCTCCTGGGCTTCTGGACCCGAGGTTGCAGGCGTCGTTTCTGGCGCCTGAGTCTGGCAGAATTGAAGCCCCTGCCCATGGCCTCATACACCTGTGCCATGGCCTCTGGAGGTTCAGCCTCTGCCCAGCCCCTCCCAGCCCGCTCCCTCTAATTAACCCTCCCAGCCCCACCTGGGCCCCAGGCCACTGCCTGCCCTCCCCAAAACCTGTCCAACCAGCGGGGGAATGCAGTGGCATACCCAGATGCCCAGCCTGGCAGGCAGGCATGTGGGCTGCCCCCCACTCTCCCCAGACTCTCGCAGCAGGAAGATGACGCTAAACATGGTTGCTACAACTAGCAGGCATTCCTGGGAGCCCTGCACCTGTGCTTCACCTCTGTTATTCCATTTAGTCCATTTCAGTTAGAATTGTTAATTTCCTCGTTTTACAGATGAGGATGTAGGCTCAGAGAGGGTAAGTGCCTTGTCCAAGGACACACAGTGAGTAAGCAGAGCAGGGATTCCAACCCAGGCAGCCAAGCCCTTAACCAAATACCGTGAGGTCAGCACAGCTCGAGGTTAAGCCGGCCAGTTGGGGGTCTGGTTGTCCTGGCCTGTACCCAGGTTTGCTGCTGTTTGTGGTCAGGCAACTCCTTCAATATTTCTAAGTGCCATCCATCTATCCATCCAGTATTTGCTGAGCTCAAGCTCCTCTGTTGTGGGGTCTGGCTGTGAGCAGGGAGCGAGACCACCAAGTTCCCTGCCTCAAACAGCTTACAGTCCAGAGGGCATAGGTGAATGGACATGGGCTTGAAGTAGGTAATTTCAGAGGAACAGAAAGGGCTGTGGAGAAGCCCTGGGAAGTGAAAAGGGGCAGGGGATGGGAGGGTGAGGGTGCTTCAAGGAAAAAGTAACGTTTGAATTGACTCCTGTAGGGCAAGAGGAAAGAGGGCTGCACACAGGAAGAGCAAGTACAGAGGCCTCGGGGGAACAAACTTAGGTTACTCAAGGAACTGAAATGGGGCCCCATCCAAGGGGTGGCACCTCCCCTCCAGCAGACATGAGGTCAGAGAGGAGGCACTTGAGGACTCTGAGGCCCTGGTGAGGAGTTCCTGTCCCATTCTAAGTGTGATGGGAGCTGTTGGTAGATTCTGGGACTGAAATCTGATCGGCAATTTCTGAAGATCCCTCTGGCTGCCTGGTTGAGTGTGGGCTCCAAGGGGCAAGGGAAAAAGCTGGGGACGGAGGAGGCGGCCTCAGTGTCAAGGGCGGAAGCAACGTTGGCTGCAGAATTGAAGACCAGCCTCTGCAACATCTGGAGGCTACAGAGACCATGAAAGTGGGGAGATTCAAAATCTAAAAGAAGAATCAATAGGGCAGCAGATGTGGGAGAAGAGAGGCCATGGAGGTGCTCAGGCTCCAGTCCTGAGGTGGGGAGCCAGGATGGTGACCACAGATGATGGGGTCACAGAATTAAGAACGCCACTTGTGCTGAGATGCCCATTAAGTGGCCTGATGAAGAGTTCCAGTTCAGGGCAATAGTTGGGGCTGGCAACATGGATACAGAAGCCGGTGGTATCCCGGGAGCCAGATGTGACCCCAGAGTGAGAGTGTGGCTGACAACGGTGACCTGGCAGAGGGCAGACTGCCCCTGGACTCACACAGAGGGGTGAGGACTGACAGATGATGTGTGGGAGGTGCTTAGCCCAGAACCAGGCAGGGAGGAGCACCCAGTAACTGTTGGCTGGGGTTGGCACTGCTGAGAAGCTGCAGCCAAGATTCAGAGAGGGCCAGCAGCTTACCCAGGGTTACACAGCCAGGCAGGGGTCTGAACTCAGGGCTTAACCACTGGGCAGCACTGTCAGGGGCACCAGGCCCGGCCTGAACTGTTCTTCCCGAGGCATCCCCCTGCTCCCCTGCCCTCCCCTTGCCCACCCACCTGGCCCCTGCCCACCTCTAGTCCCCGTCCTCCCCGCCCCTGCTGCCAGCTCACTTCCTCGCGCTCCAAGTGCTGGATGCTCAGCGCGTCCAGCTGCCGCTGCAGCTCCTCGTTGCGCTCCAGCAGCATCTTGCCGAGCTCCGCAGCCAAAAGCAAGTCTTTCTCCTTCTGCTGCAGCTGCAGGGCCAAGTCCTCAGGCTCCTCAGGGCCCGGGCCCCCTCCCAGGAATGAGTCCCGCCGCTCCAGCACAAAGGGGAAGAAGCCCTCGTCGCCACTGGGGGAGCCGCCCCCGGATAGCAGCCCCGACGGGAAGCTTGGCCCTTCTGGGGAGCTCATGGTGCCTGCAGCGTCTGCGGGGCAGGTAGGCCAGTGGAGACAGGTCACTGCAGGACACTCTACTCTGTAGCCCGATGGGGCTCGCCTGCCGGCCAAGACTTGGCCCTCCCAGTCCTGCAACCAGGGCCTTCTGGGGCCACAAAGGGTTAATGATCTGTTTCTTGGCCAAACAGCTCCGTTAGTACCCCAGGGTAAACTGAGGCAGGGAAAAGGAAATGAGCTGCCTCTGGGACACATTCTTTGTCCCCAGGAAATCTTCCCCCAGTGCTCCGGAATAACAGGTCACCCTGCCAACAGTCCCCTCCCCGAACCCCAGCCCCGCTGTTCAGGCTCCCAGCCCCTCAGGAGCAGGGAGTTAGTCTCCCAGAACCCAGGTTGTCAGGGACTCAGGACCCAGGGTTGAGTTCAGCCCCTTCTGGGAATCCAGGGCCTTGGGAACTTAGGTGTCCTGAGCCCTGGGCTCCCAGAACACTAGCCGCCTCCTCTTCCCGCAGCCCAGCTCCCCAGCTCCCCACCCTCCCAGGCATCCTGGCCCTTCCTATTTTCTGTGCACCCAGGTGTTGGTCCCCATCTCCCGGGGCCTGGGTGTCCAGCCCCTCAGCCCCCCTCCTCTGGAAGGCGGCCCCAGCGCCCCGCCTTTCCCAGGGCGCGGGTGTCAGCCCAGGGCAGGGCGAGGGAACAGGTTGTGCGGGCAGGCTGCTGCCCTGCCGCTCAGGTTGCTGTTTACTTCCCGGCCCGCCCCTGGGGATGGGAGCCTGGTGGCGGCCTAGGGCCGCCCAGAGCCTGGCAGTTCAGGGACTCGGGGAGGGAGGGGACCCACTGGGCCCCGGCACTCCCCCCCCCAGCCCACCGGAGGTTCCCCCACCCCCTACGCACGCACACACACACCTGTCCCTCACTCTCCTCCCTTCGACAGGTGTTTAAGTCCAGTTCTACCCTCAGGGCGCAAATGTCCCGATGGTCCCAGCCCAGCTGACCCAGGCCGGCCCGGTGTCTCCCTGACGTGCGCCCTGAGGGCCCGGCCCCGCTCTGGAGCCCCGGGGGCGGTCCTCCTCCCGCCCCCCGCCTCCCGGCACCGAACTGCCTTTTAGCCCCTCAACCCAGGCGCCAGGGCCCCAGCCGGCGGCCCCCCGGCCCCACGCGTCCGAAGCCCAGCCGCCGGCGCCCCACGGCCGTGTCCTGCCGCAAGCTCGGAGGGCGCCTGTCCTCGGCGTCCCCTTGGCTCTTACCCGCAGACGCCGGGCTCCCTCCGAGGTCCCAGCGGTCCCTGATCCCCGCTTCCGGAGGCGGCGCCAGGTGTGCTGCCGCACAGGTGAGGGGGCGGTGCCGCGGGCGGGGCAGGGGCGCCCCCTGGTGGCCGGAATGGCAAGGTGGGGCCGAAGGAAAGTCGACTCCACCCACCTCTGAGGCACTAGCCCATTTTAATGCCATCGGAAACGGCAGGGCCCATTAATTGAGCACCTACTGTGTACAGTCCCCACGCTGAACATAGACATCAGCTCGTTTATTAACAGTGATAACAAATCCAACAGGTATTAAGCACTCAGTTAAAGTAAGTTCTATAGGCATAACTTGCTTACTTTCATGACATCCTGATGAAGCAGGAACTATTATATTCCCATTTTACAGATGAGGAAACTGAGGCACACGGAGGCTCTGCTTGGGGGTCACATGGACAGAGCTTGAATGTGAACCTCACAAGGGTCATGTCAGGGTGTGCACCGTACTCGGCTTCGCATGCTGAGAAGGGGACAGCAGAGTGACTTGCCTGGGGCCAGACTGCAGCCTGTGTGTACCACACCTGAGCTATCACTTCCAAGGTTTTACAGGGCTGGTGCCATGCTCCAGCCGGGCAGAGGCCTGGCTATGGGGACAGGAGGATCTGGGGCTGGGTCTCAAGCTGGGACAAGCTTTCCTGTCAGCACAGTAGGGGTGCCAATGCCCTTTGCAACGGCCTGAGGGATGCACTGCCTACTGAGGCCACTCTGTGCTCCCACAGCAGCTGCCGGGACAGCCCAGTGGGCTCTGGAGGCTGCAGACAGCCCAGCCTCCCTTTGGCGCTGCTGCCTGAATCCCTCCAAATGCTGGGGTGACCCTGGGCACCACCCACACCACAGCCCCACCAAACACACCTTTCCTGAGCCTAGGAGGCTGGGCTCACCTGGAGATGACACAGTCAAGGCCCATTTTCCGGGAGGGTCACAGGCCACCCAGGAGCTGGGAGGGCGTGTGGACCTATAAACAGAAGCAACCAGTAAAGCAAAATGGCCCAGAGCCTTGGCTCATGGGCCCTGACATCTCATGGCTTCACCCCAAGTCCTGGTTTGGCCACTTACCAGCTATGTGAGCCTGTGTCGTTGAGATGATTAATCTCTGCAGCCTCGGTTTCCCCATCTGTGAAACGGGGGTGATAATGGTTCCTAGCTTACAGGGTCATGAGGATTAAGTGAGGGTCAAGTGCCAGCACTTAGTCCTGCTAGTGACCCTCACTCAGCATGGCCACAAGTAACTCACCACACATGTTCCAACGTGCTTCCTCCTCGCAGCCACGCTGCGAGGTCATCCATCCACAGACAGGGAACACACTCGGGGAGGCCAGTGATGGCCTGTGCTTACATGGCAGATTCCTCATCCCACCCTGGCTGGTCCCAGCCCCAGCCATCTTTGGACATTTGAATCTGGCGCCCTGCCTCCTCTGAACCCAGGGGTTCTAGTCTCCAGCCACCTGGCCCGCTGATTCCCTCACCCAGCCTCTGCTGATCCCAGGAGGAAGGTGGATAGGAGACACAGAGCGGCCCCAGGGAAGGCCTAGGGAGGCTGCCCTGTGTCCAGGTGAAGGAGAGGGTGATAACCCAGCTCTGCCTGCCCTCCATCCAGACCCCAAACAAGCCAGGGTCCTGGGGCCTTCAGGCCCTTGCTCAGCCCGGCATGTTCTCCTCACCTTCCCAACACTCTGGTGGGCCCCTAGTATTCCAAGTCTTGGTCTGGGGTGTTTTCCCTGGGGAAGCTTTCACAGACTGCACAATATCTCGGGCGGTGTAGGCTGGGTATCCTGAGGACAGCAGAATGCCCCTCTGCCCGCCTGCCCCCACCACAGAGGCAGTGGGAATGGCACAGTTCCAACAAGGGTGCCTCCAGGCATTTCCAGCAGGGACAAAGTCTATGAACAATAAGTAGTACTCTTGGGAGCATTTAAGACCTTCCAATAAACAATTTCACACCGAATGCACTGTTCTACAGCTTGCCATTTCCATTCAACTTGATGTCTACAAATTTTTTCCCAACTTAAAAAAAGCAATCAGCCTTATTGCATAGGTATTGGTTTCCTAGGACTGCTGTAACAAATCGCCTCACACTCGGTGGCTTAAACAACAAAAAATGTATTGTCTTCTGGTTCTGGAGGCCAGAACTTGGACATCAAGGTGTGGGGAGGATTACTCCTTCTAGAGGCTCTGAGGGTAAA